TTGGTCAATTGATACATTTTCAAATACATAACTATAGAGAACATACAAAAATGATATGGTAATACAAAATGTAAGTTTACACACTCCCAGGGATGTCATACATGATGGTGCATTAGCTTTTACACTAACTTTCACACATCTAGATGGCCGAGCGGGGTGGGTGTGGAGACAGAGACAGCAAGGGTTCAAACTGTAGAACCCAGTTCCTACATTTGAATATAAAAATGGATTTTATCAAACAAAACTATGCTACATTTTATCTCTGGGACCCTCAGGATGACAAATCAGAGCAAGATTACTGAATGTAAGTACATTATTTACCTTCAGAGGTAAATGTATCAAACCAGTTGCCATGACAAAAGTGTTTTGTTGTTGTGCACTCTCCTTAAACAATAGCTACTGTAAATTGGACAGTGCAGTTAGCTTAAATTCTTGTTAATCTTTCTGCCCATATAAAACATGTCTATGTCCTGGAAAGTTTGCTGTTACTTACAACAGCTACACTAATCACATTAGCACACGTTAGATCAACAGTCCCGTATAGGAACAGTCCTGTATACGGGTGAAGGTAAAAAAAAAAAAAGAGGTTACATTGATTCACACCTGGATAGGGTTAGGGTTCACACAAGGCCATACCTCCATGTTACAGTGCTTGTTTAGGGAAAACAGATGGAAGACAAGAGGCGACCACCTGTGCTAATTATCTATCTAGCATGCTCCTAACACCTGTGTGTGAAGCGGGGTGGACACTACATGACTTTCAAAATCCTAACATCGCTGAGCCTCTTACATTAAACGACTGTCTTTCCTGTAGTTTTTTGTGTGTTGCCAACATAGTGGTGCACACACTAAACGATGTGGCACAGACGGTGGTCACATACTACAAGATTCTTCACTTTCTCGCAAAATCAATGATGTGATTCGATTTAAAGTAGTTACGAACTGTGGCTCAAAGCAGCCTCATAAACGTTCAGTCAGACATTCACGCTTGCTATACAGAGTTGAAATATCTAGCCAATATTTTGAATTGAATAACATTGCTTGTGAACTTCAGAGCTGTAACGATTTTATACTTTTGCTTTGGTTGAAGGCAAGTACAAACGCATACTAGTAGTAATCATCGCTCCTGCTCGAGTCTCTACACATTCTGGGTGATGCGAAACAAAGTAATCTCACTGACTTCTAGCTGATCACCGTTCTCAAAACGTGTCGTTGCACATCTCACACTACAAGAGCATTGCAGATTTTGTGCCGATAATCAAACCTGTTTTTAAATATCGGGGCGTCTGGGACTGCTCAAAGACGAGATCCCTAGCCCTCAGATTGCGTCTTTGACCTGCTCACATTAAAACGAGCGTCAGTGACGGCGGCGCGCCCGGAGTTCGCAACTAACGTACATTGGGATTTTGCCTCCGATCTCAAAAACTTGTCTGGGACAGCTAAATCGTGGTCAAAATCGTGTAGTGTACACCCGGCTTTAACTTGGGAAGTGTATAGCGGAAGTTTAGTTTCGTCAGATGGAGGCACCCAGAGCTGTTTGGACCTGTGCAAAACTGCTACAGTATGTTTATCTTTTTTATTTGAAGGATTATTTCTTGCTGATGAAAGATAAGGTACATATGTTTCGAAAGCCATATCACAAGCGATTATTATTGACGTTTCTAAACCTTAAAACATAGCGTCGGGATTGTAGTTCACACAAGCCAGTCGTGGGCAAAACTAATGGCTGAAAACTGTTGGGAGAAGGCAGAATGCAGCCTAGAGTTTGAGCTAGTCCCGGTCCTGACTACCGAATCACCGAGTTAACAACCGCCCGCACGGTCTTTTTTACAGCAAACTCATCCTGCAATTATAACCTGCCCTGACCGTAGTTATTTTTTCATCCATACATCCTTGTGTTAAAATGAGCCACTTAGTTACATTGAGCCCTTCCACGTCTGTGCAAATTCGTTGACTAGCAATGCATTCGTTCTTGGTTGGGTAGCTAGCTAATTCCCTAGATAGGTAACTAGCTAACGTTGGATAACTAAATAAAGTTAGCTCGCTGGATCTGGTTAGCTAATGGAGATAACTTTAAACCCAGCTAGTTAATACCATAGTAAGGCATAATCTAACGGTGTATGAATAATTATGCCATTCTCATTTCTCAAATCATTCAATGAAATCTGCTCGAGCAGCTAGCTCATTCATTACATTTGTAACGTCAGCGACATTCGAACAAATTAAGTAGCTATATTAGACATAAATCCGCTGTTTTAATCATTTTGATAATGACAGGCACCAGTAACTGTACTCCAATCAATGAAACATTTTCGATACTCACAGAAGTTTATCTTTATTATGTTTCTGTCACTGCTCGCACTGACTCCCCACGCTGACACAATGAAAGTGAAACGCAGTGTACCCGCCTATACACAGACACTATTGGTTTGACAGAACAGTCACTACAGTGATACTCAGTTTCTATTGGTTATAATTTACTGTCAATCATTGCCAACCCGCGACCGCACTTGCGCGAACTACTATCGATGGCTGATGCAATGAAAATGAAATAGTCCATTTAAGTCAATTTATTTTCTGTTATAAAGCAATATGTGGATTGAAAATCAATAAAATATATATTTCCTGATGCATTATTAGAATACATGTATTGTATTATATACACTGTGTAATTTATCTTTGTTTCATTTCTGTACTCCAGTCCAGCAGGTGACATGTGAGCAGATGTGTAAGGAGGAACTACAAGCGCAATTCGATAGCCGGGGAAGATATTTGGTGATGCACACACGGTACCACGTGAGCTAATCGAGCATTCAGTCATCGAGTAACAGAAATAGCAGCTAGCTATAACTACAGTCTTTGGACAAATACAGCACCCGGCCCAAGTAAATAACATTTTTGGAAGGACTATTCTCCGACCATGCCGACTGACACAAAAAGGGTACGTGGCCCAGAAGTGTCTCAAAGTCCATCTCTCTTTCTGTGTAAAACCGCGGTAAAGAAGTCCACCGCTTCGAACGACGCCAGGGTAGATGGCAGGCAGCGTGGTCAAGTGGATGTCCGTTCAGTTTTTGTCCGATGTGGGCTGATCAGTCAAGCCAAAGGTTCAGCTTACATTGAAGCTGGGAACACGAAGCTCATCTGCTGTGTTTATGGTCCCAGAGAGACTGAGCGTAAGGATGAGACGGATATGAAATCCGGAAGACTGATTACTGACATGAGATTTGCCCCATTCTCTTGTCGAGAGAGAGGCTCGTGGATTCAAGGTAGTGATGAAAAGGATCTGTCACTGATGCTGTTGGAGAGCCTGAGGCCAGGAGTGTGCTTGCACAAGTATCCTCGCTCTCAGATTGAAGTCAATGTGATGGTCCTTGAAAACGACGGCTCCGTCCTGGCACATGCAGTCACCTGTGCGTCCATGGCACTGGCGGACGCAGGTATAGAGATGTACGATCTGGTTCTTGGATGCGCAATCCGTCAGGAAGGTGCCACATACCTCATCGACCCTACCATTCTAGAGGAAAATGGTTTCAACTTGGCCTCAGGATCCAGGGAGAATTTGGGAAGCCTGACAGTTGCATTTCTGCCAAGTCTGAACCAGATTTCTGGACTACAATCGGATGGCGAGATGGGCGTGGACACCCTGACTGGGGGTGTGCGCACATGCATTGAGGGGTGTTTCAAACTGTACCCTGTCATTCAGCAAGCACTGTCCAAGGCCGTGCGAAGAAAAGCACCACCATCAGAGAGCTGAGAGACTGAAAAATGTGTTGCATGATGATCTCTAGCCTAGGCAGCTGATCGTCTAGGTTTGATGTCCATTCCCGGTATTACACTCGTGTCCACCGTGGACCGGCTCGTACATAAAGCATTCTCCATTCAGGCTGCAAAAGCATCATTTTCCTCAACTAGTTTAATGGTGAAAAGGCCATTTTCCACCACCATTTTCGGATTTCCGGACAAATTACGGTGTTGCACACCTTTGGCTGAACGCAGTGTGCAACATTGTACTTTGTCAGAAAATGGTGGTGGAAAATGGTGTTGCATAAAGAAAGTACGCATATTTCCCCCGTTTTTGTTTTCAAACTTCTCGCCATTAAAGCTAGTTAAGGAGGAAAATGATGCCTTTGCAGGCTGAATGGAGGATGCTTTATGTACGAGTGTATTACCGGGAATGCACATCAAGCCTAGACAATAGTGCAAATCTAGCACACAATCGGCTGCCTAGGCTAGATGAAAAAATAAGCTTTGTAAAAATAAGAAAAAGGCAGTCATAACATTTGTCAATTTTTACTGTTTGTTTTGACACGTCAGACTCCATGCATACATTTTAAAATAAATCATTTATTAAAGTAAGACATATTTCACATGAGTATGAAATTATTAAGAACGAATACATAATATCTAAGCCACAGCGCTGTACAATATCATCATATCAAGCTTTATTTATATGACACATTTCAGACATTGAATGCAAAGCAATGTGCTTTACAGGAAAAAACACAGAAAATAAAACCTGAAATATTTACTACACAATAACTGACACAACCTGAACAACTGAAAAGCACCCTAAGGAAAAGCAAAGCAAAAAAAAAGTTTTATGATCTCTTTTAAATATGTACACTGTTTCGGCCCCTCTCAGGTTCTCTGGCAGGCTATTCCAGAAGCTGGGGAAATAATAACTAAAGGCTGCCGCCATGCTTCTTGGTCCTAGGCTATATGTCCTTCTAAATAGTGTGCAATATCTTGTAAATACTGTAAGAGTACAGTTAGGTCTTTTCTCACAAATAGTCTTCGGACTCTAACAATACTTTTGGATTTTGAGCCCCACCTTTCTTTGCTAATCTTAACTACTTTGGACAAGGTTAATAAATCCCTTAAGGTCATAAAGAATAATATGAAAAACCATCACATTATTTTGCACCTCACTTTCATTTTGCATTCACAGGGTTATGTTTCTATATAAAAAATATGCATATGAAATATGATATACATTTTTAATTCACAGTTAATTTGTTTCGCACAATCAAAGTGGCAATGCCCTTAACATCTCTCAGTCTGTCTGCATCAAAGTCGACCATCAGTTTTCTCAGGCCAGCGCGGGTGGGCTTAAAGGACAACTTGACCTTCACCTCTTGACCTGGGCCAATGTCACCTCTGTAGGAGAAAATACAAATGTTTTCTTAACACTTATTTTTCTTAAAACTGCATTGTTGGTTAAGGGCTTGTAAGTAAGCATTTAACTGTAAGTTCTACACCTGTTGTATTCGGCGCATGTGACAAATACAATTTGATTTTATTTGAAGCATGGTTCTCTTAACTCAGCCTTGATCTGATCCTCTAATGTAAATGGTTGTTCAGATCTCAAATATTGACATTCATTCAGGCCATTAACTGGAGGTCTCCTGCTGTGGTCAATGAGAGTATTAGAAATAGCTTGGGTTGTTTATCAAACATGTCAAACCTGATGTTTTATTTCACACTTGAGCTATATGAGATGACTGACCAAAAGATGAGGTAGGCTAGGTCCATCCAGCAAGCATGATGTTTTTTGTTTGGTTCTTTCTTAGCACAACAATCTGGATCATGATTTAATAATAAATCACAGCCTGAACGTAATACCATTCAAAGAATGTTACATTTACCCCAGCCTCACGTCAATGACGGGCAGAGAAATTATCCTGTGTTTAGTCTGAGGGCCTATGTTTACACTGGCGTCTCCTGTTGGAGGTTATGTGTGGTAACATTTGGCTTGTGGTCCTGGAGTGCCACGCTGGGCTGGTAGGTTAGTCGTCTTTGGCCTGGGATAAGGAGGTATGTCTGGCTCTCTCTTTGTCTTTGGGGGAGGTGGAGCGAGAGAAAAGCAGATCATATTATTTGTACTCTTGCAATGTGGTCAGGCTATGTCCTTGCTGAGGAATTGACCGTGGCAGCCAAGAGCTCTCTGAGCTGCTATCATAAATCTGCTGCTGCACAGGGTGTGGGATCTTTAAAGAGCCCTGTGCTTTAAACAGTTTCAGGTCTACATATAGTAAGTAGATCACTGTTCAAACTCATGCTGCCATGTCTCACTCATTGCTCATGGATAAACCCACAATCATAGCTAGACTGATAGCAAACATGACAGTTGGCAACATTTCATCCATATAGATTTGCTGCATTTAAGCAAAACATCAGAGTCAACTTCTGTGCTTCAATAGCACTTTACACCTCTATACTTAAAGTAATAACGTGGCTGTAATACTGATGTAACATTCTCTTTGAAAACACTTATTGTCAAACATGCTACAAGTCATACAGTCAATGAAGAATGTATTCCCTATCACATACAACACACAGAGATACTTACGGTGCTTGGAGCTCCCGTGGCGCAGTCAGACCTGCCCCCTCCACTGTGAACACACCCCCTCTCAGGGTTATAGGCAGGGGATTGGTGAAGCTGATGTGTGCAATTAATTTCCGAGATACAACCGCATCTCCCACTACCTGAAGCAAGAAAATGGACAGTGCAGGCATAATCAGAAAGGATTATTTCAGTATATCCAAAATTAACCCCTACAGCATATTTCAACTGCATTCCCTCCGGAAATGGCCAATCTTGAGAATTGTGCAAAGTGCAAACAGTAGCACTCAATTCATCAAGCAATTATTCACCAGCTATTTATAGTTCCATACAGTATAGCCCAGTACCTTGACATGGAGCTGTGGCATGCTTAGTGGGATGTTGACCTCTTGCAGAATGACATCAGGCTGGCCGCTGGCCTGGAGCAGTGCTGTGACCCTGATCAGGTTATGCTCAGACACACAGGCCCCGTAGTGATCGTACCGTAGACGCATCACTTCCTTATGAGCTGTGAGAATAATAGGGATGAGAGGAAAAAGTATGTTATTGTATTGTCTTTTCACTTCTCTGGTATTTTTTGCTCTGTTTATTCGGTTCCTAAAAATTCAAGAACACCAGGGATGTTGTAGGTCAGTGCAAGTCAAAAAACAAATCTAACACAGGGACTGACACCAGTTCCAAGTGTTCCGTCATGATTCATGAGTCTTGATTCCTCTCGCCTACTGCACCTCTCGCCTACTGCACCTATCAGGTGTATGTGACAATACAACATAAACTTTTTTTGTGTGTGTGGGGGGGGGGCAGTGGAGGCCCACCTTTCTGGGCTGGTACGGTCAGGCTGGCAGTCCTCCTCTGGCACTCCCCCCGGTGAAGGCTGTTGTAAGTGATAGCGTTGGAGGTCACAGTAAGCTGGGCTGGGGTGTCCTCCCCACCCACGTTGTGCACCTCCACTATCACATCAAAGTCTGTACCCAGGATAGCCTGGGCGTGTTTGATCTTCATCTCCAGCTGCCCTGGTCCTCTATTCAGCTGTGTTACCCGCCGTCCTGCCTTCTCATACACCTCACGCTCCTTCTCTGAACCTGCTTGAAAGAAAGGAGGATGTCATATTGTTATATAAACTGTGTGTTCATGTGGTATGAGTGTGTATATAGTAACACCCTTCCCTTGAGGTATTTGTTGTGTGTAACAGTACTGTACTCTTTCTGTTCGGTACCCATCTGTGCTAATATTTATGCATGTGTGAATATTTGTGTTATCTGTGCTTAACGGAAGGAAGGAAGTGAATACCTTCAGGGTATTTGTAATGTTTAGTGATGTCCTCTCTGTAGTCTCCATACACACTCTTGGTGCTGATGTTTTGGCCTACAGTCTTCTGGTTGAGGGAAACCTGTGAGCGTTGGCCATCTGGGTAGACGATCCAGGTGACCAGGTCTGCGTTCACCTCAGAGAACACGAACGATGCATCATACTTCATCCCCACATCACCATCCCTCACTGCCTTCACTGGACAGGGCCCACAACAGTACACCCCTGAGAGACAAGGAAAATATAGAGGGAGGATGGGGTGATTTGAAGAGTGAGGTTGTGAAGAGCACAAGTAACATATTACAAAAATATTATCTAAAATGTACAGTACCAGTCAAAACTTTGGACACACTTACTCATTCAATGGTTTTTCTTTATTTTAACTATTTTCTACATTGTAGAATAATAGTGAAGACATCAAAACTATGAAAGAACACATATGGAATCATGTAGTAACCAAAAAAGTGTTAAACAAATCAAAAGATATGTAAGATTTTAGATTCTTCAAAGTAGCCACCCTTTGCCTTGATGACAGCTTTGCACACTCTTGCCATTCTCTCAACCAGTTTCATGAGGAATGCTTTTCCAACAGTCTTGAAGGAGTTCCCACATATGCTGAGCACTTGTTGGCTGCTTTTCCTTCACTCTGCGGTCCAACTCATCCCAAACCATCTCAATTGGGTTGAGGTCGGGTGATTGTGGAGGCCAGGTCATCTGATGCAGCACTCCATCACTCTCATTGGTCAAATAGCCCTTACACAGTCTGGAGGTGTGTTTTGGGTCATTGTCCTGTTGAAAAACAAATGATAGTACCACTAAGCGCAAACCAGATGGGATGGCGTATCGCTGCAGAATAGTGTTGTAGCTTTGCTGGTTAAATGTGCCTTGAATTCTAAATAAATCACTGACAGTGTCACCAGCAAAGCAACCCCACACCATCACACCTCCTCCTCCATGCTTCACAGTGGGAACCACACATGTGCGGAGATCATCCGTTCACCTATTCTGCGTCTCACAAAGACACGTCGGTTAGAAAAAAAAATCTCAAATCTGGACTCATCAGACCAAAGGATAGATTTCCACCCATCTAAAGTCCATTGCTCGTGTTTCTTGGTCCAAGCAAGTCTCTTCTTCTTATTGGTGTCCTTTAGTAGTGGTTTCTTTGCAGCAATTTGACCATGAAGGCCTGATTCACGCAGTCTCCTCTGAACAGTTGATGTTGAGATGTGTCTGTTACTTGAACTCTGTGAAGCATTTATTTGAAGTATTTATTTGAACTTTTCCTCTGCAGCAGAGGTAACTCTGGGTCTTCCTTTCCTGTGGCGGTCCTCATGAGAGACAGTTTCATCATAGCGCTTGATGATTTTTGCGACAACTTTCAAAGTTCTTGAAATTCTCCGTATTGACTGACCTTCATGTCTTAAAGTAATGATGGACTGTCGTTTCTCTTTGCTTATTTGAGCTGTTCTTGCCATAATATGGACTTGGTCTTTTGCCAAATAGGGCTATCTTCTGTATACCTTGTCACAACACAACTGATTGGCTCAAGAAGGAAAGAAATTCCACAAATTAACTTTTAAGGCACACCTGTTAATTGAAATACATTCCAGGTGACTACCCCATGAAGCTGGTTGAGCGAATGCCTAGAGTATGCAAAGCTGTCATCAAGGCAAAGGGTGGCTACTTTGAAGCATCTCAAATATAAAATATATTTTGATTTGTTTAACACTTTTTTTGGTTACTACATGATTCCATATGTGTTATTTCATAGTTTTGATGTCTTCACTATTATTCTACAATGTAGAAAATAGTAAAAAAATAAAGAAACATCCTGGAGGTGTGTCCAAACTTTTTACTGGTACTATATATAATAAAGAGCTTTAAAGGAGCTTTTCCTTAGTGAGACAGACTGATCATGAATAGCAAGTACCATCACTCCTCTCCTGTGGGGTGGGATCCAGAGCCTGCCACCCATCATAGCCTTTAGGAAGATCCTCCCTGTCCATCCAGGACTCCACCCAGCAATGGTAGTTCCTACACACACAAAGCATTTACAGTATTGATGTGAGGGAGGCCACTAGAAAAAAAAACGGATGAAAATGATGACTTTGTCAAGAGAAAGAAATGTAGCTTTTGAGCTTTACCAGATCATGTCCTTCCTGCCTTCAGACACACTCTCCAACTGCTCGTCGTACAGATAGTCCACATTCAGGTTGCCATCAGTGTCGTGGGCAGAGGAGTAGTTTGTAACAGGGCGAGTAGGTATGCCCAGACAGCGAAGAACTGTGGGATGGGTGAGAGAAAGGAGCCAATCAGCAAACAGCATATAGTCTGTCTAGAATTACAGAGCTGAATATTACTGGAGCCCTAATGAAAGGTTAAAGAAAGAGCCAGAAATTAGTAGTTGAAAAAAGAAAGAGCCATCCTGTGTCAGGCACTATATGTGCGCCTCACCTGTGCAGGCTACACCTGAGAACACCCAGCACTGTCCGTATCGCACCCTCTGTGCCCCGGCCTCGCTCCATCGCCTGAGGATGGCCACACTGCCGGTCCAGCGTGTGGGTGGCACTCCATCATCGTACTTCCCGTCCCAGCGGCCCGACACCACGCCACGGTCATCATTAGCGTTCACCTGCACAGATGTAGAGGAAGTAAGTTAATTACTGTGAGATTATAACTATTCCCCTAGATGTAGAAATAATGACGGTATATGGTGAACCTTACCATTGCAGTAATTGTCCTGCTCACGTACACTGGGTCTGCTCGGTTGGCTGTGTCAATCTCTGGGGTTTTCAGTGCAGCAGGTGAATTGTTCAGGATTTCAAAACAGATGTCCACCACATCTTGTTCAAACTATGAAAAATGATGTGGGATTATATGTTAAAATATTATGAGAACACATTGAGGTCATGATGAGGTATGCAAATCTCAAACCAGTGTTAACAATACATACAGTCGTGGTCAAAAGTTTTGAGAATGACACAAATACTAATTTTCACAAAGTCTGCTGCCTCAGTTTTGATGATGGCAATTTCCATGTACTCCAGAATGTCATGAAGAGTGATCAGATGAATTGCAATTAATTGCAAAGTCCCTCTTTGCCATGAAAATGAACTTAATCCCCAAAACACTTTTCCACTGCATTTCAGCCCTGCCACAAAAGGACCAGCTGCCATCATGTCAGTGATTCTCTCGTTAACACAGGTGAGGGTGTTGATGAGGACAAGGCTGGAGATCACTCTGTCATGCTGATTGAGTTAGAATAACAGACTGGAAGCTTTAAAAGGAGGATGGTGCTTGAAATCATTGTTCTTCCTCTGTTAACCATGGTTACCTGCAAGGAAACACGTGGCGTCATCATTGCTTTGCACAATTGCTGCTAGTAAGATTGCACCTAAATCAAACATTTATCGGATCATCAAGAACTTCAAGGAGAGAGGTTCAATTGTTGTGAAGAAGGCGTCAGGGCGCCCAAGAAAGTCCAGCAAGCGCCAGGACAGTCTCCTAAAGTTGATTCAGCTGCGGGATCGGGGCACCACCAGTGCAGAGCTTGCTCAGGAATGGCAGCAGGCAGGTGTGAGTGCATCTGCACGCACAGTGAGGCAAAGACTTTTGGAGGATGGCCTGGTGTCAAGAAGGGCAGCAAAGAAGCCACTTCTCTCCAGGAAAAACATAAGAGACAGACTGAGATTCTGCAAAAGGTACAGGGATTGGACTGCTGAGGACTGGGGTAAAGTCATTTTCTCTGATGAATCCCCTTTTCGATTGTTTGGGGCAGCCGGAAAACACTTTGTCCGGAGAAGACAAGGTGAGCGCTACCATCAGTCCTGTGTCATGCCAACAGTAAAGCATCCTGAGACCATTCATGTGTGGGGTTGCTTCTCAGCCAAGGGAGTGGGCTCACTCACAATTTTGCCTAAGAACACAGCCATGAATAAAGAATGGTACCAACACATCCTCTGAGAGCAACTTCTCCCAACCATCCAAGAACAGTTTGGTGACGACCAATGCCCTTTCCAGCATGATGGAGCACCTTGCCATAAGGCAAAAGTGATAACTAAGTGGCTCGGGGAACAAACATCGACATTTTGGGTCCATGGCCAGGAAACTCCCCAGACCTTAATCCCATTGAGAACTTGTGGTCGATACTCAAGAGGCGGGTGGACAAACAAAAACCCACAAATTCTGACAAACTCCAAGCATTGATTATGCAAGAATGGGCTGCCATCAGTCAGGATGTGGCTCAGAAGTTAATTGACAGCATGCCAGGGCGGATTGCAGAGGTCTTGAAAAAGAAGGGTCAACACTGCAAATATTGACTCTTTGCATAAACATAATGTAATTGTCAATAAAAGCCTTTGACACTTATGGAATGCTTGTAATTATACTTCAGTATACTATAGTAACATCTGACAAAAATATATCATAACACTGAAGCAGCAAACTTTGTGAAGACCAATACTTGTGTCATTCTCAAAACGTTTGACCACGACTGTACATACAGTTGGTGATTGTGACTGTGAATATGTACTTTCCTCCTCACTAGATGGAGACAATCAGCCATGCAGGCTGTCTGTCCGTCTGTCTCAATGTCTATGTGACTATGTCTCTCTCTGTGTCTCTCTCTCTCTGAGATGAGACAAACCCTGGATTTTCACATAGACAGGGTAGAAATGCCTTACATCCACCAAAGACATTTCCTCAGCCAGCTAGGGCACTGTGTCTCCAATGCCATCAAGCTGTGACAATTCACACAGGCCACTATCAAGCCATCAGACTTGCCAGAAACCACTGGCTGCCAACACCCTCCCACCCGTTGTTTATCTTTCTGTTTGAAAACGCCTCAGCTAGAACTGTGATTTAGGCTACACATCACTGAGTTCTTGTTCTCAATGGATCGATGGGTTGTGATCAAAAGATTTGAAGCGCTCTCTCTATATATATCCATTCTGTCTCAGGTGGATTAGCTGTCCATCCTTCAGAGGTGTGCTGTTTGCTACCTGTCCAAAGTTCCAGGGCAGTGAGGAGATCTGGTCCCAGGAGCCCTGGTAAAGGAGGCCATTTTCATTCAGGATGTACTCCTCTAGCAGCTCCTCATCAGGGAGGTACACAGAGTCAGCTGGGAGGGAGAAAAACAAAGACCCAGCAGAGGGAAGACAATGACAAAACATATGTGGCAACAGCATTCATATTGTAGTGATATTGTATCACACAACTGACAGCTTTCATATCAGCAATCTCTTCACCAACTTTGACATTTCTCTATCCCTTCTAATCATTTCATGTTTAGCTTAAACTTATTTAAAAGTAAACACAGGGGGAGACAGACTGAGACAAACACACAACCTAAGTAGAAGTTGAGTCCCCTGACTCTGACCTACTAAGAGTGCAAAAGTAATGAATACCGATGACACCTTCCTGAGCCCTTATTGGTTCACCAAAAGAGCAAATAAAACAGGGCAGTTTCAACTGATTCTACTAATTTGTGCATGTGTGTTTATGTGTCGGAGCTCACCTTTGCACCAGGGATTGAAGAGCAGGTAGAACGTCTCTGGTGTGGTCTGCTCCAGGCTGTGTCCATCAGGGGAGAGGAGCAGCAATGTCATGCTGTAGAGTCCCACAGGGGTGTCTGCTGGGCTGTGGACTGTCAGCAGCACCTCATTCTGAGCCCTCTGGTGGCGGAACCACCACTTGTCACGGTCAGCACGGGCATCCAAAACCTTCACCACCACCTCACCCTCCTTACCTAAACACGCAAACAAACAAAAACACATATACTGTCAGTCAAAGCTGTTTTACCAGACCATTTTCGTTTTATATCTGTCAATCATAACTGATTCCTCCTCCCACTGTGCAATAGTATCCACTCTATAGCTGACTCGAGCTTATGGTCCTTGGCCTTGAGTTGCTCACCCAGATGCAGGATCATGGCTAGTTTGTGTTTAGGTGGCAGGGGTGTGGAGCACTGCAGAGCGAGGGAGAAGGGCTGCCCCCTACGAACCAGCAGCCTTTCCAGGTCCATCTCCTCTGTACGATGGGCATGGTTGTTCACCTGGCAACGCAGGTCCATCCCCATGAATACACCTGGAACACAATAAAAGAAAGAACGTAGGGCTCAGTCACTTGTAAGAAAAACATATTCTACTGTGTAGTTAGGAATAACGAGTTCATGAGGGAATCTTGGGGGTAACCAGGCCATACACTATTACTCTTGCAGATATTAATATTTCTAGACAGATCTCTATTTTAGTCATACCAATCACAATGGTCCCATGTTGTACAGGTCAAACCACAGAAAGGTCAGACAAGTCATCAATTGGAGCCTGACTATCATTGTGAGTCAAGGACCCCACTTCATATTTATAGAAGCTACTGTATGTAGGCAACTCCATTCAAGCATGCTGTACTGTGGGAAAACATTAAAGCGATACTGCGAGATTCTGGCAATTAAGCCATTTTTCTACTTATGCAGAGTCAGATTAACTTGTGGATACCATTTTTATGTAGCATACGCTAGCGTACCTGTAGACTTCCAGTCATTGCGCTAATGATACCCACTGGGCACAGACATCAGTTCAACATTTAGTTTTGATTTACATTTTGTTGAGTTGTCAACTTACACATTTTTTTATCATGTTATTGGATTTAGGTTAAAAGTCTTGTGTGCCATATACTCAGAACACACACAGAGACAGACCAACTTGAATTTTCCTGCTAGGAGATACACTGATCTACTGTATATTCTGTTTAAATTTAGAAATGTACACATTTCAGGATAAACTTTGTCAGATAGCACATCTGCTTCATCCTCATATTTTTATGAGTAGTGCATACAAGCCTATATTACTCTCTTACTCTCCTGGTATGCATTGCTTAACATAGAATGAGTGATCTCAACACACTGCTGTGAATTCATACGGCAGCACATTTTATTCATATGGTAGCACATTTTTCACAGATATGGAAATTGCTAGTAATATTTGTCTCATCTACTTCGGAGAGCACTACCAATGGTTTGAAAAAGCAGTGTAACAATGATAAGTCACTCACTGTTTTGGTCAGCCATTCTCCACTCTTTGTTGTGAATAACTCCTCTGTGAATATTTTCTTCTCTGCCGTGTTATCTTCTTTTATGATAAGTTTGACTCCTCTCTTGACTTTTCAAACAGTCTTGAAGGTGTATGCCTCACTTTTCTACCACTGTCCCCACCAGGACCCAGTATTTATACTGGAGAGGAATGGCCCCATTCCAATGCTCCAACACACGCTCACACACACCTCCCATTCACCATCCTTCCTGACCTCTGACATCACACTCTGAGGAGATCCAGAACAAAAGTGTACTCACAGTCAGTCTCTCTCTGTGTGTGTGCATGTGTGTCTCTGCCTACTTAAATATTTTACTTCAACACTGAAAAAAGAATGAGAGCCCAAGTATTTACTATAGTTTGTGTCAGCCATGTGCAGGAACCTTTCTCTGCTCCTCTGATCCAAGTTCAGACACTGGGTTCTTTGTTCAGCGGATGAAGGGTTCAGGGCATAGGGTAAACTTTTACTAATCCAACAGTATTCCAGTAAATGTTTTGCATCATATGCAATTTCCTGTTTCACAGTCTATGGCACATACATGGGCACTTTTCTTCTTTCTGGATGGGCCAGTCGCAACTTAGAGAACAGACAAGTTGAATACGTTTACAGCATGATACACTACTTGAGAGGAAAAACACAATTTTGTTGCTGGGTTTTTATTCATATGAATTGGAGTCCAGGACATTTACTGGAGGTCGGTCCATTTTTCCTTGCACATGGTAAAGCTATTTAATCAACATAACATATGGAGGCAGCCCCCCGCACCTCTCTGATTCAGAGGGGTTGTGTTAAATGCGGAAGACACATTCCAGTTGAATGCATTCAGTTGTACAACTGACTAGGTATCCCCCTTTCCCTTCCCTTTCCCTTCATCATTTGTTGAGTCTAGACTGGAGACAAGTCCCAATGTTAAAGAATAATAATGAAAGCAGAAGGGGTATTTTAGTATTATAGTGGCCATCTGTTGAATCATCCAAAAATGGAGGTGCCGGTACTCAGTTCTGGTATGCTCCTGCCCAAGTGAAGCACTGCTAATTTCCAATGTTGAAGAATACTAGTGAAAGCAGAAGGTGTATTTCTACTGAAATGTATGGTGATTAAATACACTATGGATTCGGCTATTTCAGCCACACCCGTTGCTGACAGTTGTATAAAATCGAGCACACAGCCATGCAATCTCCATAAACAAACACAGGCAGTAGAATGGCCTTACAGAAGAGCTCAGTGACTTTCAACGTGGCACCGTCATCGAGTGCCACCTTTCCAATAAGTCAGTGTGTCACATTTCTGCCCTGCTAGAGCTGCCCCGGTCAACTGTAAGTGCTGTTATTGTGAAGTGGAAACGTCTAAGCCACGAAGTGGTAGGCCACACAAGCTCACAGAATGTGACCGCCGAGTGCTGAAGTGCGTAGCGCGTAAAATCGTCTGTCCTCGGTTGCAACACTCACTACCGAGTTCCAAACTGCCTCTGAAAGCAACTTCAGCACAATAACTGTTCATCGGGAGCTTCATGAAATGGTCTTTCATGGCCGGGCAGCCGCACACAAGCCTAAGATCCCCATGCGCAATGCCAAGCGTCGGCTGGAGTGGTGTAAAGACATTGGACTCTGGAGCAGTGGAAACGCGTTCTCTGGAGTGATGAATCACGCTTCACCAGTGGCAGTCCGACAGATGAAGCTGGGTTTGGCGGACGACAGGACAACGCAACCTGCCCAAATGCATAGTGCCAACTGTAAAGTTTGGTGGAGGAGGAATAATGGTCTGAGGCTGTTTTTCATGGTTCGGTGTAGGCCCCTTAGTTCCAGTGAAGGGAAATCTTAACACTACAGCATACAATTAAATTCTAGACGATTCTGTGTTTCCAACTTTGTGGCAATAGTTTGGGGAAGGCCCTTTCCTGTTTCAGCATGACAATGCCCCCGTGCACAGTACAAGGTCCACACAGAAATGGTTTGTCGAGATCGGTGTGGAAGAACTTGACTGGCCTGCACAGAGCCCTGACCTCAACCTTTCGAACACCTTTGGGATGAATTTGAACGCAGACTGCGAGCCAGGCCTAATCGCCCAACATCAGTGCCCGATCTCACTAATGCTCTTGTGGCTGAATGGATGCAAGTCCCCGCAGCAATGTTCCAACATCTAGTGGAAAGCCTTCCCAGAAGAGTGGAGGCTGTTATAGCAGCAAAGGGGGACCAACTCCATATTAATGCCCATGATTTTGGAATGACATGTTCGACGAGCAGGTGTCCACATACCTTTGGTAATGTAGTGTATCATATCATCTGTCGAAACTGTCTCCTTCAATGTCATGTCATGAGGGTCAATGCTCCAAGTTCAAGTCGTGTATCAAGTTATAACATTTGTGAGACTCGACTCTAGTCCAAGTCATAGGATTCAAGTCCAGAATGATATTACTAATATAGCCACAATACAGTAATATATCATAAATAAGAGTACTTGCTGAGTGTACATGCTCAACTATCAGTACATATTAGGCTATGTGAAGTTACAATTTGTGAGTAATGGAATGATGAGTGTGTAAGAGGTACGTGTGTTTGCCAGCCGGACTGTGTGTAAGGAAGTGATATTCCCATAGTGGAGTAAGGAGACACACCAAAAGGGATACAATATGAGGGATCTTTCTTCATCACCATGACAGCATTGTACCCTCTTGCTACAGTGTGTGACATATTTAGCTAATTCTCAGTGACTATAAATAAGAAATGAGGCCTCTGGCATTTTCTGAGTGGAAAGTGGAAGGAACAATAACCTCTCAAATAATTTTGATGGCAGCAGATTCTCACCATGCTGTTACATTGTTTGGGTGGTGCTTGCTTTTGCTGACACACAGAAGCCTCTCTGTCCAGCTGACACAGGGGGCAAACAAGTGTGTCAGACACTAAACTGAGGAATGCTGTGACAGTCAGGTTTCGGGAAAATGGCGCACATGACTTCTTTCTCATAGCACCTATGTGACAAGCTTCTTGACAGTTGACCAGTATGACAAGTCACACTATGTGTCTCTCTTCTTGGGAGCTCAGGGAGGATATGAGAACAAGATGGCAGGCTGTAAAGGTAAGGTCTGAGGTATAGTGATGATATACGGGAAACTCTTTTATACACTATTTTATAAACTTTTTCGTAACAGGTTATGAGAACTTACGCAGCAGGTTAGCAGAATTAACGTAGCTGGTTAGGAGACTGAGGTTAAGGTTAGGAAAAGGGTTAGGGTTAGCGAAAATGCTATCCTCACCTGCTACGAAAATCACTATGTATCGAAGTGGCGTGAAAAGTGTGTGTCCCGATGATATACAGTCAGCCAGCAGGCTGAGGTATCAGCCAAGTTTTAATAAAATAATCACTGGTCCGAATGTTCACACAGAGGGAGCTAGTAACTCTCCACAGACCGCCACTGAAATAATAAGCATCTTTCATCTTCTTCTTCTTCAGCTTGTGCCAATGCTGAGACATAAATACTCTCCTCTTGACAGAGCGGGTGCATTTTTGGAGCATGGCCAGTCCTACCTGGGTACTGAGACAGGATTGGAGTGAAAACCTACAGGACAGTAGCTCTCCAGGAACAGCGTTGGAGAGGCCTGGCCCAGATTGAGTGACTTGCTGAAATTACACTCCAGGTGAGTCATGAATCCCTTCTTTTACTACAACAGACAACACTGAAGTAAGGACAGGGAATCAGACACCTCAGTCAACATGTACCCAGACTCTGAACAAGAGATTTAAAGCTGTCTGGGGTCTTCAGGAGGTCTTGTTCTTGCTCATTCCTTCTCCTGCAGAGACAACTGTAACACTTGGTGTGCAGACATCTCCATCAACACAGGCTGAGTGCGTGCTGCAGTGATGCCAGGAGGAAGTCACAGAATGGAGACAGAAACCTCAGCCCAGTGCTCACCCCCTCCAGAGTAAAAACACTGTCTTGGGCTGCCTTCCATCATTCAGAACAGCAGTGTGTGTGTGTGTGTGTGTGTGTGTGTGGAGAGAGAGAGAGAGAGATAGAGAGAGAGCTAGAGAGAGGTGGGGAACTGGCAGGAGGTAACAGTTATGGGACCATAGACCCAGTGCTTAATTTGTAAATTGGGAGGTACCGGAAGAAAAGGTGAGAGGAGAGAGGGATGACCTTGGGGGCTCTGAGGTACATTACATTTGACATTTTAGTCATTTAGCAGACGCTCTTATCCAGAGTGAGTGAATACATTGTTTTTATATTATTATTATTTTTATTTTTAATTTATTTTAATTTATTTTTAAATACAAAATCATACTGGTGACATCTGCTGATGTAAAACGGGCTTTATAAATAAATTTGATTGATTCATTAATTCATTCACTCATTCATTTATGTCTAGCAGAGAGAGGGAGCGAGATCATAGAAAGTGAACCATAAACCCGGACGGGCTCAACACGTATCAATTCTTAGAATATCAGGCACGTTTTCACATAAACTTTTTTAGGGGGCAGGAGAATTACAGAGGCAACTTGAATTAACTCTGAATTTTTACATTGCAAACAGTGAAAATAATGTTTCATGCAACGAGAGGTACCGGATCCTGACAAATGGGTTAAGGAACAAAACAGTCCAAAACTGAGAGGTGCCGGATCCTGTTTCGTTAGGAACCGGCTCAAATGCACTGACCAATGCAATGAGACGTCTGATGAAAAAATATTTTTAGGAAACGAAAGATCTCCTAACAACTAGCCGTGCTGAATTATTATTTACCAATTCAACAACAACAAAAACATGCTATGAAAATTGCACATAGCGTCCAAGGTGTTTAAAAATATATAATTATAATGTATGCATAACTCAAACGATACTTGTCTCGCCTGACAGAGGACACATTAAGAACATCCAGCTTGCTACAGTAATGTTAGTCAAGAGTTTGAAACAACGTGCTAACGTTAGCTAGCTAGCTAATCATTATATATGCTAGCTAGCTGCTAATTTGCTTCCTAGGTCGCTGATATCCTGCCTTGTTTCATTATTAATTCACATGTTATTCGCCGTACTATTGTTACAGAAGTAACTAGTTGGTTTTGTTTTCCATGATTTATTAGACCATTTTTATCCAGTTGCATATGTTCATAAGTGCTACAATGGTCAAATTGCCTAACGTCAGGATGGCCGAGCGGTCTAAGGCGCTGCGTTCAGGTCGCAGTCTCCCCTGGAGGCGTGGGTTCGAATCCCACTTCTGACAGTTCTTTTTGTTAAGGTCATTTCATTTTCGTCTTGTATGTATTAGGTAGTAGGTAGGCAGTAACTAACTATTCGTTTTTTTCTATTAAACTCAATTATTGAATTGATCAATGAATGGTGTTCTAAAAGAAAGAAATAATTGTAGCTTATGATGATCAAGGGGTGATACAACATAGGGAAACATTTTAGGCAATGTTATTGTGAATATTTGTATTTTGCAACTAAAAGCAAATTAATGTAGGCTATGCTTGCATTATATAGGCTAGGCCACGTTTGGACACTTGAGTTTGTGACAGGCACGAAAAAAAATAAGCTATTGAGAGCCGATATAGACAATGTCTTAATCCAGACAGTAGGCCTACTGTGCCTTTAGAAAGTATTCATACCCCTTGATTTATTTCATATTTTGTTGTGTTACAGCCTGACTTCAAAATGGTTTTAAATTAAAAAAAAATCTCACCCATCTACACACAATACCTCATAATGACAAAAGGCTTCTTAACAGCTTCAAGCCATAAGAATCCTGAAAATAAAATACAAAAATATCTCATTTACAAAAGTATTCACACCCCTGAGTTAATACATGTTAGAATCACCTTTGGCAGCGATTACAGCTGTGAACCTTTCTGGGTAAGTCTCTAAGAGCTTTGCACACCTGGATTTCCACATTATTCTTTCAAAGATTCTTCAAGCTCTGTCAAATTGATTGTTGATCATTGCTAGACAGCCATTTTCAAGTCTTGCCATATATTTTCAAGCCGATTTAAGTCAAAACATCACACACTATACTGTACATGCTCCCATACATAACCATTATGATCATATAATTCCTGGGAGGAACAAGCCAGTCACCACAACATTGGCCCTGTTGCACAAAGACCGAGGGCTAATAGTGTGTCTACCAGAGTTTATCAACAGTTTCACCATGCATAGGACATTAAAGCGTGTTTAAAGACATGTATCTATTGCCTTTTACAACACAGGAAATCAGTAGCCAGGTGACTCTAGACAATAAATATTCCCATCCTACCGTTAATATTATTTTCACAAACATCATAGTTTGATGTAGGTCAGGAGTCAAACTTTATCGATATGTAGCATGTATGGCATGACAACAAATTATGGAAAATTAACTGTCTAAAAGCCAATACATCAATAGGGCTCATAGCTTTCACCTGGATTCACCTGGTCAGACTATGTCATGGAAAGAGCAAGTGTTCCTAATGTTCCTACTGCTTAGTCTGTCTAAAATGCATGACGTAAAAAAAAGACCCTTTGGTCAGGTGTTTGTTTTAGAAACTTCAGACATATGTGTAATGATGTAAAAATCACAGATACAAAACTCAAAGTCATTGAGTTCACAAATTCAATACAAAACCTTAGACACATTCCCATTGCAAACCTGCAACAGTTCAAACACAAAAGCAGGGGACAAGACAGACATGATAACCTTTCCAATAAGTTCGTTGTTTAGTCCTAAGCTAACTTGTAGTCCCCTGTGAATGGCGAGCATGGGCAAGACATGAACACTTATCTTCTGTCACCAGCAGCACTTCACTATTTGACATGAATGTGTATGTTTGGGGATGATTCTTCATTTGTTACTTCGGTTCTGTTGTTCTGGAGGTGATGGGTTTAGAGGTTTTAGAGCTGAGCGACCTCACCACTAGGCCATCACTGAGGTCCAGCCCTCAGCCCTCCCTCTCCTGAAGACAGAGAATGCCATCTCCATTTTGAGGTAGTCCATTTTCTTTTTCTAATACTTCTATGAGTTGGCAAACAAACTGTAAGGGTGCACACTGGCACCTAGAGTGTTTTGTTTGAACAGGTATAAAGCCAAGGTTGGCGATTTACTGCCACCTGCACTTATGGAATGTTTCCTCACAAGTGGATGGAATCATGTGATCCTTCCTTAACCCATAGGAAGTCCCACCCAGTTGACTACTTCAAAATGGTGAAAGTCCTCAACGGCGCTGCCCATACTAAACTGTCTTTTGGACACTAGAGTCCTCCACCTATCTCTATGTTTCTGAGACACAACAACATACACCACATACAGGAGACACAATCCTCTCTAACAAATCATTAGTGCAGATCCTAGGTTAGAAACATTCTGGGTTGTTACTCACTACTCTGTAGTCAATTAACAGTTCCTTGAAGGCCATGAAGTCTGTAAAAGTAAGCAACGTGTTGAAGATGTCCCCTGACACTTCATCTTTGTGCTACCTTAAACAAAAAATATATATTTGTGAAACGAGAACCAATACATGTTGCGCTCTGCAGTGAGGTGTACTTGGTTTACAAGGGGCAATGTACCACCTAGTGGCAGCATGTAAAGTTACTCCTGAGGGAAAATTTACTTTAGTAAATTGTTAAATGTGCGCATGTTGAAACAGAGAATCCTCTCAATCAGCTGTTGCTCAAGGCGTTTCTCAAGCATCTAAATCTGAGGAGGTTGAAGTAAACAGAATATGTATGATCGAGATATACTTTCACATAGATACGTTTTTTAAAGACGCTCTACCGTACATGACAGTTAGTTAAAATAAGGGAGGCAGATTAACATTAACACTGCAATTACATATTTGTTGAAGATGGGTGTGTAGGTGAGTTTGTTCTCCTCTGAGTCATCAAACTCCAGGTAGTGTTTCTCCATGAAGCGCTGGTGCAGGTGCTGGAAGTCATCCTCTGAGGTGGAAATTGTGTAACATTAGCAATCCATTTAACATTTACACACTGAAACATGTCTAGACCGACACAAAACACTGTCTTGTGTCCAATTTACCCATGATGAGGTCTTCAATACTCCCAATGACAGCATCAAAGGCAGCATCAACATCTGATGAGCTGGTGAGGATAAAACATACCGTAGTCGGCAACCAAACACTATAAACCATCATGACAATGATAATTCCCTTCTAACTTCGCTACCTCACTCACTTCCTCAGACACAGACGGACACACATACTTTGAAACAGAAAAAGTATCCTCCTCTAAGTCCACCATTTCAACGATGTTCTCTCCACCACCCAGCATATCTAAAAATAAATAAATAAGACATTGCACAATAACATTAGATATTGCATAGAATTAGGAATTACAATAGGATCTCAATGAAATAGCATTTCAACACATTAGCTATCTAGCCTAACGGTAGCTAACGTTTAATTAGCATGCAAACAAGTTTTCACATTAAAGTCTAACGTAAGCTCAGCAATAGATAGCAATCATTGCCATATTTCTCCGACTTTATTTTTTATATGATTTACAATTTGTCATGTACTTCGCTCTTTAACGTCCATTCTAAATCTACTTAGCTAGCAAGCTAACGTGTCATTCTGTCTTGATTTTCGGTAATCGCGTCCAAGGCAACAAATAACCAAGACAACGAAGAAAAAAAAACGCTCCCTTCAGTAAATTCAGTCCGGTGAGGAAACAGATCCCAGCTAATAATATTCGGGAGTACAGTATGGTCAGGCTCTCAACATCGTTTGAACTGAAATGAATGTTAAATGTTTAAGTTAATAGGTCCTTTATTGCAATCATGGACTAAATGTATTTTCCTTTTCGTCCCATGATAATGCGGCATGGCAGACATCATACATTCTGACTGACGATGCGTTTACTGGTGATGTAGCTAGCCTGCTCTCATGTAAATAAAATTGGCATCTTTGACAAGCAACTATGCAACACAATACATTTATTACAAATATCATAATCCAGAAAACAATGATTATTCAGTAAATCACATGTGACCCCTGGGGCTACTCCATTAAAGACATAGATAAAATTTTACTTTCAACTCTTAATTTCTTCCATGACTAATTAATTGTCTGGAATGGACTGGAGACAATTGGTCCTCCATATATGCACACTTTGACCAAATGTGTAGTTTCTTCTGACAACATCCTAGGATTGTTTGAATAATTTTCCACAACCACGTCATGCTATACTGTTTAAAACGATCCCAATTAGCTTTGATTTCAATAACTTAATTTCATTAAATTTAGTTTTAATTGTAGACAAATATAATAGTATTTTGAATAACAGTTATTTTGTTAAATTTGAAATCTCTTTTATAACAGCATGGTTATTCAATCAACCCAGAAATGCATCAAGTAGAGGAGAGATGGACACATATCTGTGCTCAGTTAGTATTGTATGATTGAGCAGGGCCTTAACATCATTATCACCGCCAACTGAGCCAACCAAGGATGTCTCTTCGTTGTTGTTGTGCCTTTACGTATAGTCAGAATAAAACAAGAGAATCACAGATACATGTAAAACATCTGAGCAGAGATACACAGGACACATTGACCAGAGCCTAAGGGAGGGAACATTAGGCAGATCCATGTGCAGACACTGTGTGAGTTTATGACATTAAGATTGATGGGGTGATTCTGGAAATGCTGCTGCCTGGTAATGTCTCTAATTGTCTTCCTCCCACTTCCCCCTCACTCTCCAAGCACTTTTTTGTTCTCAGGGTGTGGGGCCCATCTCCTCACAGAGAGAACGATTCATGGAGTGCAGCAGAAGAAAAGGTTACCCCTCCCTGTCCTATTCTCCCTACACTATCCCCCACACTGTATCTCTCCTGGAGGTCTTTGTCAGGTCCCATCACTCCCTCCTCACATTAGGCTCAGGGTCCGATCAGGGATCCTGGCACAGCCTCACAGTCCTATTGGTCGGGTTGATTCCTGGGATAAAGATGATTGGAGGAGGGGAGGAGCGTTCATGTCCTGGTTTGGAGGTGATGTGTCAGGACACGTGTGAGATGAGTCTGACACGTGTCAGGATGTCCTGGCGACACAGCGGGCACGTCTCCAGCTGTAAGGCACACTCCATACACATCCCACTAAGGAAACAGACACAAACACACACAGAGACCACGTAAGGAGCTGTAACACACAGGCAAATAGCTAGATACTCAATATAGGTACAAGGGGTGAAACAGAGAGGGAAGTTGTTGTACCTGTGTCCGCAGGGTCTCAGCTCTGTATCAGCCATCTGGTCACAGCAGAGGGTGCAGCAGTTGTCTCTGATGCTCACCTGCTTGAGCAGGGCCAGGCGCCGGTGTCTGAGGAAAACACACAAGCACAAACAGTTACTAAATGTTACATGGGAGTTCACATAATGTGCAGTTGTCCTGTTCAACTAGTGATCATTTAGAGCCTAACAATTTTGCTCAAGGTTCCATTAGCTCCGACTTACCTGGGAAGGATAATCTTCTCATCAGACGCCAGCGAGGCAAAGTCATTGAAGGTGCTGAACTTGACAGACGGGGGATGGCGGAAGGGCTTCGCCCCAAAGTTAAACTCACATTGTTGGTAGGACATGAAACTTGCTGCTGCAAAGAAGCCAGACCTGGAAAAAGAAAGGAAGTAGAAAGACTAAAGAAAGTGGAAGAATAGTATGAAAACATTTATGCACTCACTAAGTCGCTCTGGATAAGAGCGTCTGCTAAAATGACTTAACATTTTTTTTTTTAAATAGGGAGGATATTGGATGTGGCAGTGAGTTACTGAAATGTACAGTATGTGAATATGTTAATACATGTGTGGGGTGCACTTTGGATTATGGCCAGAAAATGGAGCAAGCAGGAGTAGGGTGTGTATACTCACGTTGCTGAGGAAAACACCTGCTTCTCTGGGGGGAGCTGATGTCCATTCAGGTAGAAAAGCATCTGCTTCTTACTGAGGTCCAGTAGGAAACCTATGGCATCTCCTACAGATCAAAGAAAGTGTAAGGCTTAAGCATATACTTGTAAGGGACAGTAGTTTGGTAACAAATGTGTGTAAGTCGAGGTGTTGACAGACATCTCCCCATTACAGCCTGAGCTACAACATGATACTGTATGGAGTTTGGGGTGCACTTACCCTCTTTCCAGCAGGGGTGGGAGTGTGGTTTACTGCGAGCGTTGTACCAGATTAGCTGCCTGCAGCCATCATATGCACACGAGTATTCATCATCTCCTATCCCATAGCCCTCCTGAAGCACACACATTGTGGCATTCAGTCTCTAGCATAAATAGCATAAATAAACACTGCTTGCTGTGTGTATCAGTAAAGCATGTGAGCACATACATGGTTAAGGAACTTGCTGTCCTTGGTGGCCCAGCCAATCTGCATGACCCCTGAGGTGACCACTGTGACCTCATAGTACCACACGCCTGAGTCCACACAGAAGGTACAGCGGACACTCTCAAAGGAGGACGCGTCGCAGCGTGCCTTGGGAGAGGGGAGAAAAGGGCAGATCCATTATCTCTATGAAACAGGATTATGATACTGATCAGTATAATACTGGCATTTAGATGACGAACATAAAGTATAATCACTTCGTGTGTGTGCAACACAGTGCCCCTATAGACAGTTGCGTAGAGATTATTCTAGTCACACTGCTCTGTCAGGCTTGTTACAGAGAGAGGCCCCCCTCACCTCCAGTCCACTGGGAGAGATCTTGAGATACTCGCTGACGTCGTTGCTGTTCAGCATGGCGTTGATGTTGCTCAAGTTCACCTTCTCATAGGTGAACTGACGGCCATCTTTCAGGACTGAGGAGACAGGATAGAGGGAATATTAAGTCAGTCAGTCATACACAACAACATAGTGTGTGGATGAGAACTGTCCTCCCTAACATGATGTAGCCTACTACTCACAGAGGTTATCCAGGCTCCATTGGGAACAGAAGCCGACCTGGCGCTTCAGGTAGTCTGTGTGGTCAGCCCACAATTCCAGAATCCCCAGCCGGTCACTTATACACGACTCAGACACTGTTAGCTTGTTCTCACCTGCAAAAAGGGAAATAGAACAGCTACTAGTCCATTTCATGGCCAGTGGGTTAGCATAGCAACCTTCAGAAGGATGTGCAGGATAAGGGGACAAACTTACTGGTCTGAGAGAACTTCTCCAAGGCTATGAGAGCAAAGAGCATTACAGTAGGATGGGCCTCAGAACTCTGGGAACAGAGATGTTCAGATCAATTAGACAAGGTCTCAGCCTCATTCTACATGCAACCCAAGTTTATGACTATTGGCAGCGCAACAGCATTTGTGTGGTTCTACATGTTTGGCGTGTTCTCTCACCAGGCTCTCCAGCAGGTACCCCAGGGTTCCAGGGCTCAGGAGTCCAATGCTGGCTGGACCTGAGAGATGAGACATATGGAGTGGGCGTTAGGTGAAGGAACAATGCTAAGAGCCACAGTAAAAGCACAGGATTGCACCCAAAAAATTATTTAAAACCCCCCACAATATTATGTCTCACATGCGCCGAATACAACGGGTGTAGACTTCACCGTGAAATGTTTGCTTACGAGCCCTTCCCAATGATGTAGAGTTAAAAAAGAATAATACAAAGAAAAATAGTAACACTCAACGCTTCCAGAGAAAGACAAAGTGTAGTTCACAGTTTGGGGTGTAAACAAACAGACATTGAATAGAAGAGGCAACCCCTGTTGGGTATGTCAGAGACCGTGTTGTCTCACCCTGGCCACCCTCTTCCCAGGCCAGTGCTGCAGGCTCAGCAGAACTGTCAGAGCAAAGGCAGAGCACTTTGGCCATGTCATGACAGGCATACAACTCAAACCTGCAGGATCAGCTCTTTCAGTTCACAATGACCATTTGGTATGCTAAATTCTGGTTGGGCAACTAGGGTCAAATAACCTGAGGCGTTTGAGAGCATTTGCATACATATTCACACTGTTGATTATGTGAGTTCAAGAGTGTGTGTGTGTGTCTGTAAGAGAAAGTGTGTGTGGGGTTTGGTTTTACCATCCTTGTGGGGACCAGAAGTCCTCACAAGTTTAGTAAAACAAGGAACATTCGGACAAGTGGGGACATTTCGCCAGTCCCCAAAAGGAAAAATACTTTCTTAGGCTTAATGGTTAGGTTTACAATTAGGGGTTAGATTTAGGGTTTTGGGTGTAAGGTTAGGTTAAGAAAAATAGGATTTTGAATGGGAATCATTCGTTTGGTCCCCAAAAGGATAGTAAAACAAACTTGTGTGTGTAAGAGATGAGGGAGATCAGGTTGCATCCACCCTCACCAGCCAGTTTCTCAGCCAGGCAGCCCAGTACAGCTGTAGTGTTGCGGTGCTTAGAAGGGATGACGGCATCCTGGCGGGCCACAGTGGCACTCAGGCTCAGCATCTCGGACAGCTTCTGTAGAGCATCCTGACAAAGGAAGGGAAACGAGCACTGTTTTGAAAGCCCTACACAGCGAAACACTGTCTCTTGAAATCTACTTCATCGTCTTTTCTTTCATAATACAGTGCCTTCAGAAAGTATTCATACCCCTTGACTTATTCTACCTTTTGTTGTGTTACAGCCCGAATTCAAAATTGATTACATTTTTCCCTCACCCATTTACACAAAATACTCCACAATGACAAAGTGAAAACATGTTTTTAGAAATGTTGGCAGATTTATTGAAAATGAAATACAGAAATCTAATTTACATAAGTATTCACACCCGAGTCAATATTTTGTAGAAGCACCTTTGGCAGCAATTACAGCTGTGAGTCTTTCTGGATAAGTCTAAGCGCTTTCCACACCTGGATTGCGCAGCATTTGCCCATTATTCTTTTAAGAATTCTTCAAGCTCTATCAAATTGGCTGTTGGTCATTGCTAGAAAACCATTTTTCAGGTCTTGCCATAGTTTCAGAAGTAGATTTAAGTCAAAACTCTAACTCAGCCACTCAGGAACATTCACCGTCTTCTTGGAAAGCAACTCCAGCGTAGATTTGGCCTTGTGTTTTAGGTTATTGTCTTGCTGAAAGGTGAATTCATCTCCCAGTGTCTGGTGGAAAGCAGACTGAATCAGGCTTTCCTCTAGGATTTTGCCTGTGCTTAGCTCCATTCCATTTCTTTTTTATCCTGAAAAACTCCCCAGTCCTTAACGATTACAAGCATACCCATAACATGATGCAGCCACCACTATGCTTTAAAATATGGAGCGTGGTACTCAGTAATGTTGTATTGGATTTGCCCCAAACATAACTTTTTGTCCTAAATACAAAAGGTTAATTGCTTTGCCACATTTTTTGCAGTATTACTTTAGTGACTTGATGCAAACAGGATGCATGTTTTGGAATATTTTTATTCTGTACAGGCTTCGTTCTTTTCACTCTGTCAATTAGGTTAGTATTGTGGAGTAACTACAATGTTGATCCATCCTCATTTTGTTCCTATCACAGCCATTAAGCTCTGTAACTGTTTTAAAGTCACCATTGGCCTGGCCTCATGGTTAAATCCCTGAGCGGTTTCCTTCCTCTCTGGCAACGGAGTTAGGAAGGACGCCTGTATCTTTGCAGTGACTGGGTGTATCAATACACCATCCAAAGTGTAATTAATAACTTCACCATGCTCAAAGGGATATTCAATGTCTGCTTTTTGTATTTGTATCTACCAATAGGTGCCCGTCTTTGCGAGGCATTGGAAATCCTCCCTGGGCTCTGTGGTTGAATCTGTGTTTGAAATTCACTGCTTGACTGAGGGACCTTACAGATAATTGTATGGTGTGGGGTACAGAGACGAGGTTGTCAATCAAAAATCATGTTAAACACCATTATTGCACACAGAGTGAGTTGGGGTACAGAGACGAGGTTGTCAATCAAAAATCATGTTAAACACCATTATTGCACACAGTGTGAGTCCATGCAATGTATTATGTGACTTGTTAAGAAATGTTTTACTCCTGAACTTACTTATGCTTGCCATAACAAAAGGATTGAATATTTAATGACTCAAGACATTTCAGCTTTTCATTTTTAATTAATAATAATTAATAACATAATTCCACTTTCACATTATGGGGTATTGTGTGTAGGCCAGTGACAAAACATCTCTATTTAATACATTCTAAATTCAGGCTGTAATGCAACATGTGGAAAAAATCAAAGGGTGTGAATACTTTCTGAAGGCTCTGTACACACTGACTGTACAAAACATAGGAACACCTTCCTAATATTGAGTTGCACCCCCTTTTGCCCTCAGAACAGCCTCAATTCGTTGGGTCACGGACTCTACAAGGTGTCGAAAGTGTTCCACAGGGATGCTGGCCCATCATGACTCCAATGCTTCCCACAGTTGTGTCATGTCGGCTGGATGTCCTTTGGGTGGTGGACCATTCTTGATACACACGGAAAACTGTTGAGCGTGAAAAACCTAGCAGCGTTGCAGTTCTTGACACACTCAAACCGGTGAAGGTAAGATGCACCAGATCTTATTTAGGGGCTTCATAGCAAAGGGGGTGAATACATATGCACGCACCACTTTTCCATTATTAATTTTTTTGAATTTTTGGAAACAAGTAATTTTTTTCATTTCACTTCACCAATTTTGACTATTTTGTGAATGTCCATTATATGAAATACAAATAAAAATCCATTAAAAATTACAGGTTGTAATGCAACAAAACAGGAAAAACGCCAAGGGGGATGAATACTTTTGCAAGGCACTAAGATACACTACATGACCAAAAGTATGTGGAACATCTCATTCCAAAATCATGGGCATTAATATGGAGTTGGTCCTCCCTTTGCTGCTATAACAGCCTCCACTGTTCTGGGAAGGCTTTCGACTAGATGTTGGAACATTGCTGCGGGTACTTCCTTCTTTTCAGCCACAAGTGCATTAGTGAGGTCGAGCACTGATGTTGGGAGATTAGGCCTGGCTCGCAGTTGGCGTTCAAATTCATCCCAAAGGTGTTCGATGGGGTTGAGGTCAGGGCTCTGTGCAGGCCAGTCAAGCTCTTCCACACCGATCTCGACAAAACATTTCTGTATGGACCTCGCTTTGCACAACTTTACAGTTGGCACTATGCATTGGGGCAGGTAGCGTTCTCCTGGCATCCGCCAAATCCATATTTGTCCGTCGGAGTGCCAGATGGTGAAGCATGATTCATCACTCCAGTTTCCACTGCTCCAGAGCCCAATGGCGGCAAGCTTTACACCACTCCAGCCGACGCTTGGCATTGCGCATGGTGATCTTATGCTTGTGTGCGGCTGCTCGGCCACGGAAACCCATTTCATGAAGCTCCCGACGAACAGTTATATTGCTGACGTTGCTTCCAGAGGCAGTTTGGAACTCAGTAGTGAGTGTTGCGGTCTCTTTTTGTGAACTTGTGTGGCCTACCACTTCACGGCTGAGCCGTTGTTGCTCCGACACGTTTCCACTTCACAATAACAGTACTTACAGTTGATTGGGGCAGCTCTAGCAGGGCAGAAAGTTGACGTACTGACTTGTTGGAAAGGTGGCATCCTATGACGGTGCCATGTTGAAAGTCACTGAGCTCTTCAGTAAGGCCATTCTATTGCCAATGTTTGTCTATGAAGATTGCATGGCTGTGTGCTCGATTTTATACACCTGTCAGCAACGGGTGTGGCTAAAATAGCTGAATCCACTAATTTGAAGGGGTGTCCACATACTTTTGTATATATAGTGTATATCCTCAGTTTGTTTGATACTTTTCCGTTTCTTCTCCTTTTTGCACTTGTCAGTCATGATTGTATGTTAACATGTGTTTGTATCTCTATTTTGTATCACAAACTTACCTACTGGCCTTACAAGCCATCAAATCTCCATCCTACCCCCATGTGCTCCTGTGTCCTTGTACTGTGCCTTTTAGTTAGTTAATAAATACCCTGAACTGGAAACCTTGTCTCCAACCATCATTCCTGCATTTTACAGATACCATAGTGGCAACATCACTCCTCAACCCTAGTCCTTTTTAGTAACTATCAATTCCCCCCTCACTACTGGAACATGAGCTTGGTATGTTGTAATCAGCTGCTCTCAAGGAGTGTCTTAAGAGTGGGTGGTCATGCTTTGGGAAGTTGAGTTTTGAATTTGAGTTCTGTGTAGGCATTAGGCAAGGAAGACAGATCTTGGAGGCATTACACAGAAGAGACCCAGATGGTAACTAGTACTCACTTTGGTGGGCAGTGGGCACTCGTCAAGCAGCAGGGTAATCACAGCTGGTCCCAGTGGGTCGTCCAGCGGTATCACCCGGATCAGAGACTGGACCACCTCCAACCAGCCGTCATCTTCGGGTGGCACAGGGGGTGGGGTTAGCAGGGGACAGCAAAACTGGTTAATTAACAGCCTCTTTGGAGTTGTCACACTAGATACAGATATGTGCTGTCTGAGGTTTAGTGTCTAAACATGTCTGCTTGGAGGCTTTCTTATGCATCACTCAACTGGCCAGAAACTCAATTACTGTTGAAAGTGAGGTATTGTTTTGGGTTTCTCTTCCCCCTAGCCTTCCTTAATTCAAAAGAATCAACTCATTTCCAACCTTTCCTTGTGATAAAACTATGCAACTCTATTTTAACTTCTGTGGCAAAAGCAGCATATAAGGCGGATGGATGTATTTTGGGCATTTCCATGTAAAAGGACCCATGAACAGCAACAGTTCATAGGAGTATATGAAATTGGGTGTCAAATGAAAGCTAAGCGTCTATATTGAGAAATTAAGCCATATACATCTTTCAACCATTTTACATCCTACAAATTAGGAATAAGCAAAGGCTTTTATTTCTAGTAAAACAGATGGAAAAGGGCTCTTAGAAAACATCCACCAGATAAAGTCTGAAGGTATTAGAAATACATCAAAACACAATTTTGAAGTAAAGACCCCTGCAAACTACACTGAACAAAAATAAACGCAACATGCAACAATTTCAAAGATTATACTGAATTACAGTTCATATAAGGAAATCAGACAATTGAAATAAATTAGGCCCTAATCTATGGATTTCACGACTGGGAATACAGATATGCATCTGTTAGACACAGATACTGTACCTAAAAAAAAAAAGGTAGGGGTGTGGATCAGAAAACCAGTCAGTATCTGGTGTGACCACCATTTGCCTCATGCAGCGCAACATCTCCTTCGCATTGAGTTGAACAGGCTGTTGATTGTGGCCTGTAGAATGTTGTCTCACTCCTCTTCAATGGCTGTGCGAAGTTGCTGGATATTGGCGGGAACTGGAACACGCTGTCGTAAACGTTGATCCAGAGCATCCCAAACATGCTTAATGGATGACGTGTCTGGTGAGTATGCAGGCCATGGAAGAACTGGGACATTTTCAGCTTCCAGGAATTGTGTACAGATCCTTGCAACATGGATCTGTGCATTATCATGCTGAAACTTTACAGTTGGCACTATGCATTGGGGCAGGTAGCGTTCTCCTGGCATCCGCCAAACCCAGATTCGTCCGTCGGACTGCCAGATGGTGAAGCGTGATTCATCACTCCAGACAACGCATTTCCACTGCTCCAGAGTCCAAAGGCGGCGAACATTACACCACTCCAGCCGACGCATGGCATTGCGCATGGCGATCTTAGGCTTGTGTGCGGCTGCTCGGCAATGGAAACACATTTCATGAAGTTCCTGACGAACAGTTATTGTGTTGACGTTGCTTCCAGAAGCAGTTTGGAACTTGGTAGTGATTGTTGCAAACGTGGACAGACGATTTTTACGCTCTAATTGCTTCCGCACTCGGCGGTCCTGTTCTGTGAACTTTTGAGCGCTACCACTTCGCGGCTGAGCAGTTGTTGCTCCTAGACGTTTCCACTTCACAATAACAGCACTTACAGTTGACCGGAGCAGCTCTAGCAGGGCAGAAATGTGACGAACTGACATGTTGGAAAGGTGGCATCCTATGAAGGTACCACGTTGAAAGTCACTGAGCTCTTCAGTACGGGCCATTCTGCAGCCAATGTTTGTCTATGGAGATTGCATGGCCGTGTCATCAATTTATACACCTGTCAGCAACGGGTGTGGCTGAAATAGCTGAACCAACTAATTTGAAGGGGTGTCCACATACCTTTGGCCATGTAGTGTAGTTGTATGGTTTGTTCAACTTTGTTTGGCATACATTTTAAAGTTACAAAATCTGAGTCTCAGCGTAATTCCGATAACGTGGTATTGCCCTTTTACAGATATCCACAACATCAGTGTGTAATATTGGAAAAATCCCACTCCTATTCCTGATAACAGGCCCAGGAATAACACCATTCTACCCTCCCCATAGCAGTGACTCAACACCTTACTGCCCTGCTCCAAACCTACCACTCTCTCTCAACCATCAAAAGAACAGATGTACTTATAAATAAAGTAAACAGCACACAGCCGTGGCAACGAGGGGAGAGACAGGCTGGCGGGGAAGGATACGGTTGTTAAAACTCAGTTAGGCCCTGCTAGATCCACCTCTGAAACCAGCCAAAGAGAGGCTCAGACCTGCCACTCACTGTCCCCAAGAACTAGCACAATGCTCTGGCACTATGGGTCTGGTTCTCAAAATTAGTAGCATTAATACGGAATAGTAAAACATTACAAGCAAGTCTCAATAATGTAGAATGAACACAATCTTGCTGTGGGATCGGGTGAAATTGTCATGACTAATAGGCAGGCGCAAAGTTTAGAGACTGAATGGGAAGCCTGCATTAGTATCATTGTGTGGGCTAGAAGAGCCTTGAACAAAGAGTAATGACTGGCAAAGCCTGGGCAACCTTATGATCCACTAGTTATCGATATCCAGAGGTTACAGCTGCCAAGAGGACACACTAATTATTTCATTTGACACAGAGGAGACAGCCACAGAGGACAGAGTTCCTCTTACGGTTCTAAATCATACTGAAGAAAATGAACAATCTTTGAGAAACTTATCCTGAAATCCATGTATTACATCACCATATAAGGACATGTCTTACCCGTTTCTGCCATCTCATGCAGCGTGATCATGGAGTAGGGGGGCTCTTGGTCGCTGAAAAAAACAACGTGATTGTGAACAGAGAATCTTGTGACAGTGAAGCTAAATCATCACCTGTAATGTGTGTGGGTGCATTGTTACGTCTCTTGCTCTAAGTAGTTACGAAATTCAGATGACAAGCCAGAGGCAAAGTGGAACAGTGTGACGGATGGGTGTGCGGCTGCAACTGTTGAGGATGTTGTTTTGCCCGCTAGCAAGGCTGGCCCATCGGCCTCCCTCATCTTGCCTATAAATCTGACCAATGACAGCAGACCTACTGCTCCCTTGGGAACTCCTCCTGGAGGAGAATCTGTCTCTGCTCACAGGTTCAAGTCCTTCATCATTTGATAGTAAAATCAGACCCAGACCTCTATAGCTCTGAGGAAGCATTCTGTCAGCCTAAACACTATTGACAGGGTTCTGAGGGAGCAGAGGAGGCTGTCTGGAGGATAGCAACACCTCAATGACCAACAAGCTTGTACCAAGATGTAAGCCTATCCCGAGTGAGAGTTTACACACCCCTCAAACATCTTAAGATTTCAAACACTTACTTGTCAACTAGAGTCCTGATCACAGCTAGTGTGTCCAGCACCAGCCCATCCACGTTTAGTTTCTTCCGGCGGGGTTCATGGGGTCCCCGCCCACGCCGCGGGGGTCTGACAGGGTCCCGGGGCCGACTGCTTCGCGCCTCAGGGGGATCGCCAGTGGGGTGATCAACTCGTCTGAGTTGCCTGCGAGCTGCCGATCCATCCTCCACATCACTTTCTTCTCTACAAACGCAGCTGTTTCCCATAGTTCCGGTTGTCCCGAGGCTTTCCCAAAACTGTAGTGATAACTGCTCCAAAGAGAGCAGCAGAACCTGCGCAAGGCTCCTGCTGGCACAGAATCCAATCCAGCTAGCTACTATCATATCATTTGGATCACTGGTGGAGGCGTCTCATGATGATCCGGGTGGGGACGTCAGTCATGGTGCTACTGCTGATGGATGGCAGATAGCTAGGAGGGAGTAGCACAGATCAGCAGTGCTACAGTGAGCAAAAACCATCCTACTGGATGGAAGTCCACGTGCACTTCCCAAACTCTAACCTGTGTAAAAGAACATGTATAGAAAGAATAGCTACATGTTGAAGAAAAACAAAATACTCGGCAAAATAAAATTATGTAGCTAACGTTATCTAGTGTTGCTGATTAACGTTACATAACATTACTACCAAACATTATAGACGAATGTTTGGCACAGTTATATTTCAGTGAAATGTAGCTGACTAGTTAACTAACGTTAGTTTGCTATGACCAACTTACGCCAAGGATACATTGACTGGCTGTAACAGCCATGTTGAAACTGCTAATGAATTACCTAGGGACCCCACTTGTACTAGCTAGTTAATTAACGTTAGTTATATCTGACTGAGCGAAGTTATTGAACTGAAACTAGCTAGAATTAGTTTACCAAATTAGCACACTAACGTTAACCTGTTGATGCCAGATAGTTAGCTAACATAAATAGTTAACATTAGCCATTTCCCACACCCCCATGTTACACGATAACTAGAAATATGGCTAGGCTAGCAACATTAGCTAATGTTGGTTCTCATGAGATGCTTGTTGGTTCTACGTTAGTAGCAACGTTAACGAAAAATAGCTCGCAAGCTAGCTACTTACCTAGCAAATGCGCTAGTAGTGTCCTCGGTTAGCTAACGTTAGTTAACTATAACAATAAATTGTCAGGATGAACAGGCCTCTGAAAAGCTTCACGAAAAAAGCGTTTATGTTAGGTTAGCTAGCTAACGTGTAGCCTACCTTGCTAGTTAGCTAGCCATAAAAAAAAGGGACGCTTGCTAGCGCGAGCTGGCAAACTAGAACAAGCTAGTTAACGTTCACATTTAATCCACTCTTTCTTGATTCAATCGAGTATACGCCCTCAAACCCCTTTGTTTAATTTCGTTGACGGCTGTACTGATAGCTAGCTAATTCCGTAGTGTCAGCTATCCCCCATCTGATCAGCTGTCACCAGGACAGGAGGAGCTCGATGCGCGCTTCGCTATTGTATTGTACTAGCACAGAGTTTCTAAACTACTGTCTTTGGTACGATGCCTATGGATGAGCGCGGTCAGAGACCTAACCTCAAGTGATTTTAAATGTATATGTCATTTGGACTGGAAGCTATTGAACATTTGATCTGTACATAAATTAATAACCACAGCTGTAATATAATAAATATTTGTAGAAAATCAACAGGGAGGAATTTTGAAAAAATAAAAGGTGTACCTTTGATAAGAGAGGTCATGGAACCACCGCAATTGTCTGTAGATCTGCAGCTCATATGGAGAGTGAGCTATTGAAAATTAGACCTATCACAGGTAATATTCATATAAAATCTGTGAAATTAAAAATTGCAATTATATAATGGGTGTACTGTGGAGGTCAAGTGGTTTTAGATGTACATGTCATTTGGACTGGAAGCTATTGATTATTAGATATGTAGGCCTACGTGAATGAATATCCAAAGCCATAATAGGATACATATTTGTAGAAAATCAAAGGGAGGGAATTTTGAAAAAGTAATTTGCTTTGATTAGAGGTCAGCGAACACACCACACTTGTCTGTAAAAAAAAAGAAAAAAAAGAAGAATGTTTTATTGTCACATACACCAGATAGGTGCAGTGAGATGTGTTGTTTTAGGGTCAGCCATAGTAGTACTGTGCCCCTGGAGCAAATGTAGATCTCTAGCACATTCAAGTTCAAGTTGTTACTGATATCCCATATGGCAGTCGAAGACACTGAAATACATGGATATTACAATACATACACAATAACAACACATTCAAGTTTAAATCACAAGTGAAATTCATGACAATTTGTACATTCAGGATTTTTGTGGATTAATTTGCATAGGTATGGAATGGGCGACTTTTTATATCTCTCAATCCTGGACTCCTGGCCTGTGGAATTGAAAGCAGATGTGTACTGCGGCAGGATCTGCTTGACACTTGTCCTCGGCAGGCAGGTAACCAGTCTCTGAAGGGGAACTTGAACAGTAAGACAGAAAAGTCTGCTTGCTACAAGCTCTCAAAGTCTCACATCCGAATTAGGCATTCATCCATGTTTCTCAAGCGTCAAATACTGACTTGTATCACGGGTGACCTGCCTGAAAGTCCAGGCACAGTTTCTCTCTTCATTAAGTGAGGGCAGTGATAGTGAAGTCAGAGCATTGTTGTATCCAGGATATTCCATGCCGAGGATGATTCTGCAAGCATGCTTCTGGATACGCTCAAGTTGGTCAGAAAGGGCTTGAGTTAAGTTAGCCCAATAATGGACTAAAAGCCTAACCCTACTCCTTACATGTTCTGTTTAGAGGCAAATTGGCTCTGACAACCAAAACAGCCAAAAGTATTTTTACATAAAATCCATAAAAATAAATGTCAATTGTCAAAATGTAATTGTTGTGGGAAAAAAACAAAGTTGGTTTAAGATATCTAGATTTCTAATTTGAGATAAAAATGTAGTTTTTCTGCAAACGCCAGGTTCTGCTGATTGCACTTTTAAGACGGTCCCTTACCCGCGAGTGCATAATATTCCCCCATTGAAACCAACATAAAGTCACTTTTTGAAACCCGGAACGGAGAAAATAAACGGTGTACCTTGCTCTCTATCGTCATCTTATTCTGGATGTATCACTCGAATAATCATAGGACCTTCCGTCGAAGAGAATGACAAGCAAAATCCGAATATCCAACCTGAAAACAAATTTACGGCAGTAATTGGTTGGAGTGGTGGTGGTGATGTCAATGGAAATTCTCAATCATCCAGAATCGTTCTACAACCAGTAAATTCTATATTCATAATTTAGGATTTCTAATCTGCAGTTGCAAATTAGATTGTGATACAGGTAGCAGAAAAATGAAAAATAAAGTATGTGCGTGAATTCATCCAGAGCCATTCAGATGTAGCTCAGTATATCAGCATAGTTTTTGGCTGAAAATGTATAACATTATGGCTCGGTTAGTGGATTTACAAAAATAATCTTCCACACAATTTGCATGACACAGTGGAGGTTTATACGTATTTATTTACATAGATTGCTACAATTATTCAGCCCGATGCACAAGTGGGAACTGTATTGGTTCTTCACAAACTATGCGGAACATATTTACTGTGACACGTGGCTCCGTGGATTAGGTACAAGTATCCTAGCTAGCTATGTTGTTAACTATTAAATGTCACATTTGTAATCCAAAATGTACGAACATTGGTTAATTTATGAACTATTGTAATCATTTTTGAACGCAGATATATATTTATTTACATTATAGAAGTGGTATTTAGCCATGATTTATCAACGAGCTGCGTGCTAGCTGGCGACTAACGTTAACTCGTTTTCTAGAGAGACCGCTTCAGTAGCGAGCTAGAAAGCTTTCTATAGCTATACAATGTATTTAGCAAGATAGCAGTGTTAGTTAGCCTCTACGTTTCTATTTGTAATCCTTTCTTATTGATTAGCTAATCTATAATCTTATGAGCCCGTAGCTAATAACTGACTGATCAGTTGGGAGAGTAAGGAACCTAGCCGATTTAAAGTCAACTCCATGATTTAGGATGGAGTTGAGCGGCGACTATTGTGGGCAGACTGGAGCTCCGACATAACATACAATTCCGTTTTATAAAAAACTACTGATTTCAGCACCCAAAGAATAGTCCAGTTACAGATGACATTTTCCTGTGTAATTGCGTGCTATTCTATGGATGCTGAAATCAGTATTTTTTTTAAATTGAAAACGTCAGGTTGTGAAGTAGGATCACCAGTCCGCCCACACTAAACGCTGCTCAACTCTATCGTAAATCGTGGAGTTGAGTTTTGTCGGATAGAAGAAACCTAGCCAGCAGGTATCCAATAGTATGTAGGCCTAGCTAATAGTTTAGTAGGTTCACCCATAGATAGCAGCTACTTCTTTGGAAACGCAAGTTACAAAAATAGAATATCAACCTTAAAGACAACCCTTACTTCACTTGGTAGAAGCTAGCTAAAATATAATATGATAGCTAGCATATAGTCCAGGGTTTCCCAAACTTGCCCTAGCACTACACAGCTGATTCAAATAATCAAAACTTGATGATGAGTTGGTTATTTGAATCAGCTGTGTAGTACTAGGGCAAAAACCAAAATGTACACCCAGGAGGCCATAGGACAGAGTTTGGGAAACACTGCGAAGACGGCTACACAACACATTTCTTGAGTCGACCACTAGAGGGAGGCATAGCCTCATAAATTATCAATAGGCGATAACCAATTGCTGTTACCAACCATGTAGAGTGCTGTGTGTGTAGGTTTTTTTTTAACACTCTTGTACGCTAATTGTTAATCTTATTTCTCCTTTAAGCACACTGTTCTTAATTATTTTATATTCTATTCAACAGATGATTTCTTGACTTGGTGTCAGTCTGTGTTCTACTGGATTGAGTTGAGGCAAGTAAAGTAAGTTATCAATCTCCACAGTATACCTTTATTTTGATGGATCCAAAAAGCATCAGTTTGTTTTTAACTTTAAAGGGGAACAACTTTAAAGGGGAAATCCCCAGTTGTTACATCCATTTTTTTGACTCGTCAATTCATGACATGTACCCATTGATTCTTGAAGAATATAACGTATAAATGCCTCATTAGCTTAGTTCAACTGTCTTACCCCATCCGAATCCAGCGGCATACCACCCTGCATCCCACTGCTGGCTTGCCTCTGAAGCTAAGCAGGGTTGGTCCCTGGATGGGAGACCAGATGCTGCTGGAAGTGGTGTTGGAGGGCCAGTAGGCACTCTTTCCTCTTGTCTAAAATAAAATATCCCAATGCAATGATTGGGGACATTGCCCTGTGTAGGGTGCCGTCTTTCGGGTGGGACGTTAAATGGGTGTCCTGACTCTCTGGGCACTAAAGATCCCATGGCACTTATTGTAAGAGTAGGGGTGTTAACGTTGGTGTCCTGGCTAAATTCCCAATCTGGCCCTCATACCATCATGGCCACCTAATCATCGCCAGCTTCCAATTGGGTCATTCATCTCCCCTCCCCTGTAACTATTCCCCAGGTTGTTGCTGTAAATTACAATGTATTCTCAGTCAACTTACCTGGTAAAATAAGGCTAAAATAAAGAATCCAAAATATAAGCTTGTTTTACTCCAATGTTTGTAAATGTAAACTAACACTATATAGCCTCAACATGTTTAAAACTATAATTTTGATATCATGGATGTCAGTGCATCCATAGCTCTGTCTATGAATTTGAGTGGTTGCATTTCTCAAGACCCATCCTTCAGCTTTTTGCTGAAACAGGGGCGGGTTGAGCTTTGTTATCGTTTAAACTGCTGATTTCCCCTTTAACAACTGTTTGCTATTACAGATATATAATGTGTTTTTCCGTTAGTCTATTGTGGATGCTGCTGTTTGAGCTCAGGTTTGTGCATATACATTTTCAAGGTGTGCAATGGCAGTGCCAGCGGCCGGGGGTGTAGACCTCAGTCGGAAATTTGTGTCAGAGACTGAGATCGAGGAGAAAAGGAAGCAAAGACAGGAGGAATGGGAAAAAGTTAGGAAGCCAGAGGACCCAGAGGGTAAGCCATCTGCAACTAACTCCACCCTACCTCCCAAAATGTACACAGACACAAGCAATATCTTTCATCATGCCTGTACACTAAGCATCTGCATATCTATTTTTTCTGTGTGTTTGTGCTGTCTCCCTGACTCAGAGGCTCCTGAGGAAGAGTATGATGGGCGTTCACTCTTTGAGCGGCTACAGGAGCAGAAGGACAAGAAGCAGGAAGAATACGATGAGCAGTTTAAATTCAGTAAGGGTCCCGCTCTCATTTATTTTAGTCCCTCTCCACTTTCCTTGCAACAGCCCCTACCACATGCTGGGACTTCACATGGGATATCTCAGATTAAACTCTCGCATTTATGGAATGGATAGTCAGACTCTGGACCTGTTGAGTACAAAGTCTTTGTATTCTGGGTGTGTGTACATTTTTATATTATGAACCTGTTTGTGTGAACAGATGGAACTATGTAATGCATTAGAAGAGGAGCAGGAGGAGATTATGACCTAGTCTTGGGAATGAGTGGAGCCTTCTGCCTGGCATAGTAGCTTCCCTGCTTTTCTGTTTCCCTGGTGACCAGCCTACTATTAGCAGTCACCCTGGTGGCCATATGTGTCTTGTAAAGCTATATGCTCTTTAAGCAAGGACATTTCAGAAAAATAGAAAACATGTTGTTTTGTATATGTAAAAACCCTTCTCCAACTCCCCTGGCCTTAAGTTGAAATGATTAGAGAGTATTGTTGTATTGGTACTACAGTAGTTAGAATTTATTTTCCATGGAAATGTCTTTTCACCACAGAGAACATGGTCAAAGGCCTGGATGAGGATGAGTCTCACTTCTTGGATGAGGTCTCCAGGCAACAGAGCCTGGTGGAGAAACAACGCAGAGACGAGGAGCTGCATGAACTAAAAGAGTACAGAATATCCTTTCAGTTTCAGCTGTATACTCTCTCCCCATCACTCTAATTCTCTCTCTTTAACACGCACACACACAGAAAGAGAGCAAAAACACGGTGTATCCATTTTCATGTCATTTTATTGGTGATTTTTTTTCTTCTGTCAATAGGGCAACATTTAGTGGGCATGAGTCACACAAATAATGGATCTAGGTGTTAGAGACGAATGTGAGAGTCAACTACTCTCATACTCTCTCCATGTGTTTCTCGCTCTTTCTCTTTCACAATATTTTGGTGGGGTTGAGATTTTTGCTCTCTTGACAGTAAATGAGGCTTGTCCTACCCCTTTACTCCCCCACTCACCTGATGGACAGGAGGAGGCAGTCAGTCTACAGGCCTCAGGTCAGAACCAGAGCATGTGAGCGGAGTTGAGCGGTTGGAAATGCTGCTCACTGCTCCATGTCCTTTTCAACCTCTGCTAAAAACCGCTCTGCGCTCACAGGAAAAAAGACTGCCGCTCCATTCATTAAAATCACAATTTAACCAACACCCACCTATTTCTGTGACTACATGGACCTACCATTTGGTTTTGAAGTATTGAAACCAAACCATATGGATTTGAATTAGAAGTATTTGAATAAACATAAAAAGGTGAATGTAAGAAACGCACATCATTTCAAATAGGCTACATGTCATATTAAACAGCATGTAAACATTCTAAATAGGTCAGGAGCCAGACAGGGAGCCTAAGAATGAACAAAAATGAATTATTTAGGCTATATTATTTCAAGGCTATAGCCTACAAAGAAATGCATTGTGAAGCATTAGCGAGCGTGACATAATAGGTTGGTAGGGACATGAAGCACTCAGCATTTAAACAACATTTCGTTGTGTTAAATCATTATAGTCTTGAAATTGCGCATATAGGCTCTGACTTACTTAGAATTAAATACAAATTAAATGAAAAATGACTTGGTGCCTTTGAATTAATTTTTAGAAACACGAGTTTGGCCAGTCTGTGGCGTCAGGCTCATGCGAAGGTGCCTGGAGAGCCGGCCAGCAGGGGAGAATAACCCTTCCACACTTGCAGAGCCACTGGGGATGCTTAACACCCTTTTGGCCACTCTTGCCTGGCTGGGCAGAAATAGTTGTTTTTACATTTTTCTATAGGTAGGCCTAAAGGTTTTTAGGCAAAATAACCCAATCAAAACGGAAAGCTTCTTGAACGTGGGAATATGCCAGGCCTACAGTGAGGGGAAAAAAGTATTTGATCCCCTGCTGATTTTGTATGTTTGCCCACTGACAAAGAAATGATCAGTCTAGAATTTTAATGGTAGGTTTATTTGAACAGTGAGAGACAGAATAACAACAACAAAATCCAGAAAAACCCATGTCAAAAATGTTAGAAATTGATTTGCATTTTAATGAGGGAAATATGTATTTAATCCCTCTGCAAAACATGACTTAGTACTTGGTGGCAAAACCCTTGTTGGCAATCAGAGGTCAGAAGTTTTTGTAGTTGGCCAACAGGTTTGCACACATCTCAGGAGGGATTTTGTCCCACTCCTTTTTGCAGATCTTCTCCAAGTCATTAAGGTTTCGAGGCTGACGTTTGGCAACTCGAACCTTCAGCTCCCTCCACAGATTTTCTATGGGATTAAGGTCTGGAGATTGGCTAGGCCACTCCAGGACCTTAATGTGCTTCTTCTTGAGCCACTCCTTTGTTGCCTTGGCTGTGTGTTTTTGGTCATTGTCATGCTGGAATACCCATCCACGACCCATTTTCAATGCCCTGGCTGAGGAAAGGAGGTTCTCACCCAAGATTGGCCCCGTCCATCGTCCCTTTGATGCGGTGAAGTTGTCCTGTCCCCTTAGCAGAAAAACACCCCCAAAGCATAATGTTTCCACCTCCATGTTTGACGGTGGGGATGGTGTTCTTGGTGTCATAGGCAGTATTCCTCCTCCTCCAAACACGGTGAGTTGGGTTGATGCCAAAGAGCTCCATTTTGGTCTCATCTGACCACAACACTTTCACTTGAGCAGGGGGACCTTGCGGGCGCTGCAGGATTTCAGTCCTTCATGGCGTAGTGTGTTACCAATTGTTTTCTTGGTGACTATGGTCCCAGCTGCCTTGAGACCATTGACAAGATCCTCCTGTGTAGTTCTGGGCTGATTCCTCACTGTTCTCATGATAATAATAATAATACGCCATTTAGCAGACGCTTTTATCCAAAGCGACTTACAGTCATGTGTGCATACATTTTTGTGTATGGGTGGTCCCGGGGATCGAACCCACTACCTTGGCGTTACAAGCGCCGTGCTCTACCAGCTGAGCTACAGAGGACCACCATGATCATTGCAACTCCACGAGGTGAGATCTTGCATGGAGCCCCAGGCCGAGGGAGATTGACAGTTATTTTGTGTTTCTTCCATTTGCGAATAATCGCACCAACTCTTGTCACCTTCTCACCAAGCTGCTTGGCGATGGTCTTGTAGCCCATTCCAGCCTTGTGTAGGTCTACAATCTTGTCTCTGACATCCTTGGAGAGCTCTTTGGTCTTGGCCATGGTGGAGAGTTTGGAATCTGATTGATTGATTGCCTCTGTGGACAGGTGTCTTTTATACAGGTAACAAACTGAGATTAGGAGCACTCCCTTTAATAGTGTGCTCCTAATCTCAGCTCGTTACCTGTATAAAAGAAACCTGGGAGCCAGAAATCTTTCTGATTGAGAGGGGGTCAAATACTTATTTCCCTCATTAAAATGCAAATCAATTTATAACATTTTTGACATGCGTTTTTCTGGATTGTTTTGTTGTTATTCTGTCTCTCACTGTTCAAATAAACCTACCATTAAAATTATAGACTGATCATTTCTTTGTCAGTGGGCAAACGTACAAAATCAGCAGGGGATCAAATACTTATTTCCCTCACTGTATTGGGCCAAAATCAGTTATTGTATAGATAATAGAACAAAAATGAACAAAACGTTTAAGTGATCTGATCTTTTGTTTATAAATACTTTGCTATAATGACACACTTAGTTATCTACGCACCTCATTCCTTTCTTTTAGCATGTACAGTGAGGGAAAAAAGTATTTTATCCCCTGCTGATTTTGTACGTTTGCCCACTGACAAAGAAATGATCAGTCTATAATTTTAATGGTAGGTTTATTAACTGATATGAACGTATGTTAATGTATGCAAAGCTGCTCTCACGCCACATATCTCAGCACTGCTCAGAGCCATGGTCCTGTGGTGATTCATTCTAAATTCAGCCATAGCTTATAACGTGACTGACTTGATAGCCTTCATTTCTTGCGATCTGTCTCAATCAGGCTGTCATGTACAATCATGATGCAGGGAGCATGATCAGACCATTATGCTATCATGTAAGGGAGAAAATAAATGTTCCCTCTTTCCACTGACGATCAGGTTTGTCTGCAGATGGAAGAGGATGCATTGTCATGGCAACCAAATCCTACTGAGGGCTGGCCTTTACACTGATAGGAGACCGTTTGAAGTGCTTACTGCTGAGAACCATCAAGCCAGATCCTCTCGTAATATTTTTATTTGTCCTAGTTCAGCTAGTTTTCCCACCAGTGTCACAGGGTTGTTTTTAGCTTCAAAGTGTGTCACTTTTCCAGGGCGTTGGTGGAGGCCCACAGATGGACTAGTAAGTGGAAAGAACAGGCTGGATTTATGAGGACACACCTGGACTGAGGCTAGATGAACCCCCAAAGCGATTTGAGTGTGTACCACTTATTTTCCTGTACTCACTCAGTCAAACATTGTTGGAAAATCCATTCTGACAGTCAGTGCTAGCCCAGTGGGCAATTTTCTGCTCGGAAGTGATTGTGAGATGTGAATTAATTGTGAGTCACCTGGTGTCCCCATCACTCCTATCAGCAGTTAATTATCACATCTAGGATCTGCACGTCTGTGTGTTTTCTTCCATTTCCTCTCCTTAACTCCTGGATCTCACAGTGCTCTGAAAAAACTGGCCTCCAGTGAGAGTCGGAAGGAGCCAGAGAGGAGGGCAGGACCTAAACCAGCAGAGGTCAAGACCAGTCACCTGTCCCAGGCACACCTGTTGGCTGGGGCGGTCAAGCGACGCAGGTGAGGCCAGTGGCCACAATACTTTTAGACCTAGGTCACAGTTTTCAATGCATCTGGATATAGTGTTGGAGGATGTAACACAATTATAGGGGAGTGGTGGAGTTGGTTGTGGATTTGAGAATGGGGGGGAAAAAGTGAATTAATCTGCATGTTTCTTTAGTCTTTCTGTTTACTTTCCTCTCTCCTGCAGCTCTTCACAGTCCTCAGACAATAGCAAGAAACAGAAGGTTGAGGAGTCTGCAGCAGGGAATGGGGGCCAGACAGGTGGGCTGAGAGCTTCTTATAATGTCACATCTGCTCATCATTTCACCATTGAATGTTCTTCTAACACAAACTCTTCTATCTCACACATATGACTTCACTGACATCAGTAAGTGTGACTGGCAGTGTGTTGTGCTCTCAGAGCAGGAGGCGGGCGGAGGTGCGGGTGAGCAGGGCTCCACAGTAAAGACAACAGGTGTCCTCCACCTGCCATCGGCCGCCGTGTGTGTGGGCATCCTGCCGGGCCTGGGAGCCTACTCCGGCAGCAGCGACTCTGAGTCCAGCAGCGACAGCGAAGGTAGCGTGGACGGGAGCATCTTTCCCATAAAGAGATATAGAGTCTGCAGATAGACACGCACCCATATTCAGACACACGCACACGCTTACACACACACTCATTCACACAAACAGGCTGCCAACATCATTGATTTCACAGCTGTATGAGTTACTGTTACTCTAAGTCATTAGCAGCGTTTCCATCAAGTGTTTTCCAGCCCAGAATGGCATAGGTTATGATTTTCTTTCTTCATAATCACTAAATATGAATTAAAACCTGTTAAATGAACTTCAATGGCATTGTGGTTTTGGTGTTGTGCATTCAAACATGACACCTCCCCCCTTCCTCCCAATATGACATCTCACACAGTTTAAATCCCTGGCAGCCTAACCTGATGACACCCCCCTGTGGCTGCAGCTCTGCTATTGGCCAAGGAAACAGTGACTGACAGCTGTGGATCAAGGACAAGACTGCTAGACTGTCACATCACGTTCATACCTTACCTTAGACAACATCAAGAAAGCAAGCCAGAGCATTGTCTCAGATGCAATGTATGTGGAAATGTTTTTCCTTTAGTTTCTTTTTGATGCGTCAGTGCAAATAATGCTGGATTTTAATGGACTTCTTTCTCTCCATAAAAATGTTTGATCATGGGACGATCAAGGCTTGGGGAGGAGAAAATAAAGAGTTTTCCCGTTTCCTTTGTCTATTTGGTGTATTTGATGTAAAGAGTCAGCCTGGTCTCCTACACTAGATGTAACACAGTAAACGAAAGTCCGGGACACTCAAATTAGTATATGTTACGTTTGGTGTGGTTAAATAAGACCGACGGTTACTTAAGGTAAAAATGAAAGGAGGGTGGATGAGTGGGCGTATAACGTGAATGTCTAGCAACCCAAAGGTTGCGTGTTTGAATCTCATCACGGACAACTTGAGCGTTTTAGGTCATTTGCAACTACTTAACTACTTTTTAGCTAATTCCTAACCATAACCCTTTAACCTAACTCCTAACCTTAACCGCTAGCCTAGCTGATGTTAGCCACCTAGCTAATGTTAGCCACAACAAATTGGAATTCGTAACATTTTACAAATTGCAATTCGTAACATATCATACGAAATGGATGATGGACATCCACAAATTAATACATACCATACATAACATATCATACTAATTTGGGTGTCCCGGATTTTTGTTTACTATGTTACGTCTACCCCTGAGTCCAGGTTGAAAGCGTTGGTGTCTGAGTGCATGAATGAAGATGACTGGAATGAAATACAGTTAGAGTTAAATGGAATTGATTTCTGTGTCTGTCTGTACTCATTCGCTTGCAACCGATTAGTTGTGACAAATGAAAAATAATTAAGTGGTGTTAAGAAATCTAAGTGTAGGGATATATTTTTCAGGGCACTCTTTTGAAAGAAGCCTTGTTTGTACAGCATACACATTTTAAGAAAAACCTCTCAATTGGATGAAGTTTAAATGGATTTAATCTGGCACATCCAGGGTTAAATTTATACTGATTGTTCCAAACTTTCTAAAATGTTTGGCTTGGTGTTTTCTTGTGAAGCAAAGGTTGAGTTCCTGCCTGACTACATTGCAGATGCATGCCAGATCTTACAATGCATGGATAGGTACAGTATGTTAATATATCAGCTAACCAGGCACGCAACCATTGGGCGCGTTCGACGTTGCAGTTGACTTTAAAGTCGAGACAGGTCGCGTTCCCATGCTCAGACTTGCATGCATCAACCAATGGTTGCGTGCCACATCGTCGACTGCCGTTGGGCACCAGAGTGCTATAACATGGGGTGCATTCTTATGCTTAGACGTTGCTGATGCCTGACAGATCTTACATTTACATTTTTGTCATTTAGCAGACGCTCTTATCCAGAGCGACTTACATGAGCAATTAGGGTTAAGTGCCTTGCTCAAGGGCACATCGACAGATTTTTCACCTAGTTGGCTCGGGGATTAGAACCAGCGACCTTTCGGTTACTGGCACAACGCTCTTAACCACTAAGCTACCTGCCGCCCCTTACAACGCCTGGACAGGTATTTGACTGGGAAATCGGAAAAAAACGAGGTCAAATCATGACGTCAGTGATCTTCAGGTCAGAAAGTCGGAGCTCTAGAAAAATGCCAGAGTTTCCGACTTGGAATTCCGAGTTGGATGACCATTCGATTTCTCACAGTTGGAGCTTGTTTTTTTCAGAGTTCTCAGTTGTTTTAAATCTGGCATAATTACATATGTTATAGCAATTTGTCAGTCGATGACATGACACACAACCATTGGTTGTTGCGTCGCCTTAGCTGTGGAGTACGCCCATGTGGTGGTTAGCTGATACATAAAATACCTAACGCCTGGGCAGAGGAACGCGACCTGACTTCTACAAATCACCTGGCCATATTTTAGAGCATCAGAATTGTGATGTATCATGGGAGAATTGTGACTGATCTACAAATAACATTGAGTAGTTATTCATGATGCAGGTGATTTGTAAATCAGTCAGTCTCGACTCGCCTTTAAAGTTGGCTCCAATGTTGAACGCGCCCGGATCAATTTTGTCTAGTCCTTTCAAAGTGTGTTGCATTATGGGGATAAAAATTGTGTGACTTACCATGTGATCAAAAGTCATGCTGTTTTTGATAAAGTCACCTTCAAGTTGCTGCAGTTGCTTCTCAAAAACTGCACCATGCAGCCATCACCTGCATTGTGGGAGGCACTATTTGTCAACCAATCATTAGGGTGGTTTTGGTTGACCCACACGAATGTGACCAAAGATGTGACTGAACAGGAACCAACTTTGACACAATTCTAAAGCTACAGGGGATACAAATGAAAGTGATATTTGAGACCTCTCTCAAACCAATTAATTGAACACACGTTATGTTTTCAGTTTGTGAGTGTGTGCTATGTGGGTACAGAAACGTTTATTTCGACATTTATAAACACAAAATAGCAAGGCTCAGATCAACACTGACATATTGATCCGAGCCTTGCTGTTGGAAAACCACTACAGTGTCCGACTGTCACAGATGTACCTCTCCCGACTTCACTCGCCAACTTTCATCTACAGTTGGCTTCGTTAGCCTTACTGCTCGAACACACCCAATATTTGTAAATCAGTCAGTCACAATTTACCCATGATACGTCACGGTTTTGATGCTCTTGAACATGGCCATTGGTTGATGCAATGCAATACTTGCGCATCTAATCGGGCAGGAACAAGACCAGAATGTATTCATTGCACACGTTCATAAACTTAGATAGACATCGCATCATTGTATCTGTCCCTTTATGGTGACTGTGAGAGCATGGGCAGCACCATTGAGGCCATCTCCATTTTGAAGTAGTAAATTTTCTTCTTATACTACTTCTATGAGTTGGCAAACAAACTGAAAGGTTGCATACTGCCACCTGTAGTGTTCTGTTTGAACAGGTATAAAGCCAAGGTTGGCGATTCACTGCCACCTGCAGTTATGAAATGTTTGCTCACAAGTATAATTCATTGGCTGATCCCTCCTGATGATGAGGATGGAATCATGTGATCCTTCCTTAACCCATAGGAAGTCCCACCCAGTTGACTACTTCAAAATGGTGAAAGTCCTCAACGGCGCTGCCCATGCTAAACTGTCTTTTGGACACTAGAGTCCTCTATCTTTAAAGTCGAGGCAGAATGATCTACAAATCACCTTGCATCATAAATAACTACTCAATATTGTTTGTAGATCAGTCAGTCAGTCACAATTTACCCATGATACATCACAGTTATGAATGCGCTTGAACACGGCCATTGTGTTGGCTCGACATTATGTTCCAGTCAAACACAGTGCACTGCCCGGTGACATTTCTGTACCTTTATTTACCTGAGTGGTAACATAAATACATTAACTTTATAAAATCAATTACAACACCTTCAAGGTACAAGTACAACAAATTACAATTCAATGCATAAAAGATACATAAGAACTTTTCATAAACATTTTATTTTCAAAACATATAGAATATTGTATAAATGTACATTCAGTATACAGTATACACACTTCTAAAATCCCCTTTCCCTTCAGGCGACTCCAAAGTAGTGTTCTTTGCCACATTTTCCTCCTCCACAAAGTCTTGCTTTAAGACGTAAAAAAAATCAGATAAATAAATACATATTAAAAAACCTTTTCATGCACATTGTTTTTTGTAAACAGTGAGTAGATATTTGCAACATGCATGATGAACCAAGGCCTCAGGCTTTCACTCCAGTGCTGTGTTGCTAGGCGACAGGTTCCTCTGTTTGAAATACTGTGTGACCTGTTGCGGCAGCTCAGCCAATACTGATTTGGCTAAAGTTTCCTTCGGAGCCTGTGAGAACATGACAGGAAAATAAAAGTCACATTAGAGATCTCTAAATGTCAGTGATTTTTAAAATAATAATGCATTAGAATCAACTTTCATCCAGGAAAAGGTTTGGGAAGTAAACCTTTTACTGGATCACTCCATATACTCTGTATAATTATTTTTTTCATTTCCTGCAGATGGACTGAAGCTACAGATTGCCCGCTCCCACACCCAATGCTGTTTACACACGTGATTTAAGTAAATCCATTACAGCACGCATCATCTCTAATTTGTCTAGCAACAACAACCTGTCATGTGAAACCTGTTGATATAGTGCAACAGGTTGTCTGAAGCCCCGTTTATACCTGGTTTTAACATGAGTCCTTTTTTCCTGATCTTGTCCACATTCTGATTGTGGCCACATTTTTAGACAGGTGTAGACAATTAAAAGACGCATTGTGATCTGATTGTGATCAGATCTTCCTGACAACCTCCGGTGGTAGTCAGACACGCAAATGTCTGGATAGCTTACAAGTGTAGACAGATCTGGACAGTTGAACCATTTCAATCATAATTATCCCACCCTTTAAAATCATTGACAGGTTATGCCATTGACTTACGGCATCAATATGTGTCTTAAAATAAATATTATTTTGAAAGAATATCTGTCAAATACTTTTCATACAGGGAGGGACCAGGAGAACTGGTCACAATGCGGACACAATGGACAGATAAGAGACACTTTTTACTACCATGTGTTGAAGCAACAGCTACACTGTGGGTACAATCAGAATGTGGGAATTTATGCAATCCTTTTGTTTCACCCTATTAAACATGAGAGACACTCACATTTCGGAAGTCCCTGAAGGGAACAAACTGCACGATGTCTCTGACTGCCTCCTCTCCTGTGTAAGAGCGTAACACGCTGCTGTCCCCATCCAGGAACTCCATGGCAACAAAGTCTGCATTGCCCACTCCAATAATGATGATTGACATGGGGAGTTTGGCTGCCTGAACGATGGCGTGGCGGGTCTCATCCATGTCACTGATCACCCCATCTGTGATGATCAGCAGAGTGAAGTATTGCTGCAGGGGGAGAAAGAGAGAGAGAGAGTTAGGAGGAGAGAAGGGGTAATAAAAGGACAAATCCACTCAAAAAAAAATGTGTTGTAAAAAAAAATATTAGTCCACTGTTGGTATAGTCCCAGAATGTTTTGCATGTCAGCAGTCAAGTTTTCAAGATTTAGGATTTTCAAGAAGCAAAGTGTCACTTGCCACAGTCTCCTGAGTGGCGCAGTGGTCTAAGGCACTGCATCGCAGTGCTAACTGTGCCACTAGAGATCCTGGTTCGAATCCAGGCTCTGTCGCAGCCGGCCGTGACCGGGAGACTCATGGGCGGCGCACAATTGGCCTAGCGTCGTCCAGGGTAGGGGAGGGAATGGCCGGCAGGGATGTAGCTCAGTTGGTAGAGCATGGCGTTTGCAACGCCAGGGTTGTGGGTTCGATTCCCACGGGGGGCCAGTATAAAAAAAAAAAATGTATTCACTAACTGTAAGTCGCTCTGGATAAGAGCGTCTGCTAAATGACTAAAATGTAAATGTAAATCATGATGATGCGTTTTGCTTCATATGATGCATTTTGGGACTGTATTAACTGTGGACAAATGAAAAAAATAAAAAATATATAGTTTTGAGTGGATTTTTCCTTTAAGCTTCGGGGATGATGTGAAGGAGACTTGAAGGTGAATATAATCATGTTGGGACAGAGCAGAAAAGATTGTTCAGACATAAATTACATTTAGCCAAAATTTATTAAACTGTTCTGTTTAGCCACATGGATTACAGACCGGTGTCAGTATGATGGCTCCTGTATAACCACATCTCAGAAGTGGCACTGGTGCTGGAATAACAAATTAGGGCTAGATTCAATCCGTATCGCAGAAGTATCGCGGAAGATCCTCGTTATAACTCGATTGAAATTTAAAGGCAATAATCCTGCTTTCGCGAAGACTGCATTCACAGTAAACACTGCATATGTTGGCTCAATCGGAAATTACCTTTCAATTTGTATGCGGATCTTCCGCGATATGGATTGAATCCAGCCCTTAATATGAAGCCAATATCAAAGCTGTGTCCTCATTGTGAACACACACATCGCTCAGTAGACACACATTTCTTGAATAGCTTTTTATGCACATGAACTCAAAACACCCTAGAAGAGCACAGTCAGATTACTGATGATTGCATTACATTGTGGAGAAATGATTGTACATAGGGAGAGTGAAGATGAGAAGGAGAAACAAGGAGCTTCAATACTATCCCATTCCACTCCTGCAAAACAGGAGGCTAGGGGAAGGAGGATTTAAATAGTCACACAATCCCTGTCTCCTGTTCTTTCTGCTGCAGTTTGCTGATAGTCATATTTAGCATGGAGATTTCCATTTGCTCAGAGTGGCATCATAATGACATCTTCTTCCAGCTATAAGGCTGTAGCACAGTCACACTGAATTATCACACATGACCTGGAGAATTAACTGACTGGAGCCCAAAAAGACCCACTCCCACAAGCACAAATGTCAAAGGCTGTTCTGGTCTTAAGGGATCAACGGATTTCTTAATCATTCCGCAGCACGCAGCACAAAAGCAGTAAAAGCATGTCTATGTGTGATTGTCTACAGTGTGAGTCAGTGTAAAGCTATGGTCTGATGACCATCATTCAGTCCTGTGGGTTTAATACGGCCAGGTCCAAACCATGAGGGTCGGAGAGAGCAGCACTTGGGCCTCTAGCTGCTTCTCCAAACACAGCCACTGATACACAGACCCTCAGCAGTTCCCACGTTCCATACTAATCTCTATGTAGAGTACTTCAAACATATCAACTCTATCCTCCTGATTCCTGCTTATAAGCAAAAACTACCAGTGACTCGGTTAATAAAAAAGTGGTCAGATGACGCAGATGCTAAGCTACAGGACTATTTTGCTAGCACAGACTGGAACATGTTCCAGGATTCTTCAGATAGCATTGAGGAGTACACCATATCAGTCACTGGTTTCATCAATAAGTGCATCGATGACGTCGTCCCCACAGTGACCGTACGTACATACCCCAACCAGAAGCCATGGATTACAGGCAACATCCGCACTGAGCTAAAGGGTAGAGCTGCCGCTTTCAAGGAGCGGGACTCTAACCCGGACGCTTATAAGAAATCCCGCTATGCCCTCCGACGAACCATCAAACAGGCAAAGAGTCAATACAGGACTAAGATTGAATCGTACTACACCGGCTCTGACGCTCGTCAGATGTGGCAGGGCTTGAAAACTATTACAGACTAGGGAAGCACAGCCGCGAGCTGCCCAGTGACACAAGCCTACCAGACGAGCTGAACCACTTCTATGCTTGCTTCGAGGCAAGCAACACTGAAGCATGCATGAGAGCACCAGCTGTTCCGGATGACTATGTGATCACGCTCTCTGTGGCCGATGTGAGTAAGACTTTTAAGCAGGTCAACATTCACAAGGCCGCAGAGCCAGACGGATTACCAGAACGTGTACTCCGAGCATGTGCTGACCAACTGGCAAGTGTCTTCACTGACATTTTCAACCTGTCCCTGACTGAGTCTGTAATACCAACATGTTTCAAGCAGATCACCATAGTCCCCATGCCCAAGGACACTAAGATAACCTGCCTAAATGACTACCGACCCGTAGCACTGACGTCTGTAGCCATGAAGTGCTTTGAAAGGCTGGTCATGGCTCACATCAACACCATTATCCCAGAAACCCTAGACCCACTCCAATTTGCATACCGCCCCAACAGATCTAGGTCCAAAAGGCTTCTCAACAGCTTCTACCCCCAAGCCATAAGACTCCTGAACAACTAATCATGGCTACCCGGACTATTTGCACTGCCCCCCACCCCCACACCATCTTTTTACGCTGCTCTGTTAATTATTTATGCATAGTCACTTTAACTCTACCCACATGTACATATTACCTCAACTACCTCAACTACCTCAACTAGCCGGTGCCCCCGCACATTGACTCTGCACCGGTACCCCCCTGTATATAGCCTCCCTACTGTTATTTTATTTTACTTCTGCTCTTTTTTTCTCAACACTTTTTTGTTGTTGTTGTTTTATTTAACTTTTTTATAAAAAAATTAATGCATTGTTGGTTAAGGGCTGTAAGTAAGCATTTCACGGTAATGTCTACACCTGTTGTATTCGGCGCATGTGGCAAATAAAATTTGATTTATTTGATTTTATTTAAAGTGTGGAATACACACATTCGGAGGTCAGGATTAACTCTCCTGGCCTTCTGGCATGGTTGATGTGATGCTGTGATGCTGAGACATCAAGCCCTGCTGGCAGTGGGCTGAGAAGAGAGGTGAGGCTCACTTATTTTCATCCTCTTCTTCACATTGCATAAACACACACACACATGCACGCACACACACATACAAAATACACACAGAAGCACACAAACACACACTCTACATTCATACAGAAGCGCATGCATGTGTGCACACATGCACACGCACACACACATTCGCTGTTTCAATCGCACGCATGCTTTTACTCACTCAAAGACATACAGACAGGTAGAAGTTGACAAGTTCACAAACACAGCAACACATACGTGGCTGTTGTCTTCACTAACTGCTCTCTAGTAATCTCTGTAGTCTTGTCAGTAGTTTCCTCCCACACAAACACAGTCCCTCAGATATGCTAGCTGTTGCGACCACTTGCTCCTGCCTGCTTCCCGTCAGAGGGGCCACCAGAGTTGGCCTGTGTTTGATAGCAACCCCCGCTCCCCTGCTGTGGACGCTGTGAAGTCTGCTCCTTTAATGTACTTTAACAGTGAATCATTTTCTAAGGGACAGAGACAGACACAGCTACCGCGCCAAAGCTCAGCCGATTTGTACACACTCACACACACCTACAATCATTATCAAAGCCCAGGGACAGACATCTACAATGCCTAGCAGGTGATTTGCGAGTGCACACGCGCACACACATCAAGGAATTTATCTATCTCTTCCATTTCTAAAACCTTGTGAAGTGAACACAATAGCTAATTTCTCTTGTTTTTACAGTAAAAATGATCCTTGGTCTCTCTCTAGTTCTCTCTTGTTTCTCTCATATTCTCTGGGGTGACAGGGTGCAATTAGGGACAACAAGCTCCCAGGAGCTTAAAGTATGGTTAATAATAACAAGCTATTACTTCCTCCAAACTCACAGGCTGTGTACATCTGAATGTGAAGCCAGGAAACAGAAGGTCCAAAGAGGGGTCTGGACTGTATTTTCACTATTTTCAGGGCATAAGAATGTTATCTATATTCTTAACTGGGACATTCTGTCCTGGTTTGTCTTCCTTCCCTGGAGGAAAATACTCGTTAACTGTCTCATTCTATTCTGTTCAGACTACTTAGAAAAAAGGGTTCCAAAATGGTTCTGCGGCTGTCCTCATAGGAGAACCCTTTTTGGTTCCAGGTAGAATTACTTTGGGTTCCATGTAGAACGCTCTGTGGAAAGGGTTCTACATGGAGCCCAAAAGGGTTCTATCTGGAACCAAAAGGGGTTCTTCAAATGGTTCTCCTATGGGGTCGCTGTCACATCCTTGCTGTCACATTCTCCAGTGCTGCATCTCTGTCTAGAGTCAGAACCTCTTCCGTCACAGAGCAGAGACAGAGAGAGACCATTCTGTTGGACTGCAAAGAGAAAAGAGCAGACTTCTAGGCCACGCCTCATTAGTCATTAAAACCAATGAACAACAGGTGAAAAGAGGGTATATTTGTTCACTGAATCACCTTCTATAAATAACTACAGATATAGGATCTTAATTTGAGACAGTTTGCTACAGCAGGAAATGTGAATTATTATGCGGATTATAATGAATGGACATTTTTGTAGGGGTTGATACGTTTTTCATTACGTAAAATCAAGTCTGAAATTTCAAAGTGGAAATTACAAACTTCAGAAGACTTTTTTAACTTTAAAAACACTACAAGTTTTTAATTTAATTTAATTTAATAAAATTAACATCCTACATCTGTATAATTGAAAGGGGATTTTAATGGCTGCGCTCCTCTCCTCTGTGCTGGTAATAAGAGCAGAGAGAAATTGCGAGCGATGTTCAAAATGCCTCTGCAGACTTTGAACTGGCAACCAGAAGCAGAGTTTTGAGGTTTCTCACACAGCAATTAGGATCTGTTAGTGCTGGACCAACTCTCCATCTTACATACCCTGAGTCCAAAACACACACACACACATGCACACGTGCACACATACACACACACACAAAACACACACACACAGCTTGCTGATAGGCCCATGTGAACAGCAGTAAGGGGACTCATTCTTTTCTGATTACAGCATGCTGAGCAGCTCTGAGTGGAACAGACCTGTCTGAGAGACACAGGAAATAATTGCTCTTAAAGGGAAAGCTGTCCAATGGGCTGAGCTCTTTCCACTGTAACTGTTAAGACTTTACCAATAAGATGGAGTCTGTAATGTCTCATTATGCATGAGAGGAAGAGTACAGAGCACTACTGTTGTAAAAACAGGCATGAGTGGAAAGTGTTTGGATTCGGTGCGTGTAGAGTAGATTATGTAGTAATTACTCCAGCTATTTCCCATATTGTTAAATATGGCTTTTGAGTTGCTTCAGCTGTGGTGAGGGTAAGTTTTCCATGGAAATGGAATCTTTCGATAAAAACCTCTACCATGGAACAAGAAGACGTAATGTAATGACTCAGTGGTATTACCTTTCCAACCGTGTGAATGTTTAACGGTTCAGTGACTTCAGGAGCTCTGGGTTACAGTTGGAAACCTATCACATGGTCAGCATGTGCTGCCACATCTGGCTATGGGCAGTGGAACAGTGCTTGTGTTTACTACAAAGTGCACCCGCCTTTAAAGTCAATAAGCATTGGTAACGTGGGGGGATTTACATGTCATTTAGAACCGGTAATGTTGACTCATACTAATGACATGAGTTTGGATGGCCATCTTTAACAGCAAAATGATAGATTCAATAGAATGAAAATGGATAAACAATGAAACCGTGAAAGTAGTAGTCCTAATAGTGCTAACGAGCACTCACCGCAGCAGTCTCCTGTTGCAGGGCCTGGGTGGCGAAGCGGGCCACATGGGTGATGATGGGGGAGAAGTTGGTGGGGCCATAGAAGCGGATGTGTGGCAGGCAGGCAGAGTAGGCCTGGGCAATCCCCTCCACGCCTGACCACAGGAAACAGGAAACACACATGGAAACTATGTCATGGAAAATGCTCGACAGCAAACTCAGACTCTACACAGAGGGTTTTAGTATGGTAGTTCTCTAATACATTAGACAGAAGTCCAACTCCATGGAAAAAACAAGAAACCAACTCTAGTAAGTACATTTTGTAGTAAGGTTTTAAATAGGAGTTACAGATAACATAGTAGTTGCTCACCTTGGCAGAATGGATTGGTGGGGTCAAAATTTATGGCAAATTCATGAGACACCTGCAGGTTCAGGAGAGAAAGAAGCAAGCCTCAGGTGCAGAAATGGCTAATTGACTGTAGACTGTAGAGTGCAGTAGAAATATGAATTTCCATTGTATAATTGTAACTGGTGGTAAAAGTAGTGAATTGTGTATGTGATGAAATTGTATCATTCTCCCCTCCCCCAACCCTGCTTCTGTCACTTTCTCTATTCTATTTAGCTTTCCATTACATACATTCCCATCCCTGCAGCGCCCTTTCATTCCCATTTTTTCAACCTCTCCTTCTCTCCTTCCTCTTGTCCTCTCAGACCACAGATGGGTTAGACCTCCCTAAACACTTCCCATACAGTATCTGAAAGCAAGGCTAAATATTCAGTCTATTTCTGTTGCTTATCCTCCTCTTCCCTTTGTCCTTTACATCAGTGCAGTGCCATGGCAACCCAGATGGGATGACAGTTGCATAATCATTGGATTATGCATGTATTATACATACTCTTTATCTCTGTGATAGCGCTCTCTTCCAGTCTCCCTCTTCTCTTTAACACTCCTTTGGCTCTACTTCTATCATATGTATGTGCCGTGAAGACACACACTCGCATACAGACAGTACATACACTTACCTTCCAGTCTGGAGGGAGTTGAGCCCCAAATCCCAGAGCAGGAAACATTTTGTCACTGAGGAAGGATTGCAACAGATTGGCAGTGTTGAGCTACTTCATCAAAATTCAACATACAATTTTGCATTATGGAATGTCGCAATAAACTTGGGTTGGTATTTTATCACAAACAATTAAACCTACCCACACAATCTGATATTTTGGAGTGACATAAATAATATAACTGAGTAGACACAGAATTAGAAGAGTTGAAGGGACCTTTTAGTGACTTAAGACTGATGTATTATAAAACATTTTATACTGTATGTATCTGTGATATGATCATATTGAGTCCTGTCATTAGTGTTTACTATAATGGGACTCACGTGTCATAGTCCTGGATGATCTGGCCCACAGCCAGGATGGCTGATAGGTACTCGTTGCTGCCCAGAGGGTTGATGTAGTGAAGAGAGGAGGGCTCCCGGGGGTTCCCATTAGATGCTGTGAAGTCAATGCCAACCTACAGGAATAGCAGACATGCTCACAAACACAAACAAAGCCTATAAATCAGCTCAAAATATGAACAAAGATGTGGAACGTATAAATAGATCCAAGCCTTATTTCAAGATCCTGTCCTCAGGAAAAGGGACTTCATTTAGAAGGTTACAATATAAACATGCTAATTTGCTCAAAGATTACAACTGACAAGCCCTCCCTAAAGCGGTGAGTACAAGTGTTCACATATAAACAAGGCCACATTCTCATCCAGTCCATGCTACTGCCTTTAACCAAGAATCACATCACGGTGTATGGTTGCTACTCAGATCTCCTCCAGCTCCTACCAAACCTGTGGCTGACAACTGGACAGCTTCCCTTGTTCAATAGATGGACAGAAAGGTAATGAGAGAGAGAGAGAGAGAGTGAGAGAGAGAGCGAGAGAGAGAGTGAGAGAGTATAGAGAGAGAGAGAGAGAAGAGAGAGAGAGCGCTCTATCTCTGCGCCTCTTCAGCTCTCTCCTATCTTATCGCTCGATACTTATCTCGCTATCTCGACCACCTCTAGCAGAAAACCAGGCTAGATAGAGATGAGATAAATCCATCGATATATCATGACCCCTCCGATAGCCTTAGGGTGCCACGTCTTATGCCTGACCCCATGCGTCTCAATCAAGGTAAGATGATGAGTGTGCTGATCAGGGAACTGACTCACATCTTCAGCTTTAACTCCCTTTAGTACAGATGAAGGACCACACTGTTTCTTAAACATGTCTCTAACCCTTTGTTACACTCTTAGAAAAAAAGGTGCTATCTAGAACCTAAAAGGGTTCTCCTATGGGGACAGCTAAAGAACCCTTTAGGGCCCTGTAGGGCTTCCGAAAGAGCCGGTGGTGAGATAACAAGATAATGAACAATCAGATAACCTCATAGATGAACACTGGTGTACTGAGCACTGCTCCCCACCGCAGGCCTGGCCTGTAGGCTAGTTTTACCACTGTTGTAATGCTGCTTTTATTACAATGTTCTTAATATTGTGTTATATAGTCAATAAGGGTTTCTCTGCAACTACCACAAACACTGTTTTCTTCAATTCCAGTCAATATGAGCAGTGCTCCTCATCTGGATCTCTGTAGAGAAGATTTCCCCTCTAACAGATTAGAATTAGATGCATGCTAAGTATAATTGAATCCCATAGAACAGAGAGAGAGCCCTGGGTCTCTCACAAGAGAAAACAGATTAAGAGAACTGCAGGATGCACAGTTGAGGATTTAGATTCACATTCGTTCTCAAACACCAATCTCGACTGAATTATAACATGCAGGTGTAATATCCACGAAGCACGAATGTGTGAACTATTGAAATATTTGAATTATCATAGTGGATTAAGGTACAGGTGTTCTAATTTTACTGGGGTTTTGAACATATATATTTTTTAAAGGATATACAGTTGAAGTCGAAAGTTTACATACACCTTAGCCAAATACATTTAAACTCAGTTTTTCACAATTCCTGACATTTAATCCTAGTAAATATTCCCTGTCTTAGGTCAGTTAGGATCACCACTTTATTTTAAGAATGTGAAATGTCAGAATAATAGTAGAGAGAATGATTTATTTCAGCTTTTATTTCTTTCATCACATTCCCAGTGGGTCAGAAGTCTACATACACTCAATTAGTATTTGGTAGCATTGCCTTTAAATTGTTTAACTTGGGTCAAACGTTTGGGTAGCCTTCCACAAGCTTCCCACAATAAGTTGGGTGAATTTTGGCACATTCCTCCTGACAGAGCTGGTGTAGCTGAGTCAGGTTTGTAGGCCTCCTTGCTTGCACATGCTTTTTCAGTTCTGCCCACAAATGTTCGATAGGGTTGAGGTCAAGGCTTTGTGATGGCCACTCCAATACCTTGACTTTGTTGTCCTTAAGCCATTTTGCCACAACTTTGGAAGTATGCTTGGGGTCATTGTCCATTTGGAAGACCCATTTGCGACCAAGCTTTAACTTCCTGACTGATATCAGAAGCTTCTAAAGCCATCATTTTCTGGAATTTTCCAAGCTGTTTAAAGGCACAGTCAACTTAGTGTATGTAAACCTCTGACCCACTGGAATTGTGATACAGTGAATTATAAGTGAAATAATCTGTCTGTAAACAATTGTTGGAAAAATTACTTGTGTCATGCACAAAGTAGATATCCTAAGTGACTTGCCAAAACTATAGTTTGTTAACAAGAAATTTGTGGAGTGGTTGAAAAACAAGTTTTAATGACTCCAACCTAAGTGTATGTAAACTTCCAACTTCAACTGTACATAATTTGTCCCAGTAGAAATAGGAGTACCTCTTTTAAAATCGGATACATTTAGTAAAACTGTCAGGAATCATTGCACATTTCCTGTCTATCAGCTAGGTTTTAGAAAATGTAAACTAAAAGGACAAAATATTATGGATACAGTACAAACACAAATTCCATTGGTCTCTCAAGGGGGACCTATAAGATGTAGCCACCTAAAGCCAAACCATCGAGTTGTGTCTCTCCAGTCATACCCCTATATTGTTTTCTGTTTCTCTCTCTCTCTTTCATTCCTGCAAAGACATAGTCTGCTTTGGCACAAAACACAGTAACTATGGAAACACAAATGTTCTATTTGCTTATTTAAAAAAATCTGACAATAACATTGGGATAAAATAATTGGTTGAACAGGACCACACATAACCTGCTCATCAGAACAATGTCTGTGGTCCACGACCACATAAATAAACACATCTAGTCACATACACGTAACTAAAGAGGTGTGGCAAGATGGAACAAGTTAATTTTGCCATCCAGGGAATAATAAAAAACAGGTGGAATTATTTTGTGGCTACAAAGTATATACAGAATATGGGCATACAAGTCTACATTATATATTGGTGTGTACTAAAGTATCTACAGTGTACAACAACATGTCATCATTTTGGTAACAGTTATTTTTACACTTTTATAAACCCTGGGTGCTGAGAACATAGATCAAACACACATTTTTGCACCACAAAGGGCACTGCTTCTCTGAGTATTTCACGGTAGCACGGATACGTAAGTGGTGGTGGTGTAAAATGTTTCAGCACCATTGAAGATACAGTTGAAGTCGGAAGTTTACATACACCTTAGCCAAATACATTTAAACTCAGTTTTTCACAATTCCTGACATTTAATCCTAGTAAAAATTCTGTGTCTTAGGTCAGTTAGGATCGCCACTTTTTATTTTAAAAATGTGAAATGTCAGAATAATAGTAGAGAGAATGATTTATTTAAGCTTTTATTTCTTTCATCACATTCCCATTGGGTCAGAAGTTTACATACACTCAATTAGTATTTTGTAGCATTGCCTTTAAATTGTTTAACTTGGGTCAAATGTTTCAGGTAGCCTTCCACAAGCTTCCCACGATAAAATAAAATGGGTGAATTTTGGCCCATTCCTCCTGACAGAGCTGGTGTAACTGAGTCAGGTTTGTAGGCCTCTTTGCTTGCACACACTTTTTCAGTTCTGCCCACACATTTTTTATACGATTGAGGTCAGGGCTTTGTGATGGCCACTATAGTTTGTTAACAAGTAATTTGTGGAGTGGTTGAGAAACAAGTTTTAATGACTCCAACCTAAGTGTATGTACACTTCCGACTTCAACTGTAAATACCCTGGCTGGCCAATAATGGAGCACTGACACAAAGGTGTGACATCACCAGGGACGCACAATGTTTCTCCCATCAGCCTGAGCCAAAAATAGACCAATGATGATTTTCTCCTACTACAGAGAATTCTGAACCTACCATGTTTCCAAAGATTTACAGTACTGTGGTGTGCATTCAATGAATGAAGTAGCATATGCAAGTGGTTTATGTTCAAATAAAAAATACATGTTAAATTAAAATATATTTCAAAATGTATTTGTTAGTTTGTATGTGTGCGTACGTACAGTACGTGCGTGTGTGTGCGCAGTGTGTTTGTGTTCCATCCTGAGTTATCTGTAATTTGACATATTGGAGTTCATTGCCAGGGGTGGGTGGATGTCTGAGTTACTGTAGGTGGGTGGCAGAGATGGGTGAGAGTGGGAGTAAAGGGTCAGAGTTTACAGGCAGAGTGTGAGACACACTGAGTTGAGTGATGACCTCATACTCACAGTGAACATGATCTGGCATCCACCTAAAATATAGTCCAGGAAGGTATAGTCCCTTTCAACCTGAGGAGACATTATTCAAACATTATTCAAACTCTGCTCATACTATTCCATACTCTAGCAAGTTCAAATAATTTTTCCTATAGATAAATAATTGGAGGAGGCACGACAGTGGCACTTTGATAGGACTGAGTCATCTCCATATTCAGTAATTGGCTGCCTGAACAAAGGTGATTACTGCAGGCAGAACCGTGGTGGACTGTGTGAGACTGACAGGTGTTTTGTGCTGATATTAATACATGCCTTTAATAGGGATTTGGAGCCATTACTCTAATCCCTGCCTGAAGCGAGCCATTACATGCATTTTTGTTTGTAATAAAAAAAACTACTTTGAAGGAAAGTAATTAGCTGTGTGCATAATGCTTTATGTGGATTCATAATACATTTAAAGATGTTTCCTTTTATACTTAATATGCCTTTTTGTGATTGCCATAATGGGTTGACTAATTAAGAGGCATAGTGTATATCTATTAGTCTGTGTGTTTTGGTTCACCTTGCATGACTTCAGAATGATGATTCCAGAGTTTTTGTAGCTCTTTTTCTTCTTCTGTTTTTTGGGATTAATACATTCAAATTCGACCTGGACCAGAGGAACACAGAGTGAGAAATTACAACTAGGGCCCATCTGCACACCCACACAATTTACACTCATTCTCACACTCAAGCTCTATTTGCATTTCTGCCATTAGCAAATGACACAAGGTTTTCAGGAAGAAGTTGGCAGCTAAAAATGGAAGAAAAATGTAGCTCTTCCTACTTCTCTCACCAGGTGTTACCGGGCTGTAAAATAAAGTGTTACCCAACATGTCTTAGTGAGGTTAAAACAGGCAGTAGATTGTATTGGTGTTAGTAAATAAACACTTGCGAATATCCAAATGAACGGGCATCCTCCATTCAGAAATGGTGAACTGTGTTAGGTGCATTGAGACTGTAGTGTCTTAAGTGAGTCCTTCACTCACAGTGAGGAGTGCTTTCAGATTAGAGACAATGTGAAAATGGTCTTAGATCCACATCAAAGCATGACTAACGCATACAGAACAAACTCCCATAGATAAACAGGAACAGATCTACAATCCTTCCCTCACCTCCAGTGAATTCTGGGCTTCACTCATCTTGGTGACAGTGGTCTGAAATTCTCCAATGAAGTCATGACCTCCGTCGTTGTCGTAATCATAGCACAGTACCTGTAATACGAGACAACACAGAAAGGACAAAAATATATGAAAATTCAGTAATACCACAACAAATCACTTAAAATGTATTTGGCTTTTTACATATCTAAAAGAGGATTCCATCGCTAACATTTTCATGCCATCGCCCTAAGATGAATGCACATTGGCAAATCTCACTCACCTTGATGCTCCTGTCTACGTCCCCATCACAGAGGGAGATGAGTGGTACTGTGAAGGGCTTCCACACCGGGTCCAGAGTGTTCTTTATCACCTGCAGCACAAAAACAGCTACAGAGATACAACTTCTTCCATGTCATTTGGAATACAGAACTCAGAAGCTGGATCAATCCAGTTACTGTATTACCAGGTGGTAATACACCTTGTTTAGTGATATAATACACTAATACACATTCAAATAGTCTAAACAGCCACCCCTGACCAACTACTGAGCCAACTCACCTCTGTCCTGTGGACCAACATCCATTTCCCATCATCTCCTTGCTTGTGGAACTCTAGATAGGGGTCTGATTTACCAAAGAAATCCTGCAAAACCAAACAATCTGGTTTGACAATGGCCCACATAGCTGCCGGCATTCCACTATGAAGACTTGGAGAGGGCATTGTTGTTGTTTCATTAGCATTGTCTTTATTGACAAAATCATATTGTTCCAAATATTACGTAAGAAATTCTTAACATTCAATGATAATATAGTACTATGTGGGCAGTGACTCTTACCTTCTTGTCAAGCTTTCTCCCACACAAGGTCAGTGTGATTACTCTATTGTCTGACAGCTCCAACGCAGTTATCTGTACACAAGAGAAACCGTTACTATGTGGTAAACTGTATCATGTTACAAAACGTGTGTGTGTGAGGGTGTGTGGGAGTGTGTGTGTGTGTGTGTGTGTGTGTGTGGGAGTGTGTGTGTGTGTGTGTGTGTGTGTGTGTGTGTGTGTGTGTGTGTGTGTGTGTGTGTGTGTGGTGTGTGTGTGGGTGTGTGTGTGTGTGTGTGTGTGTGTGTGTGTGTGTGTGTGTGTGTGTGGACATGTGTTTATTTCTTGGATCGCTCTGTGGGTTGTGCAGCATGATGTTCTCACTGTGATGGTTCCCTTCCCAGCTGGCTTGCCATTGGCCAAGGTCAGTGACCGGTGAAGTTTCTTATTGGACACAATCTAAACATAACAGACCAGAGAGAGAAGTGAGTGAGGGGTGAAAATGCCCAACTGCAAATAAACATAACAAACAGGTGATAAACAGGTGCAGAAAGGGGTCACAGACAGATTCTAAGAACAATGTGACAGGTAGCATACCACCCCCAGTGTACAGATGTACTCTCCCAGGAAGTCATGCTCATACAGCTGGCTGCTGCACTTGTCCTCATCAAACAGGGCAAACTTGAGCTTCTGGACCTCCTCAAAATGGTAGTCCACCTTAAACTTCACCCCAAACACTGGGTTCAGGTTATTCACCGCAGTCTCTGTTCGACCAATCTGAAAATAATACACAGGAATATGGTTTTGTCAAACAAGTACTGTATTCACACACAAACGTGCAACCACCGAACACACAGAGAGGATGTGGAAGGTGGAAATGTGGTTGTGTGTAAGGTTGAAAAGGCCTTATTCATGTGAAAGATAAACCCAGCTGGTGGTGACTAACACAGTGTATGTGGTCCTCTGTAGCTCAGCTGGTAGAGCACGGCGCTTGTAACGCCAAGGTAGTGGGTTCGATCCCCGGGACCACCCATACACAAAAAAAAAAATGTATGCACGCATGACTGTAAGTCGCTTTGGATAAAAGCGTCTGCTAAATGGCATATTATTATTATTATTATTATGTGTGACTTACACTGATAGAGTATACACCTAGTCCTCGACCCCTACTGTGCTCTCATCTCTGAGACTAGATCAGAGCAAACTGTACATTCCAACGCTGCTCTGTCTGTTTGACTGGAACCCCTCGCCTCTGTGTCTCTCCCAGCACCTTCTCTGACTGTTTCCGCCCTCCCCTTTCTGTGTTTTCACACTTCCCTCTTTACCCCCACAGCACAGATGGCTCCTCCACCCAGAGTGAACCCTTCTCTCACGCCGAGACAGACAGGAAGAAAAGCCCTTCCCTTTAAAAACCCTTCACTCCTCTATTTCTTCTCTGCTGTGTGTTTTTGTTTCATATAGCTTTCGAATGTTTGTGTATAGTTATGTGTTTCATGTGCTGTAGCTTTCATCATGATCCAAAGAGAAACCATTGTCAGGATTACTACATGAGTTTAAAGATATGAAATGTTACACCTCTGGAATAGCACACAGCCTCTAAGGTACTTTTTACACATAGGCTGCCCGTTTTCAAAACCCACGGTATATTCCATGTCCCTTCCCTGTTTGCCTGTAAGTTCCATTCCTCATTACTCTTTCCACTCTCTTTCCATGCATCAAGAACATCATGATTCCTTTGTTTCCGTCCACATTTCCATGGTAACTGCAGCAACCGCTATGCTGGTTTCATGTTGGAGCCTGCCCTGTTGACCGACAGCCCAAGCCTGCAGCGATCACACTTAGCCTGCTTCAACACAACACTACCCAGGGAGGCATGTTTTTCCCTGGCACTGAGAGGGCACCCGGAGCACACACACAGATATACACTCCACAAGACACCACAGCTTCAAAGACAGCTCTGGATTTATGTTTTCCATTCTATATTGATAACACTGTGTGTTATTGCGAACTTGACGAGTATCAATCAATAAAACATTGAGAGCATTCAACAGTCAGAGGATATGTATTAATAATTATTATACCCTCTCAAGTGGTTTACTTCACCACTTTATCCAACCCTTCCAATCCCTCATTCTTTCCACTTTTCCAACAGTCATTTTCCCTTTTCTTTTCCTTTATAATTGATCACCTCAACCTTTTCCATACATGCCCAACCCTCCTCACCTCAACCCAGTTGCTGTCCACCTCGTGGAAGAGCACTAAGAAGGGGTCAGACTTGGAGGCCACGTCTCTGTCCAGCAGGTTGCCACAGCACACGGACAGCTCCACCCTAGTGACGCAATGCTGGGGACCCATGGTTGGCCCAGAATCAGGCCCCGTGCCTAGCGTGTAGGCCATGCTCGCAGGAGTGTCAGCTCTCCCACAGCCTAGGAACACACACAGCACAGAGAAACGGCACTATGAATGACATTACTGTAGCATTGAGCGTTCTGTAGAGACTCGTTGGTTCAAAATAAGGTAGAGAGACGCACAAAAACATGAGGATGTTTAATGCGGGGCGGGTAATGACAGAGAATTTGAGACCTATCATAAATTCTCATATTCCATATTCAATAGAACATTTAAAAATATATTATATCCATGTGCAGTATCCAGAGAGTTGAACGAATCAATTCAGCTGCAGGAAAAACAAAGGTCAGGGTCACATGCAGAATAATTGATCTACAAGGGTCCTTCATGTGTCATATGAGAGAATAAAAGCTGTACTCTGTCAAACATTCATACACAGGTAACGTAATGTGAGGACATGAGGAGTGTGGTGAGGGCTCTTGTTGCTAAGATACTGATGTGCCATTGTGGAACCAGAATATAGGAAATTGATTATAATCCCAACAGACCACAGATGTAGGACTGCATAGTTACAGCCTTATTCTGAAATGGATTCAATCGTTTTTCCCTCATCAATCTACACACAATACCCCATCATGACAAAGCAAAAACTGGTTGTTGTTTTTCTTTGTAAATGTATAAAAAAAAAAAAACTGAAATATCACATTTACATAAGTATTCAGACCCTTTACTCAGTACTTTGTTGAAGGACCTTTGGCAGTGATTACAGCCTTGCCTTGAGTCTTCTTGAGTATGACGCCACAAGCTTGGCACACCTGTATTTGGGGAGTTTCTCCCATTCTTCTATGCAGATCCTCTCAAGCTCTGTCGGGTTGGATGGGGAGCGTCGCTGCACAGCTATTTTCAGGTCTCTCCAGAGATGTTTGATTGGGTTTAAGTCCGGGCTCTGGCTGGGCCACTCAAGGACATTCAGAGACTTGTCCCGAAGCCACTCCTGCGTTGTCTTGGCTGTGTACTTAGGGTCGTTGTCCTGTTGGAAGGTGAACCTTCGCACCAGTCTGAGGTCCTGAGCGCTCTGGAGCAGGTTTTCATCAAGGATCCCTCTGTACTTTGCTCCGTTCATCTTTCCCTCGATCCTGACTAGCCTCCCAGTCCCTGCCGCTGAAAAACATCCCCACAGCATGATGCTGCCACTACCATGCTCCACCATAGGAATGGTGCCTGGTTTCCTCCAGACGTGACGCTTGGCATTCATGCCAAAGAGTTCAATCTTGGTTTCATCAGACCAGAGAATCTTGTTTCTCATGGTCTGAGAGTCCTTTAGGTGCCTTTTGGCAAACTCCAAGTGGGCTGTCATGTGCCTTTTACTGAGGAGTGGCTTCGGTCTGGTCACTCTACCATAAAGGCCTAATTGGTGGAGTGCTGCAGAGATGGTTGTCCTTCTGGAAGGTTCTCCCATCTCCACAGAGGAACTCTGGAGCTCTGTCAGAGTGACCATCGGGTTCTTGGTCACCTCCCTGACCAAGGCCCTTCTCCCCCGATTGCTCAGTTTGGCCAGGCGGCCAGCTCTAGGAGAGTCTTGGTGGTTCCAAACTAATTCCATTTGAGAATGATGGAGGCCACTGTGTTGTTGGGGACCTTCAATGCTGCAGATATTTTTTTGGTACCCTTCCCCAGACCTGTGCCTCGACACAATCCTGTCTTGGAGCTCTATGGACAATTCCTTCGCCTTCATGGCTTAGTTTTTGCTCTGACATGCACTGTCAACTATGGGACCTTATATAGACAGGTGTGTGCCTTTCCAAATCATGTCCAATCAATTGAATTTACCACAGGTGGACACCAATCAAGTTGAAGAAACATCTCAAGGATGATCAATGGAAACAGGATGCACCTGAGCTCAATTTCGAGTCTCATCGCAAAGGGTCTGAATACTTATGTAAGTAAGGTTTTTCAGTAAAAGAAAAAAAATCAAATAACCTGTTTCCACTTTGTCATTATGGGGTATTGTGTGTAGATTGAGAGGACATTTTTTTATGTAATCCATTTTAGAATAAGGCTGTAACGTTACAAAATGTGGAAAAGGGGAATGGGTCTGAATACTTTCCGAATGCACTGTATGTTATACCATAAGTGATTAATTTAAGTAATGCATTGTAAGGTTATAATGAACACTTAATATACAAATAAAATCTAAATGAAAATGTTTCTACATTGTCATTTTCTGTTATGGTTAATGGACTGTTATATGTCGGTACCGTATATGAGGCTCTTTCCATCTAAAGGTCTTTCCATTACCAATAATTAGATTCAACCAAAGCAAAAGTGTACAATGGGAGCATACTGAAGTGTACAATGGGAGCATACTGAAGTGTACAATGGGAGCATCCTGAAGTGTACAATGGGAGCATACTGAAGTGTACAATGGGAGCATGCTGAAGTGTACAATGGGAGCATACTGAAGTGTACAATGGGAGCATACTGAAGTGTACAATGGGAGCATCCTGAAGTGTACAATGGGAGCATACTGAAGTGTACAATGGGAGCATCCTGAAGTGTACAATGGGAGCATACTGAAGTGTACAATGGGAGCATACTGAAGTGTACAATGGGAGCATACTGAAGTGTACAATGGGAGCATACTGAAGTGTACAGCATCATAAACTAAACACATCACACACTTCCAACGAAATCATAATAATCTTCATGGCTGGATGTATTCGCAAACAAGTGTGCAAAAGTAAAGTATCATATTCTCAATTGCTTGTATAATGTAAACAGTTAAATGTTGTTTTGGTATCAGTAAAAATATTATATAGAAGACATCAGCATAGTCTTGCTCACATACCTAAAATAAAGAGGGTGATAACTCACCCCATATCCCCAAACAGCCCCTCAGGATCAGTCCATCCAACATTACATTCATTGGAGTGATTAACACACTCTTCACACCTAAGGCAAAGCTCTGGCCATATATACCCTCACTGTAAGGGCTATTTGTTAACTTCTGAAGGCTGATATAATGGAAAACTAGTATTTACCAAATCAACATGATCATCCTTATCCTTATACAAACATAGAGATCGGGGATCCAAACACATGTACACACACACACACACACACACACACACACACACACACACACACACACCAACCCCTTGGAAACTGTGCCTCACTCCCCCTAATAGCACAGTAAACACAACGTACATGGTATTTTACTCTAACATAAATGGAGCATTTGATTTGCTAAGGTATGATAAGCATCTTTGTGTGGTAGAGGGAAATGGGGCAAGACTATATGATCTGAATTAGTGACTAAAGGGCCTAGAACTGTCTCAGTGACTTGAATGTTAAAATAAATAATGCCACATACTGTAGGCGTAATGAAGTTCAAATAAAATGTTTGATACTTTAACATATTAGTTTACATTTTTTCCATGTGCGTCGCTGAATATTCCATTATATAATCACACACTGAAAACTGAGTTGGTTACCTAAAAGACTCAACAACACCTGTCTGTGAGTTACAGATCCAAATCACCACCCTCAGTGTCATGTTCTCTCTGTGTTCAGTGTGGTAGAATGAAGTGTCTGCAAACATAAAGAGCCCCTCAGGTGCCCCTTCTAATCAGCAGGCAAACTTTTCTCAGACCATTTATTCAGATGGTAAAAATATTAAATTGGGTCTTGGGCCAGTAATTAGGGACATATTGCTCCATCTTCAAATGGTCCAGGCTAATCAACACATATAGATATGCATAGATCTATCAAGATTACTATTGTGGTGGTGTCCAAGACAACGATGCTGATCTATGCTGTGATGATAAGAAGTCCGCTTACACTGTACTTTGATCATAAAGGTTTATTATTGTATCAAAGATCACAGTATCAATTTACAGACATCTGCAGATATCTGGAGAACAACGGCCCAATCTGTTGTCTCTCCCCCCCCCCCCCCCCCCCCCTTTGTTCAGAACATGGTATTTATATCCTATGTAACATAATATGGCGTGATTTTAATAGACCAATCCCTGGCCTCTACATAGTAGACTCTCCTCTATTCCAAGAAACCTATGTAGTAATGCTTTCCAGATGTTTCAGCAAAGCAGAGTAGAGTTCATCCATTACACCATTTGCAAATGTCAGCAAAATCATAAACTGTTTAGATACTACACTATCAATCAAGACAGTTGTCAACCCAAGCTGAAAATTGCATTCCCATCTTCACTAATCTCAGTGCTGAAGGACCAGGCTGACTGCATCATCTCATCTACTGTGAGATCAAATGTCACTAGATAATACCTATTGGGGTGGGTGTGAATGGAACAGAGTTTTTGATGGTTGCGTACAATGGAAATTCAATACATTTCAGAATAGATTTCAACTACCAACAAAAGGGATGAACACAGGGAAATCCAGAGAGAGATGGAGCAATGATTAGATAGATAGAGAAAGAGATAGGTAAGAGTGAACCTGAGAAATAAAGACATGAGTCTCCGTGGAGACTGACATTTCTGCTTTAGAACTGGTGGCAACTGACTCTGTTTCCTCTTGTGGTTGACAGCTTGAGCTTTGTGACTGCTCTATGCTCATAATAACCTATGACATATCCTGTGTGCCACCATAAATATTTTCATAAGTTTGCAATTTCAGGAAGAAGTACATTGAACATTAAAATGACAATCAATGAATATCCAACATATTTTAGTTAGCAGCACACATTGGAACACATTGCGTTTTTAATGAAAAGAGACATTTACATGTTTCCAGACATAATATATGTATATCGCATAGGATATAAATACACACATGCCTCAATATTCACTTACCTTGGTAAATGTGCTTTTTTTAAACTAATACTCTTATCTGAAGAACGCTTCTTTCTCGATACCTTAAACACGTTTCATTCTATGCACAAATTGACGTTATTTTCATGACGTCCAAAAAATATAATCAGGGGAATACAAATTGTTGTGGTTGGCCTCGAGGGCAGGTCATTCTGGTCTGTGACAGTCTCTCGCGGAGTGGTGTAGTGGAGCCGTCCAAGTGGTTGCGCATTCCAACAACGCCCGACTCTATGACACGCGCTCCCTTAAATTCTGTTGATAATTGCCTTCAGCAAAATGAGAACATAAATGGTCTGGTTCGGGAAAAGCTACATATTTTTCTTAACATAGGCTATTATTGTGTAATCATTCATCAGTGCCAAATGTTGTATAGCCCAATGCGTTTGACACATAAGTACAGTATATTAGGCTACATTCCTGTTTACATTACAGTTAAACCTAAAAGCCCCCAACATATTTTTATCTTAAAAATATGTCAAGCACAAGCAGTAACACATTTTCTTCACACGTTTTTGGTTTTAATTCCCTAAAATAAGCATATATTACATTTGTTTTACACATTTATAGTCAAATGTATACACTGACTATACAAAACATTAAGAACACCTGCTATTTCCATGACATAGATTTACCAGGTGAATCCAGGTGAAAACAATGATCCCTTATTGATGTCACTTGTTAAATCCACTTCAATCGGTGTAGATGAAGGGGAGGAGACAGGTTAAAGAAGGATTTCTAAGCCTCGAGACAATTGAGACAGATATTCTGTATGTATACCATTCAGAGGGAGAATGGGCAAGACAAAATATTTAAGTGCCTTTGAATGAGGTATGGTAGTATGTGCCAGGCGGTGTGTCAAGAACTGCAACGCTGCTGTGTTTTTCACGCTCAACAGTTTCTCTTGTGTATCAAGAATGATCCACCACCCAAAGGACATCCAGCCGACTTGACACAACTGTGGGAAGTATTGGAGTCAACATGGGCCAGCATTCTTGTGGAACTCAGTGTACGTTTTTTGCTACTTGTGATAAAAAAAAGTATGGTATTAATTCAGTGTTTTGTTTCTGTGATATTCAGAGGCTGAGAAATTGCAGAATTTGCTTATTTGATTCACCGATACGACCTAAGATAGTCTGGACATTATAGGCCATCAGACTTAGCTCTAACTCAAGCCAAGTTGCTCTTCTGGTTAACGAATAGGTCTTTACAGTGGGGAGAACAAGTATTGGATACATTGCCGATTTTGCAGGTTTTCCTACTTACAAAGCATGTAGAGGTCTGTAATTTTTATCATAGGTACACTTCAACTGTGAGAGACGGAATCTAAAACAAAAATCCAGAAAATCACATTGTATGCTTTTTAAGTAATTAATTTGCATTTTATTGCATGACATAAGTATTTGATACATCAGAAAAGCAGAATTTAATATTTGGTACAGAAACCTTTGTTTGCAATTACAGAGATCATACGTTTCCTGTAGGTCTTGACCAGGTTTGCACACACTGCAGCAGGGATTTTGGCCCACTCCTCCATACAGACCTTCTCCAGATCCTTCAGGTTTCGGGGCTGTCAATGGGCAATACGGACTTTCAGCTCCCTCCAAAGATTTCCTATTGGGTTTAGGTCTGGAGACTGGCTAGGCCACTCCAGGACCTTGAGATGCTTCTTACGGAGCCACTCCTTAGTTGCCCTGGCTGTGTGTTTCGGGTCGTTGTTATGCTGGAAGACCCAGCCACGACCCATCTTCAATGCTCTTACTGAGGGAAGGAGGTTGTTGGCCAAGATCTCGCGATACATGGCCCCATCCATCCTCCCCTCAATACGGTGCAGTCGTCCTGTCCCCTTTGCAGAAAAGCATCCCCAAAGAATGATGTTTCCACTTCCATGCTTCACGGTTGGGATGGTGTTCTTGGGGTTGTACTCATCCTTCTTCTTCCTCCAAACACGGCGAGTGGAGTTTAGACCAAAAAGCTCTATTTTTGTCTCATCAGACCACATTACCTTATCCCATTCCTCCTCTGGATCATCCAGATGGTCATTGGCAAACTTCAGACGGGCCTGGACATGCGTTGGCTTGAGCAGGGGGACCTTGCGTGCGCTGCAGGATTTTAATCCATGACGGCGCAGTGTGTTACTAATGGTTTTCTTTGAGACTGTGGTCCCAGTTCTCTTCAGGTCATTGACCAGGTCCTGCCGTGTAGTTCTGGGCTGATCCCTCACCTTCCTCATGATCATTGATGCACCACGAGGTGAGATCTTGCATGGAGCACCAGACCGAGGGTGATTGACCGTCATCTTGAACTTCTTCCATTTTCTAATAATTGCGCCAACAGTTGTTGCCTTCTCATCAAGCTGCTTGCCTATTGTCCTGTAGCCCATCCCAGCCTTGTGCAGGTCTACAATTTTATCCCTGATGTCCTTACACAGCTCTCTGGTCTTGGCCATTGTGGAGAGGTTGGAGTCTGTTTGATTGAGTGTGTGGACAGGTGTCTTTTATACAGGTAACGAGTTCGAACAGGTGCAGTTAATACAGGTAATGAGTGGAGAACAGGAGGGCTTCTTAAAGAAAAACTAACAGGTCTGTGAGAGCCGGAATTCTTACTGGTTGGTAGGTGATCAAATACTTATGTCATGCAATAAAATGCAAATTAATTATTTAAAAATCATACAATGTGATTTTCTGGATTTTTGTTTTAGATTCCGTCTCTCACAGTTGAAGTGTACCTATGATAAAAATTACAGACCTCTACATGCTTTGTAAGTAGGAAAACCTGCAAAATCGGCAGTGTATCAAATACTTGTTCTCCCCACTGTATATGTTGGCTAAGCCTTCTATAAGTCAATAAATTCCCCTTATTAGCGTGAAATAAATATGCTGTAGGCTATGCAGGCCCGTGGTCGGGTCCACTCGGTTCTATCAGCTGTAGTTACATAGATCCAAGACTTGATTACAATCAAACAGGACCCGACCCAAGGGAAAAGTTAGAATCTTGGACCTGGACACGTGTCGGGTCTTGGGTACTCAGGTTCGGGCGGGCCTGTGAAGACCTCTACTTCATACAGTACTTCTCGCTGATCCTGTCCTCATACCAAACTGTCCAATTACAACTTATTGCAGCAGTACCTATTGTAGGTGATTTTGGGTGATCATCAGTCATAGATAAAGCAAGATTAGACTGTTGACATCTAGTGTTTGATTCAATCTGGTTCACTGCTGTCTCATTTGCCAAAACACTGTCAATCTCAATTTATCAGGCACAATATAGTAAACAGCTCAACATTTACATAAAGGTGAGCAAGAAGCATTGATCAGTTATTTTGTCAAATTAACAAGACAAAAAAGTATACACTGTGTAAAGATTTCAAATGGAGGTGACTAGAGTTTTTTTCCTTCTGATTCACAACCTCCTATTGTGAAATTGAACTGCCATCTACAGGTAAGTTCAGATAAAGAAAATCACTATTTACATAGCGTCTCACACTTTATTTCACCAAATCACATGTGAGATTAAAACATGGACATTACAAAAACAAGTGTGAGGAATAAGAAATAAATCAGCAGATGCATATAATAACATAACAGTGAAACATGTACAGTACCAGTCAAAAGTTTGGACACACCTACTCATTCAAGGGTTTTTCTTTATTTTTACTATTTTTTACATTGTAGAATAATAGTGAAGACATCAAAACTATGAAATAACACATATGGAATCATGTAGTAACCAAGAAAGTGTTAAACAAATCAAAATATATTTTATATTTGAGATTCTTCAAATAGCCACCCTTCGCCTTGATGACAGCTTTGCACACTCTTGGCATTCTTTCAAGCAGCTTCACCTGGAATGCTTTTCCAACAGTCTTGAAGGAGTTTCCACTTATGCTGAGCACTTGTTGGCTGCTTTTCCTTCACTCTGCAGGACCGACTCATCCCAAACCATCTCAATTGGGTTGAGGTCGGGGGATTGTGGAGGCCAGGTCATCTGATGCAGCACTCCATCACTATCATTCTTGGTAAAATAGCCCTTACACAGCCTGGAGGTGTGTTGGGTCATTGTCCTGTTGAAAAACAAATGATAGTCCCACTAAGCCCAAACCAGATGGGATGGCGTATCGCTGCAGAATGCTGTGGTAGCCATGCTGGTTAAGTGTGCCTTGAATTCAAAATAAATCACAGACAGTGTCACCAGCAAAGCACCCCCACACCATAACACCTCCTCCTCCATGCTTTACGGTGGGAACTACACATGCAGAGATCATCCGTTCACCCACACCGAATCTCACAAAGACACAGCGGTTTGAACCAAAAATCTCCAATTTGGACTTCAGACAAAAGGACACATTTCCACCGGTCTAATGTCCATTGCTCGTGTTTCTTGGCCCAAGCAAGTCTCTTCTTCTTATTGGTGTCCTCTAGTAGCGGTTTCTTTGCAGAAATTCAACCATGAAGGCCTGATTCATGCAGTCCCCTCTGAACAGTTGATGTTAAGATGTGTCTGTTACTTGAACTCTGTGAAGCATTTATTTGGGCTGAAATTTCTGAGGCTGGTAACTCTAATGAACTTATCCTCTGCAGCAGAGGTAACTCCAGGTCTTCCATTCCTGTGGCGGTCCACATGAGAGCCAGTTTCATCATAGCGCTTGATGGTTTTTGCGACTGCACTTGAAGAAACTTTAAAAGTTCTTGAAATGTTCCGTATTGACTGACCTTCATGTCATTTCTCTTTGCTTATTTGAGCTGTTCTTGCCATAATATGGACTTGGTCTTTTACCAAATAGGGCTATCTTCTGTATACCCCCCCTACCTTGTCACAACACAACTGATTGGCTCAAACGCATTAAGAAGGAAAGAAATTCCACAAATTAACTTTTAAGAAGACACACCTGTTAATTGAAATGCATTCCAGGTGACTACCCCATGAAGCTGGTTGAGAGAATGCCAAGAGTGTGCAAAGCTGTCATCAAGGCAAAGGGTGGCTATTTGAAGAATCTCAAATATAACATATATTTTGATTTGTTTAACACTTTTTTGGTTACTACATGATTCCATATGTGTTATTTCATAGTTTTGATGTCTTCACTATTATTCTACAATGTACAATTTTTTTACAAATAAAGAAAAACCCTTGGATGAGTAGGTGTGTCCAAACTTTTGACTGGTAGTGTACATGAGCAGTGCCATTAGAATCCAGCAGTGCATTGACAACTAATACTAAAGTGTAAGAAATAAAAATCACACCAAGCAGTGAGGTTTCCATCAGAAAAACAATATTTCAACTCTACCCTTTTTGATTAGTTAACATATGGGGAGAAATCAACATCACATAAATAGTTCCGGTTTTACAAACCGAGATAGAGAGCTGGAACACCTGAAGCATAAACTTGAGTTATCAGTTTGTCATCACTCTTTCTGCCTGAGGTGGAACAAATTATTTAGCAAAACACAAACAAATAAATAAATTCCTGATACAAAATCAATACAGAAATAAATACGACAGTGGAAAGAGACTATGAGCTGATTGTCCAGGAAGAGGAAGGAAGATACAGTTGAAGTCGGAAGTTTACATACACTTAGGTTGGAGTCATTAAAACTTGTTTTTCAACCACTCCACAAATTTCTTGTTAACAAACTATGGTTTTGGCAAGTCAGTTAGGACATCTACTTTGTGCATGACACAAGTAATTTTTCCAACAATTGTTTACAGACAGATTATTTCACTTATAATTCACTGTATCATAATTCCACAATGCCTTTAAACAGCTTGGAAAATTCCCGAAAATGATGTCATGGCTTTAGAAGCTTCTGATAGGCTAATTGACATAATTTGAGTCAATTGGAGGTGTACCTGTGGATGTATTTCAAGGCCTAACTTCAAACTGCTTGACATCATGGGAAAAGAAAAAGAAAAGAAAAACAATTGTAGACCTCCACAAGTCTAGTTCATCCTTGGGAGCAATTTCCAAACGCCTGAAGGTACCACGTTCATCTGTACAAACAATAGAACGCAAGTATAAACACCATGGGACCACGCAGCTGTCATACCACTCAGGAAGGAGTGATGAACGTACTTTGGTGCGAAAAGTGCAAATCAATCCCAGAACAACAGCAAAGGACCTTGTGAAGATGCTGGTGGAAACATGTACAAAAGTATCTACAGTGAGGGGGTCAAATACTTATTTCCCTCATTAAAATGCAAATCAATTTATAACATTGGATTTTGTTGTTGTTATTCTGTCTCTCACTGTTCAAATAAACCTACCATTAAAATTATAGACTGATCATGTCTTTGTCAGTGGGCAAATGTACAAAATCAGCAGGGGATCAAATACTTTTTTCCCTCACTATATATCCACAGTAGAACAAGTCCTATATCGACATAACCTGAAAGGCCGCTCCGCATGGAAGAAGCCACTGCTCCAAAACCGCCATTAAAAAGCCAGACTACGGTTTGCAACTGCGCATGGGGACAAAGATCGTACTTTTTGGAGAAATGTCCTCTGGTCTGATGAAACAAAAATAGAACTGTTTGGCCATAATGACCATCGTTATGTTTGGACACACCTACTAACCTAAAACAGGGAATTTTTACTAGGATTAAATGTCAGGAATTGTGAAAAACTGAGTTTAAATGTATTTGGCTAAAGTGTATGTAAACTTCCGACTTCAACTGTATATAAAGAGAGATTTGTCTCATGTCCTCTTACCAGGGTTGGACTAAAAAGGTTCACTGTTCCACCTCCTCCTGGAAAATATTATTGTTTGTTTGGATTTGATGGCATGTAAACAAAATCAACTTTATGTGCAAATGAACATAATCCAAATAGAAGTGCAAGTTTACTGTTCTGCTGCTCCCCGAATGAGTGAGATTAGATCATATACTACGTGGAGGAGAAGTTGAGCCTCTTCTCTCTCTGTCTCAGTCTCTGGGCATCACAGGTAGAAATATCATTCCTCCACAGTCTGGTCAAACACAGGGAGAGGACATTTGTAAAAATGGCATTGCACACAATAAAGACAGTATCCAAATGAATAGCCATTATAATACATTATACAATTGACAGTTTACCAACAAACAACTTCCAAGATATTTACCTGATCACTTCAACTGATGGACAAGACTGTAAGCTTCTGGCAAGTGCCTCTGCTCCAATAGCGCTGATACTGTTAGACTCTAGACTAAAATCAAAGATATAAAAACACACATCTGATTATCAAATCCTTTGAAAACATGTCAATGTAAAAGCGTTAATTTAGCACTCACTCAAGTCTCCTTAGCTTCTGGCATTGTGGTAAAACCTCGGCAAGCTTCATTGCAACATCATCTCCACAACCATTCCACGCAAAACTGACAAAAAGGACAGGGAGTGAAAAAGAGAGAGAGGAAACATGGTCAAATCAGTCGTGAATATTCAGAACCAGATGAATATTGCTCTGTGCTGTGTGGATTTCCCTTACCTGACATCCTCTGCACAGACACAGTGAGCCAGGCTGCCAGCCAGACCAGTCAGCTCTGAAGTCCCTATGGAGGTCAAGCTGGAAGACAACAAGTATATTAAACACTTGTCTCTTGGGCAGGGAATACACAGTATGTATTATAGAGGATTACACATAGATATATATATCTTACTGTATCTTTGTCAAATACTTCATGGAGATCAAGGCTTTGGAGATCCTGACAGATCCTTTTGTACCAATCTCGTTCTCTGAGAGACTTTTCACAAACATACAACCGTGAACATAAACAAGGGTTAGGGTTGCAGTTACATTGCAACACATTAATAGAATTAATAAATACATTCAAATGATTCCTACCGCACACAAAAACTGATGGGAATAGACTTACTCTAGAACCCTGAGGTGAGTGAAAGTGGGCAGAACTTGTCCCATCTTGGCAGCACAGGCAAGGCTGAGATTATTCACAGACAGACTGGGATATAAAGTCATGGGTCAGACGGTGCATTGTTTGCAGTCAAAATTCAAACCTTTTATTTTTGGTCATTGTGAAAGCAGGGCACTATGCATTGATAGTTTGGGCTTGGCCTTACTTGAGCTCCTCCAGTGCTGTGCAGGTTGCCAGGGCCTGGACCAGCCTCTCTCCTGCTTGGTCACTGATGCAGTTCGCTGACAGGCTGAGACACAAAGATAAAGAGGAAAGAGACTGGTTGTGTGTTTTATATAGTCTATAGAGATATGGGCCAACATTCTCCTCTTCTAATCATTGAGAGGAAAATGTGTCCATTTCATATCATAGCTCATAGTGCTACATCAGTATGTTTCCTCTGCAACAGTTCAGGAAGTGGAATAAACTGGACTTTGTGATGGAGAAAACAGAATTATATGATAAAGGCGTCTTTACAAACCAATCAGCACTTTGAACCAGCTTTATACCTTTTTGATGATGACACACCTAAAATCTTCTGCCTGAATCCCACACACACACCAATGTTGTACCCATGAAGCCCATTGGAATATTAGCTGACACTTTGACAGGTTCTAAGATTGGTTCATTTGACAGATTTCTGATGCATATCTTATCTTTTAATTTGACACATTAATGATGTAGTCTATTTCTTGTCCAGGGCCATTCCCCACCCATTCCTCCAGGCCAATAATCCCTACCTGATCTTCCTCAGGCCTGTCCAGGTGGGCAGGTGTTTGATAAGCTCCTCCACTCCTTTATCTGACATCCTCATCCCCTCTAACCTGCAGGCCAGACACACATTGACAATACCACATCAAACGTGATGGCTAGTCCATGCAGAAGTCAGATACTACTTGACATTTGTGTTACCATGGTTCTACTCACTCTATCTCCTCCATCCCTCTGAGCCCCTTCAGAGAGGCCAGTAGGACCAGAGTGGCCCCCTCCCCTGGGGATCCAGTCGCCATGGTAACTTTATTATTCAGACTACGGGGCAGATCACAAATCATTGGTAAAGATAGCACTCTATACCAAATCTGTCTCAGGCATAGCAAAGCCCACTACATTCTCACTCAGGATGCTCTACTCACTTTAGCCTCTTCAAGGAGGTCATAGCATGGAACCCTTGGGCCAGGCACACTGTGCTCTCGTCATCCAGCTGTACAGAGTCAAGGCTGTGGACAGGATACAGATATTTAACTCATACCCTTAATAATAATAATAATAATAATAATAATAATAATAATAATAATAATAATAATTTACCTGATCCCTTCCAGAGAGAGGCACTGTCCCAGCCCTCTCACCAGGTCCAAGGCCCCTGCTGCTGTCCAACCATAGCACAGGGACAGACTAGGGGACAGAGGGCACAGCATTAGTATTGTTGTATCACTGGCCAGGTGGTTGAATACAAGAATACAAGAGTTCTTACTTGATTGTTCTGAGATGAGGAAGGTTCTGGAGTGTTCTGGTCAGAACTACAGCTCCTCTGTCACTGATCACATGACCAGACAAACTGAGGGAGACAGGAGAGAGTGGTGATAGGTGAAAGTCAGGAATGAAACATAAAAAGTAGGCATAGGGGATGAATGACAATCACTTACTTCAAGCTCTCAATGCTTTTAGCCTGCAACAACCCCTCTGCAAGGAGCAATACCACATCTTCAGAGGTTTCTTTTGATTCAAGACTAGGAACAAATAAAATAAAACATATTTTTCATGTGTAGCCTAAGATAGTCATCCTTGGTCATCAATGTAAAGCCTTTCCAACCCCCAAATCCATAACACCAGCCATACCTGAGTTTCCTCAGACTGGCTAAGGATGGTAGGACAGAGCAGAGCAACTCTGCTCCCACTCTACCAATGCTGTTGTATGACAAACTAAGGAGGAAAAGAAGAAACATGTATAACTTAAAACTAAATTAGACATTAGAATCACTTTCACTACTTCCAAAGTAGTGCCAGGTCTCTTTCTCACAGATACTTACTCTAGCTCCTGTAGCAGAACACATTTCTGGAACACAGTCTGCAGAGACACTAGGTGGTGCCCTTGCACTGCACAGTCCACCAGGCTGAAAGACACAAAAGGCAGGAGCATATGATAGGGAGAGCTCACATGCAGTAACCAATTCTGAGCCAGCTTACACACATTGCTGTTGCTGTAGGAATGATAGAGGAAGATGCTTTCACCTTATGGTCACGGTAGACAGAGAGCCAGACATGTCTGTAGAAAAGTCACCACTGAAATTCAAATAAAGGCAGCTCAGTCAAAACGGAAAGAGCGTGTTATCTTTATCTTCAAATCTACAAAATATTTTGTAAATAGACAACATTAAATGTCTTTCAGCTTTACCTGGTAGGAGTGGGATTTTGGCATTCTTCCAAAGTAATGTGTACAGTGGATTTATTTACCCTGCAAAACAAGTTCACACATACATTATGCATGTCATGTTTTATTTTCCTATACTTAAATATTACCTAATGCCAACATGAATTCTCACCTGATGGTGTGTATGTTGGGGTTGAGGTTCAAGCAGCAGGAGACCAGGTTTACAGCTGCTTCTGCTGTGATCCATGTCTCCTCAATACTGATGGGAAATGAATATAGACTTTTAACTCCGAGGCATTACACACTCATGCAAGAAACCCCACTCACAAATACACAGACACCACAAGCCATTCCCATAACCTCCTCCTCACCTGATATAGCGTTGGAAGTGACCACACCTCAGCTGCTTCACCAAGTCTTCAATCACCTGAACACTCAGTCCGTTGTTTCTTATCCTGAAGTAAATCAGAGTAAAAAAGGCATTCATTTTCCATTCAATAACTTGGTGTGTACATGTGTGTGGCTCACTCCAGGGTGCGTAATGAGGAGAGGGTAGTCAGGCTGTTCTGCAGTGCCAGTAGGCCTTCTCTCTGCAGGGTGTTACAGGATAACCTACATACAAGAGAGATAACACTGTTCCTCACACTGCATCATCACAGAGAATCACCCAGGAATCATATTATAATTGTTTCAAATTCAGTGTTGCAGGTTCATTATCGCAAAAGTCAAGCCAAGGTTATTATAGTTTTGTGTTTCTATGTTTGTTTTTATTTCTATTAGTTTTTCAATTTTTATTTGAAATTCAGGTTAGTTTTAGTTGTTTTTAGACCTAATTTGCAAGTTTTTCTTTAGTTATAGTTATATTTCTATTTTGTTTTTATATTAATTAGTTTCAGTTTTAGTTTTAGTGTTAAGGACAGAAAGCATACGTGGGAGGCTAGGAGCCATTTGTGTTGTATACTTTTTTGGGGGGGGGGGGGGGGGGGTTTGGGATGTCACCTCTTGGAACTGGGGGGCAGTAGGCTAATACATAAGGTGATGGGTAAGGTCATGGTTAGGTTAGGTTTAAATTAAAGTCAATATCAATGTGACTTGGATTTAAAAGGATAGCGCAGAGACTGGTGTAAAAAATATGGTGGAATGAAACTCTCTCTCGCCGATGTTTACATCAATCCAATACTTTTTAACTTTAGTAGTACATGTAAGCAGAATCAAGTAGCTAACTAGCCACCTTTTTTCCCTGTTAGCTAGTGTTAGCTAGTTATTGTGATGCACAAGCTCGGCCTATTTGAAACATCCCTATCTCCTGGCTGCATTTACCTGGCAGATTCAGTAGCGTGAAAACCCACCAAAGGCTTAAAAACCACATTCGATTTTTTTGCCCCCCAAAAATAAAAATAAACTAAAACTGAACATATTTCATGATGGTTTTTTATTTTAGTTCGTTTTGGAGTCAAAGGTAATAGTTTCAGTATAGTTTTCGTTTTTCAAACCGGTTTGTTAATTATTTTATTTCTGTTTACTAAATTGTTTTTTTATGATTCGTTTTCGTTTTCATCTACTATAATAACCTTGGGTGAAGCAATTCTCCCAGTCCCATTCTCACCTCAGTTTGACCAACTGAGCAGCACAGCATGTCAGAATCTCTGCTAGTCTCTGCAGATGGTCAGCCCCAAAATGACACTCTCTCAGACTGTAGGGTTCAGGAAACATGAAGCAGAGAGAGAAAGAGAAAGTGAGAGACTGAGGCGGTGGGAGAGATAGATTTCATGTCTATGAGTCATATAGAAGAGGTTTGATATCATTTATACAGTGGGGAAAAAAAGTATTTAGTCAGCCACATATTGTGGAAGTTCTCCCACTTAAAAAGACGAGAGAGGCTTGTAATGTTCATCATAGGTACACGTCAACTATGACAGACAAAATGAGAAAAAAAAATCCAGAAAATCACATTGTAGGAATTCTAACAGGGGCGGTGTGTTCATTAGGGCGATATGGGCGACGCACTGCCAAACGGGAAAAGGAAGGGATTTTTTTTCTAATCAATTATATCACGGCAACAGTAGTTATCAGTGTTCTAATCTAGACGTCTGATCTGCCACTAAATGTCCAATCAGGCTAAAGTCGTGCTTCAAATGGCCCCGCCCCTTTTGGGGCGATTTCAGTCAGGTTGAAAATCGCCCAGAAGTGTCTCATAGCCTCTCATGTAAAATCTTTTTTTTTCAAATATCAGAGCTTTCAATACAATCTCTATGGGTTTCTGAGGGCTTGCACTTACGCGCTTTCGTCATACGTAACATAACCATGAACGTAACTAAGAAAAGAGCGGGTAGCAGCGTCAATCAATTCACGTACTACTATCAAGATGGCTAGCGTTCAGTGCAACTCGATTGTCTCTTTGAAAGAAGTTCACATCAAAGACCATTCAAAACGAGCTACTGGAGTGTATGCTAGCGGTCATGAGGGAACATATTGTGGAGGAGGTGAAGTCGGCGAACTTCGTAGCTATCCAAGCTGACGAGACCACGGACGTTTCTACACAGACACAGCTGGTGCTTGTGCTGAGGTACATAGATAGCAACCACAAAGTGCAGGAGCGCTTTTTTGAGTTCCTTCCCATCTCAGAATCAACCTCAGTCTCAATCGCCAGTGTGCTTTTGGAGAGACTGAACGGTCTTTTTGCCGATGACGAGAAAGTCAAACTGTGGTGCACTGGCACTGTACCAGGTTCTCATGAGCTACAACCTCCAGGAGACGTTCTCTGAGACTGTGACTCTGTTGAACATCCTCCTAACTACTCCCATGACAACAGCTGAAGCTGAGAGATGTTTCTCAACTTTGACACGAGTTAAGACATTCCTGCGAAATTCAATGGGCCAGGAACGTCTGAATGCACTGGCCATGCTTTCCATGGAGAGGGAACTAGTCCTCAGCATGCCTGATTTCAATGAGAAAGTCATTGACCGCTTTGCTGCATTGAAAGAGAGAAGAGAACAGTTTCAGTACAAGTAATGTAGCCTCTCTCTCTCTCTTTGTCCCTCCCTGTCTGTCTCTTTAACACACACACGCCCAAATCAGTTCACAGTTGATGTTGTTTAAAATAGTTATTTTTCATGTAAAAAAATTAAAATAATCTGTTCATGTTCATTTTTACAAATCTATACAGTTGGCCAGAATATGGTTGTTCATATTTACAAATCTATACAATTGGCCAGAATATGGTTGTTCATTTTTACAAAGCCATACAGATAGCTGTGTTTACCTTTTCTATAAATTATTTTCAAATTCTGTTTTCAGGCAAAATGTCTATCACTGTTCATTTTCACAAATCTATACAAGAGGGCAGAATATGGAAGTCTATAAAAATTTATTATTACCAATAACTTGCATCAATGTTTTCAGTAGCCTCTATCAAAAGCTCCTGCTTGCTTGTTGTGAATTATGCTCAGGTGCACATATTTCCAATTCAACCATGAGGCAAAAAATGTGGTAAAAGCTCTTGTTGATCCTGCAATCTGAACAAATACCAAGATGCTGTATTTTCAGCTGATATTTCATTTGTTTATGGAAATGCATATTGTTTATGCAGTGTTGAGGAATGTGAAAGAACACCCTTGATTATTTTTACTGTGATAACTTATTTTGCTTTTGTAAGCCAACACTTTTGAGATCAGTCAATAAATGCTTCTGGCATTGACTTATATGCTGCCCCTGTCTTCATGTTGTTGCTGGACATATCTTTTTTAAAATGTGTGTAGGTCACCTAAATCATCAGAAAAATTGCCCCCCCTGAGAATTTTTTCAGGAGCCGCCACTGAATTCTAATGAATTTATTTGCAAATTATGGTGGAAAATAAGTATTTGGTCAATAACAAAAGTTTCTCAATACTTTGTTATATACCCTTTGTTGGCAATGACACAGGTCAAACGTTTTCTGTAAGTCTTCACAAGGTTTTCACACACTGTTGCTGGTATTTTGGCCCATTCCTCCATGCAGATCTCCTCTAGAGCAGTGATGTTTTGGGGCTGTTGCTGGGCAACACAGACTTTAAACTCCCTCCAAACATTTTCTATGGGGTTGAGATCTGGAGACTGGCTAGGCCACTCCAGGACCGTGAAATACTTCTTACGAAGCCACTCCGTCGTTGCCCGGGCGGTGTGTTTGGGATCATTGTCATGCTGAAAGACCCAGCCACGATTCATCTTCAATGCCCTTGCTGATGGAAGGAGGTTTTCACTCAAAATCTCACGATACATGGCCCCATTCATTCTTTCCTTTACACGGATCAGTCATCCTGGTCCCTTTGCAGAAAAACAGCCGCAAAGCATGATGTTTCCACCCCCATGCTTCACAGTAGGTATGGTGTTCTTTGGATGCAACTCAGCATTCTTTGTCCTCCAAACACGACGAGTTGAGTTTTTACCAAAAAGTTATATTTTGGTTTCATCTGACCATATGACATTCTCCCAATCCTCTTCTGGATCATCCAAATGCACTCTAGCAAACTTCAGACGGGCCTGGACATGTACTGGCTTAAGCAGGGGGACACGTCTGGCACTGCAGGATTTGAGTCCCTGGCGGCGTAGTGTGTTACTGATGGTAGGCTTTGTTACTTTGGTCCCAGCTCTCTGCAGGTCATTCACTAGGTCCCCCCGTGTGGTTCTGGGATTTTTGCTCACCGTTATTGTGATCATTTTGACCCCACGGGGTGAGATCTTGCGTGGAGCCCCAGATCAAGGGAGATTATCAGTGGTCTTGTATGTCTTCCATTTCCTAATAATTGCTCCCACAGTTGATTTCTTCAAACCAAGCTGCTTACCTATTGCAGATTCAGTCTTCCCAGCCTGGTGCAGGTCTACAATTTTGTTTCTGGTGTCCTTTGACAGCTCTTTGGTCTTGGCCATAGTGGAGTTTGCAGTGTGACTGTTTGAGGTTGTGGACAGGTGTCTTTTATACTGATAACAAGTTCAAACAGGTGCCATTAATACAGGTAACGAGTGGAGGACAGAGGAGCCTCTTAAAGAAGAAGTTACAGGTCTGTGAGAGCCAGAAATCTTGCTTGTTTGTAGGTGACCAAATACTTATTTTCCACCATAATTTGCAAATAAATTCATTAAAAATCCTACAATGTGATTTTCTGGAGAAAAAAAATCTCAATTTGTCTGTCGTGGTTGTCTCATAGTTGACGTGTACCTATGATGAAAATTACAGGCCTCTCTCATCTTTTTAAGTGGGAGAACTTGCACAATTGGTGGCTGACTAAATACTTTTTTCCCCCACTGTACAGGCAATCCTTTCAGTTTCGATATGAGTTGTATTTTTCTGAGAGCAAAATAAACAATGCTTCCTGTTCCACTAGTTAAATGGGTTTACACTATGTTGTTTCTGTGACTGCTTTAATTGATTTTATGAGTATTGAGTAGAAAGTAGTAGCCTTGTTGTCCTACCTCAGAGTTTTGCCACAGTCAATGTCCTGTTCAAAGCGGATGAGTGACCTCTCCTCAGTTCCCAAACTACACAGACATAAAAAACTCAGACCTTCACACTATGGGGTCTAGACAAGTAAATGTTCAGTTTGCCAACATGGTATTGTTCAATAGAATTTTACCTGACTTCCACTGCAGCCACCTTCTCACAGGTCGTCACTGTGTTCACCAGGTAGAGCGCCCCCATCTGGGTCAGTCTGTTATCATTAAGACTGCAGAGAGAAACACATACAGATGTACAAGCAAGCACAACTAACCTCCATAAAGCTAGAACAGATGCATCTGCTAGCACTGATACAATTATCTCAGGTAGGCAGACCAGCAAATCAAATCAAATCAAATCAGCACAAGTGGTAATGGATTTCACTGTATGGACTGAAGGAAGATAGGGTGTTGCAATGAGTCTTACTTCACTGAGCTGGCAATCCGCAGCCTTGGCAGAGAATCCACAAAGCTCTTCACTCCCTCGTCTCTCAGAAGGTTACTGGATAAACTGCACCGTTGTAAAGAATGGGTTATTATCCATAATGAGAAAGGTTGGTTGAAAATGTGTTAAAAAAACAAACAAAAAACACCCCAAAACATTCTGCGAGGGAAAACACAGTTTGACCATTGGTTGAGGCATATACTCTAGTAGTGTAAGGTATTTCTGGGAATACAGTGCATTAGTTGCGAGTACATCATAATTTATAAGTACTGCTATTTTTGCTCAAATTTGGGCAGTGACCCAGGGACAGGGATGTGTATTAGGGGAAGGGACAGGGACACTCACTCCAGGTCAGACAGATGAGGACACTGCTCCAGGATCCCAGAGAGTTTCTCCACATCCCCACTGCTCAGTGTGTACTGGGTGAGTCTGGCAGAGAGATAGACAGACAGACATGAGGTCAGGGTTAAACCAGGTTAGAGAGAAGAGGAACTATATGTGACTGATTAAAAACAGCTTAATTAACCTAAAACCTAATTTCTGTAATGTAATATAACATGTCTATCTATGGGAACAGTACGAGCAGATAAACTGCATTCACCTGCAAGTTGCTTGTTCTGCTTTCATGTTGACAAACTTGATGAATGCTTCTCCTTGGGGCCTTAAAAGTACATCAATATTTAAGGCAATTTATATAAACACAGTTCATACATTTAAAACCAAATGTGTGAACCACATGAATGAATGATGACCTTAACATCCTGAGCCATACATACCTGAGTTCCACAGCGCTGACACGCTGGCAGTCTATCAGAGATCTGACCAATAACAACACTCCGTCCGTAGACATCTGGACATGGCTCATACTGTGGAGGCAGGTAGGGGCCGGAAGAGAATGATGAGAAATGAACACCTTACTGGTGTTGTGGCCTTGAGATTATCATTACTGAGCAGGGTGAAGCATTCTCACTTGAGCAGCTGAAGAGATGTCATCTTAGGCAGGATATTCAATAGATTTTCAATGGTATCGTCCCTCAGGGATCCATTGGAGAAACTGAAACAACAGACAACAGGCAGAATGCTTTTATAGGATCGAGAAGGAGGAAAACATCATACATGTAACACACTAAGAAGAGGGAGGGAGTAGAACATAGAAACTATACTAGATATTATACATAGATATTGTACAATACAGTATTTTATAGTTAACCCTGAAAGACAGAGACAGAACATAGACATAGTTAGCGGTAACATGAGAACTCACTCTAGCTCCAGTGGGCCGGGACACTGTACCAGTCTTCTACACAGCCTGGTCATGTCAGTGGGCTGGATACCACTGTGAGTTAGACTAAAAACAAAAACACAAGTTTCGGATTATATTGCAGGGTAAAGTGAATGGGATATTAAATGGACAACAGAAATTCAGAAAGTAATTTGCATGTTAAGACTTCTGTCTAAAACTTTATTGTCCTACCTGAATTTCTTATCCTGTTCCATATCTGGTGAGGTCCCGAGTGCTTCTGATTGTATTCTGAAATGAAAGTGATTCAGTGAGTTGTTATTAGGACTACACCATCCAACTGAGTTACAGAATAGGTATACTGACAGAAACAACTTTAGTATATATATAAAATATTACCTTTTACTGGAATGGAATTTCAGGAACAGCTTCTTCCCCCCATGACTGATAAACGTAACATTTGTATATTTAATCATCACCTCAAATGCAAAAATACTAATCAAACATAGTATGATTTCAATAACTTTTTACCATGCCCATTTTACACAAGAGAGAGAACAAGGACATAGATAGATAGAGAGAGAGACACAAACAGACAGACAGACAGACAGACAGACAGACAGACAGACAGACAGACAGACAGACAGACAGACAGACAGACAGACAGATAGAGAGAAAGAAATAGGGGATGTGAATACCTGACATTCACTTCGCTCATGTTCCTGTGTGAGCAGAGAGCGTCAGCTAGCAGCACCACCCCTTCCATGCTGACTGCATTCTCACTGACACTACACCAAACAGAGGGTACAAGCAGTGGTTTGATGGCCAGAAATAGCTTTGAACTAAAAAAGCTAAAGCAAAAGAAAGGGAGGAAAGGTAGGTGCTAAGAAATTCTTACTTGATTTCCTGGATGGTGCTAAGCTGAGGTAAGAGGTCTAACAACTTCTTTACACCTTTGTTTCCCAGAGAATTGTTGGAAATACTAAGAAAGGCAAAGAAGGGGTGGGGGGATGAGAAAAAGATAAACAGACACAAACAAAGAAACTTTCACAACCCAATTCTCTGAAACTTTCCATAAACCAACTCTCTGAAACTTTCCATAAACCAACTCTCTGAAACTTTCCATAAACCAACTCTCTGAAACTTTCCATAAACCATCTCTCTGAAACTTTTCATAACCCAACTCTCTGAAACTTTCCATAAACCAACTCTCTGAAACTTTCCATAAACCAACTCTCTGAAACTTTTCATAACCCAACTCTCTGAAACTTTTCACAACCCAACTCTCTGAAACTTTTCATAACCCAACTCTGAAACTTTTCACAACCCAACTCTCTGAAACTTTTCACAACCTAACTCTCTTTTCACAACTCTGAGCACTTACTCCAGCAGAGTCAGAGCAGAGCAGTCCGTCAGATTCTCACACAGACGGTCCAAGTGAGGGGGACAAAGAGCACAGCCAATCAGACTGTCCACAGGTGTTCATGAGAAACGGAGATGAAAAGAAGAGACAATGTCGTAGAACTTTAAAGCCATTATCCATATTGTTATACACAGTGAATACAGAGTATAACAATTGGTATATTGTACATACCAAAGTTTCTTAGACATCTCAGGATGGTGTTTCTCTATCCCCCCAGCAAAAAGTATGGACACACGCACAGGGTCCTGCAGGCTGTCATGGGGAAACCGCACAGCAGTCAGTGTTAAGGTAACATTTTCAGAGCATTCTAAAAAATCATGATCATCGAAGTTCTACATTATAAAAGGCACCACAGTATTGTTATTTCTTTCATGTTCACAACGTCTGGTTTGGGCCTATAACAAGCCACTTGACAGACATACCCTCTGAAGTGTTTACACCAGGAAGTGATAAGGTAATGTGCTGGTTTTAGTGTGGTTGCAGTTTACACACAATAAAAGGGTGCAGTCTATATTGGCTCTATCTAAGAAATGAAGGGGTGTTATGCACAACATACTTGATGTCCACTTGAACCACATCAGGACATACAGAAAGGAAACTGGTCAGAACCATCAACCCATCAACCGATATGGGAATCTCGTTCAGACTGTCAAGACACAACCAATAACCGTATTAGGCTACATGACTGGGTTCAAACATAATATAGGACAGGCACAAGGTCATGACTTTTTAAAAAGCATTTTAAATTAATGATCAGTCTTACACAATCTGTTTGGAGATGTTCAGCTTCTGTAGAGAGTCAGTCAAGGCCTTGAGAGTATCAGCCTTGATGTGGCTTCCTGAGAGACTGCAGGGGTCACAACATAACGCCAAACAGAAAGTCAGATATCTTTACTTATTTTGTGTCTTTACCCACAGTCTGATCTGACTTGTTCAAGGACACTGGGTACTTATTCACTTACTCCAGGACAGACAGGCCAGGACATCTCGCTAGCAACTGACACAGTCTGTTCATCTGGTCAGTAGTGAATATGCAGTTCAACAGGCTGGATGACATATAAAGAGAAAGGAAGGAAACAACAGCAATGTTACTCAAGGAATTCAGATGCTCAATTGAAATATACATTTATAAAAGCCTAGGTTCTGTACAAGAACAAAACTGAGAATATCATACCTGACAGTCAGCCCAGTTTTATCCTTAGAACTTGAGACAAATAGAAAGGGAGAGAAAGGGGGTCAGAGAGAGGCTGATTGATACAGCACAGTAGATTTCCCAAAATGTAGCATAGAAAAACAATGAAATAAAAGCAACATTTTCTCAAAGAGCTATGAAACATGAGCTTGATTTTCTTGGGCCTGTTGGTACACCAAACATTGAAAAAATGTATAAAAGTTGCATATTCTTTTATTTCACTTCACTAAAACCTCACCATTTCATGTCTAAGATTGGGACAAACAGGACATTGATGTCCTTCACTCCACTGCAAAGAGAGAGAAAAACATAGTTTACATCCCCAGTATTTGTTTTTTCAGTTACAGTGTCCTCAGAAAGTATTCACACACTCTTTCCACATTTTGTTATGTTACAGCCTGAGTTTAAAATGGCTAAAATTGAGATTTTGTTTCACTGACCTACACACAATACCCCATAATGTCAAAGTGGAATGATGCTTTTAGAAATGTTTACAAATTAATACAAAATTAAAAGCTGAAATGTCTTGAATCAATAAGTATTCAACCCCTTTGTTATGGCAAGCCTAAATAAGTTCAGGTGTAAAGTTGCATGGACTCACTAGGTGTGCAATAATTTTTTAATGACTACCTCATCTCTCTACCCTACACATATAAATATCTGTACGGTCCCTCAGTCGAGCAGTGAATTTCAAACACAGATTCAACCACAAAGACCAGGGAGGTTTTCCAATGCCTCGCAAAGAAGGGCACCTATCGGTAGATGGGTAAAAATAATGGTGAAGTTATTCATTACACTTTGGATGGTGTCTCAATACACCCAGTCACTACAAAGATACAGGCGTCCTTCCTAACTCAGTTGCCGGAGAGGAAGGAAACCGCTCAGGGATTTAACCATGAGGCCAGGCCAATGGTGACTTTAAAACAGTTACAGAGCTTAATGGGGCGGCAGGTAGCTTAGTGGGTAAGAGCGTTGTGCCAGTAACCGAAACGTCGCTGGTTCTAATCCCCGAGCCGACTAGGTGAAAAATCTGTCGATGTGCCCTTAAGCAAGGCACTTAACCCTAATTGCTCCTGGAAGTCGCTCTGGAAAAGAGCGTCTGCTAAATGACGTAAATGTAAATGTAAATGTTAATGGCTGTGATAGGAAAAAAATGAGGATGGATCAACAACATTGTAGTTACTCCACAATATTAACCAAAATTACAGAGTGAAAAGAAGGAAGCTTGAACAGAATAAAAATATTCCAAAACATGCATCCTGTTTGCAATAAGGCACTAAAGCAAAACAAAACAAAAAAATGACAAAGAAATGAACTTAAAGTCCTGAATACAAAGCGTTATGTTTGGGGAAAATCCAACACAACACATCAATGAATACCACTCTTCATATTTTCAAGCATGGTGATGGCTGCATCACGTTATGATTATGCCTGTCATCGGCAAGGACTAGGGAGTTTTTTTTTAGGAAAAAAAGGAATGTAATAGAGCTAAGCACAGACAAAATCCTAGAGGAAAACCTGGTTAAGTCTGCTTTCCAACAGACACTGGGAGACAAATTCACCTTTCAGCAGAACAATAACCTAAAAAACAAGGCCAAATATATACTGGAGTTGCTTACCGAGATGACACTGAATGTTCCTGAGTGGCCTAGCTACAGTTTTGACTAAAATCGGCTTGAAACTCTATGGCAAGACTTGAAAATGGCTGTCTAACAATGATCAACAACCAATTTGACAGAGCTTGAAGAATTTTAAAAAGAATAATGTGCAAATATTGTACAATCCAGGTGTGCAATGCTCTTAGAGACTTACCCAGAAAGACTCACAACTGTAATCGGTGCCAAAGGTGATTCTAACATGTATTGACTCAGGAAGTTGAACACTTGTGTAATCGAGATATATTAGTGTTTTATTTTTCATTATTTTTTCTTTCTTTCTTTTTTTGTTTTATATATTTTTTTACAAATGTTAGAATTTGTCCTCCACTTTGACATTAGAGCATTTTGTGTAGATTGTTGACGAAAAATGACAATTAAATCAATTTTAATCCCACCTTGTAACACAACAAAATGTGGAAAAAGTAAAGGGGTGTGAATACTTTCAGAAGGCACTATATGATCAAGTATGCAGATTACAACTGGAGGTTCTATTTGTGAACATAAGAAGTGTCTATTGTCTGAACTCACTCAGCATAGAGTCCCTGGATGGAGGGGATGTAAGTGATCTTCTCTAGAAGGGTGTATATACTCTCCAGAGAGCAGCCATTCCTCCCCAACCTGAAAACATACAACACACATACAGTGAGGGAAAAAAGTATTTGATCCCCTGCTGATTTTGTACGTTTTCCCACTGACAAAGACATGATCAGTCTATAATTTTAATGGTAGGTTTATTTGAACAGTGAGAGACAGAATAACAACAAAATAATCCAGAAAAACGCATGTCAAAAATGTTATAAATTGATTTGCATTTTAATGAGGGAAATAAGTATTTGACCCCTCTGCAAAACATGACTTAGTACTTGGTGGCAAAACCCTTGTTGGCAATCACAGAGGTCAGACGTTTCTTGTAGTTGGCCACCAGGTTTGCACACATCTCAGGAGGGATTTTGTCCCACTCCTCTTTGCAGATCTTCTCCAAATTAAGGTTTCGAGGCTGACGTTTGGCAACTCGAACCTTCAGCTCCCTCCACAGATTTTCTATGGGATTAAGGTCTGGAGACTGGCTAGGCCACTCCAGGACCTTAATGTGCCTCTTCTTGAGCCACTCCTTTGTTGCCTTGGCCGTGTGTTTTGGGTCATTGTCATGCTGGAATACCCATCCATGACCCATTTTCAATGCCCTGGCTGAGGGAAGGAGGCCCCGTCCATCGTCCCTTTGATGCGGTGAAGTTGTCCTGTCCCCTTAGCAGAAAAACACCCCCAAAGCATAATGTTTCCACCTCCATGTTTGACGGTGGGGATGGTGTTCTTGGGGTCATAGGCAGCATTCCTCCTCCTCCAAACACGGCGAGTTGAGTTGATGCCAAAGAGCTCGAATTTGGTCTTATCTGACCACAACACTTTCACCCAGTTCTCCTCTGAATCATTCAGATGGTAATTGGCAAACTTCAGACGGGCCTGTATATGTGCTTTCTTGAGCAGGGGGACCTTGCGGGCGCTGCAGGATTTCAGTCCTTCACGGCGTAGTGTGTTACCAATTGTTTTCTTGGTGACTATGGTCCCAGCTGCCTTGAGATCATTGACAAGATCCTCCCGTGTAGTTCTGGACTGATTCCTCACCGTTCTCATGATCATTGCAACTCCACGAGGTGAGATCTTGCATGGAGCCCCAGGCTGAGGGAGATTGACAGGACTTTTGTGTTTCTTCCATTTGCGAATAATCACACCAACTTTTGTCACCTTCTCACCAAGCTGCTTGGCGATGGTCTTGTAGCCCATTCCAGCCTTGTGTAGGTCTACAATCTTGTCCCTGACATCCTTGGAGAGCTCTTTGGTCTTGGCCATGGTGGAGAGTTTGGAATCTGATTGATTGCTTCTGTGGACAGGTGTCTTTTATACAGGTAACAAACTGAGATTAGGAGCACTCCCTTTAAGAGTGTGCTCCTAATCTCAGCTCGTTACCTGTATAAAAGACACCTGGGAGCCAGAAGTCTTTCTGATTGAGAGGGGGTCAAATACTTATTTCCCTCATTAAAATGCAAATCAATTTATAACATTTTTGACATGCGTTTTTCTGGATTTTATTGTTGTTATTCTGTCTCTCATTGTTCAAATAAACCTACCATTAAAATTATAGACTGATCATTTCTTTGTCAGTGGGCAAACATACAAAATCAGCAGGGGATCAAATACTTTTTTCCCTCACTGTAGGTCACATTACAAAAGTGCAAGCTTGCTGAAATGTAGAAATAAGAGACACTTGTAATATAAATAGATGGCTAGGATCATGCAACACAAATTATCCAGTCAAGGAAACAATAAACTCACGAGACAGAGGCCAGACTGGGCAGCTTGGGAAAGATGTCAGCAATCTCCCTGACTCCTCTGTCTGTCAGGCTGTTGTCACTGAAACTGTCAGACAGACAACACAAACCATTTTATACAATGCAAAACCTGTTCAATACCGAATCAGACCAACTGTACTTTCATGGCAAATATGGTACTGTATCTTTAACCAAGTTTGGTTAGATCCTGATAAAAGGTCTATAAAATCTTGAAGTGGTGGTAATAATCTTTGGTTGTTACGGTAAGTAAATAATCATTTACTTGAGCTCTGTGATCTGTGGACAGCTCTCCAGGGCTCTGGCAAGTTTGGCAGTTCCCACATCAGTGAGGTTACCGCAGATAAACCTGGGGAAGAGGAGCAGAATATCCACGTCACACTTTGACAATTCGCGTACACATCCACACACAAACAAAAAACTTTGAAAGTTGATCCTTTCAAAACTGAGTGACTCAGTGAAGGACTCACTCAAATCTTTTCAGGGTTGGTAGTCTGGGAAGGATGCAAGAAAGTTTATCTGCAAATCTGTCATCATACTTGCGGCTTCGAAAACTGAGGGATTGTTAAAAAAATAGGAAATTAATTTCATGCAGGATTATCCTTGTTTAGTACGCAATGTATAAATGAGTCATCAACTCACATTAGACAGTCGATGTGCAGGCAGCTGGGTAGAATATCGAGACACTCCAGCTCCATAGAACAGGCTCCAAAGTCCAACCCGATGCCCACTCCAGCAGACGAGATGACAAAGGCCAGGGCATCCAGATCCACAGGGTTCAACGTGATGTTCCTTAGTTCAAAGCAGGGTCGCGACCCTACCACCTCCCTGGCCAGCTGGGCATCCTGGGTCTCCTGGACACAGTGGCACAGCTCCACCACCTTGGGCCCAGTCAGGTTGGTGCTCATTGCCAGGCTTCGGAGCAACTTGCGAACTAGTGCCAGGCGTTTCTTCACCCACCCCACAGCCCCCGCTCCCCCAACAAGCTGGAGCAGGTAGGAGGAGCAGGCTGGGGCAGCAAGCCCACAAACATACAGATGGAGGGAGTCAGTGAAGACAGTCTTGGGGTCTGATTTCGTGGTCCAGCGGGTCTTGAGGTTGAACTTCTTCCTGAGCTGGGCCTCTGTGACCTCCAAGCTGGTCATGAGGTGTAGCGCGCCCAGAAACTCTTGCATGGTTCGGTGCATGAACGTGTAACCCTGGCTTTTAGATCCATCCTCATTGGTCAGGTCCACCTGTGAGAGGAGACCAGCCTTAGTGGCGAAGTCCAACAGGTCTGGTGGAACCTCTTCAGACAAGAACACAATCTTGCTCCCCTCCAGGCCCCTCATAGCCAGGCGGCCCAGCTGTGTGACCTCTGCCCTGTGACTCTGCAACAGGGGTGTGATGCTCCCTGGGCATCGGCTCAGAAAGGCACAGAGGATCTGGAGGTAGACCTGGGTGAGGGTGTTTGGCAGCTGGGGTAAAAGCTGAGATCCACCACTGGAGAATATGTGGTCCAGGCACACACAGCAGATATGGCAGAGGGCTGGCAGGTAACACATGGTGAGGAGGTGGTGGTTGGCCAGTAGATGACTCACTGCCTTCTCCTTCAGATCCAGACCCTTGTCCTGGAAGTACTGTTCAGCATATTCTTTCACAATGCGTTGATTGAAGCCTAGCAGCTCCCCGATGCAGTCCACAGAGCTCTCCAGGTCTGTCACATCCCGAGGCCTACAGGTAATCAACAGAGTGCATCCTGGGAGGATCCTGCGACTGTACAGGCCTGAGATCAGCTCTGCCATGGGGAGCGGGCACCATGGGTCAAATGGGCTGCTCAGTTTGCCTGAATGGGTGATTTTAGTGTGAAACTCGTCGTAGCCATCAAAGATCAAGCATATTTTCTCAGGGTTTTCAAGGATGAAGTCAACCACAGCGGTACCCTCCTCCTCTCCACCCTCTGGTGGGAGGAAGAAGCGAAAGAGCAGCTCCTTCAGAGACAGCGGCCGAGCTACGAGGTTGAGCTGGCGGAACTCTAGCAGGATCAGTAGGTGAAAGGAGGGAAAGGCGCCCTGAGTCCATTGCTGGCCAAGACAGTGCATCAGTAGGGTCTTCCCTGACCCTGCCTGGCCCAACAGCAGTGTGACCTGGGCTTCTGAACCCAGGAGGGAGTGAACAGTCACCCTGTCCTCCACAGCCCCCTCCTCGCCCCCCTGCGGAAGCTTTGAGGGGCTCAGACCTCCATCAGCCCTGTCTCTGGGTCTAACATGGGTTCTGCGGTGCAGACTGACCCAGGCCTCTTCCAGACGAACCTCCTTCACGACACCCTGCATCACCCTCTCCCACCTCTGCAGTAGAAATCTCCTCACAGCAGCCTTGTAGCTTTCTATGTGGTCTGGACACACAAAGAACATCTTATAAAATAACACACGTTTTTGTTATTTTACAGGCTGTTCATGAATTTGTTTACAAAATATATTTTGTGATTGTGTACTAATTTCGAATCAAACAACTCTCATAAAGTGAAGACAAAGACACATTTCAGGTAACAGAGATAGCTCACACAGTATGCAAGTCCTTTAAAATTGAAACCCCATAAGAAATCTTATTGAGATATGCCACAAAACCATCTGGGTGTCATGAAAAGACTGGTATTTACCTATTCGTGGGCGTTTTACACACCAACCTTGAGATGGTATATACTCATCAACCAGGGTATGGCTGTTGTTTTCAACGACTTCTTCTGAGAAGAAAACAAAATGGAGAACCCAATAATGGAAATATAGGGGAAACCCAAGAAAATATGAAGAGGGACAGTGGTTAAACAGAATTGCATAAGCATTGCATGACACTCTTCTCCAGGGCCTTTGGGGTACCCGTAAGCGAGATTTGGCTAACAAAATCACTTACAAAATCAATGGGGTACACCCGGAGGTCAGGGCCCCTGGGCACATGCCCTGCATGCCCATCAGTATTTGGACATTAGTACAAATTTAGATAGCTGGCTAGACTAATTTACCAAATTAAAAATTGTTAGCTGACATGGCTAATTGAATGACTGTCAGTAACTGAGATAACAAACAGAACATTTGCTGGATAGAAAAACATTGCAGTAAGTTATGTCTGAGACAAAACCACTATTTTACTTCCAGATGTACTTAACAATTTTTATGCTGTTTTTAGTGTGTTATCTGCTGTTGGACCTTTGACCGATTTCTTGCCTGAATATCACACACAGGTGTCATCTTACACAAAAAACACTTCATATCCCCTTAAATTACTTTGGAAAAAGAGGGTAAAAACTGACTGAACAGCTGCAGTAAAATGGGATGATTGACTGATTGATTACCTGGATCACAGAGGGATAGGGGCTCACTTGCTGGTGTAGGCCGAGGATCACCTGCACAGTCAAACAAATCAAACTTCCAATAAGGGGTAAAACTAAGCCTAACTCTATCCACAGAGTTACTGCATTGTCAGTGGGGTGTTTATTGTTTATTGTTGGGAGTCAACATTTGAGGGACAGAAATGGAAAAGGAAACCCCACCCTGATATCAACATCTTCCCCATAACTGAATAACTAGGCTACAGTGTGGATATTATGGATGGTCAGTATGGGCAGGCATACTAGTCTTACTTACTAGTCACAGATCCGGCCACAGACATCAGCCGAGATTCCAGACGCATTGCCATGTCGCAGTGCATGCAGACCATTTGAAGAAATTTGCGGCAAATAGCAGGGTCTGCTGTCCTGAAGTAATTCAACAACCCCATGATGCGTTCCATTTGGCTGGCAAGGCGCACGAGCCGTTCCCGCGCTCTGCTGTCCATCATTTTATAGAGCATGGTGAGAAAGGCTTCCTCTTGATGGCTCAGAATGTCTGCCAGCTCATGGGTCTCCTGTGTCAATACAGTCTGGACATCTTCCTCTGCTTCCATCAGCTGTACAAGCTTAGGCTACATTTTACAATAAAATAAACTTCAGTTTGATTACGTTTAATCTATAACTAGATTATAACACTATCTCAAACAATTTCACATGGAGCAAAGCTAAATAGTTATTATGCTTGAAAACAATTGCCCTGGCACTGCACGTTCCCAAATACATAGGCTTGCTTCAGAAGGAAAGGCCATGCACGTTAACAATCTGCTTTGTTTTGGGTGCAGTTTTGGATGGGCTAATGGGTAAATTATAGTCTACTACGACAATCTGCTTTGTATTGGGCGCGCGTTTGGATGGGCTGCTACGTAAAGTATAGCCTACTACTCTCTACGAAGTCAATTAACTATTGACCTATTTTTTTTAAAATAACCAATATAAGTGTACACCAAAACCACAACTTACCAAATGTAGCTGCTTGTCGCATCGCTGCAGATCAGCCTACAATAAAGTGAAACTCAAACCAAATAAGATGCTTTTACTTTCTGTTTCGTTTCTGAGTAGTTTTAATTACAAACCGGCATCGTCAGGTGTGCGAGCATTGCAAAATAGATTGACACATTCAATAATTTCATCCAAACTGCTCGCGCGTGTCAACGTGTGTACATAGCCAGGCACCAAAATAATCCAAATAGATATTCAAGCAGGGGGCAACTTTGGTTTTAGAAGTGGGGGGGGGTTTGCTTTATTTTTTTCAAATATTTTCTACATTGTAGAAAATAGTGAAGACATCAAAACTATGAAATAACACATATGGATTCATGTAGTAACCAAAAAAGTGTTAAACAAATCAAAATATATTTTATATTTGAGATTCTTCAAATAGCCACCCTTCGCCTTGATGACAGCTTTGTACACTCTTGGCATTCTCTCAACCAGCTTCACCTGGAATGCTTTTCCAACAGTCTTGAAGGAGTTCCCACATATGCTGAGCACTTGTTGGCTGCTTTTCTTTCACTCTGCGGTCCGACTCATCCCAAACCATCTCAATTGGGTTGAGGTCGGGGGATTGTGGAGGCCAGGTCATCTGATGCAGCACTCCATCACTCTCCTTCTTGGTAAAGTAGCCCTTACACAGCCTGGAGGTGTGTTGGGTCATTGTCCTGTTGAAAAACAAATGATAGTCCCACTAAGCCCAAACCAGATGGGATGGCGTATCGCTGCAGAATGCTGTGGTAGCCATGCTGGTTAAGTGTGCCTTGAATTCTAAATAAATCACAGACAGTGTCACCAGGAAAGCACCCCCACACCATAACACCTCCTCCTCCATGCTTTACGTTGGGAACTACACATGCAGAGATCATCCATTCACCCATCCCGCGTCTCACAAAGACACGGCGGTTGGAACCAAAAATCTCAAATTTGGACTCCAGACCAAAGGACACATTTCCACAGGTCTAATGTCCATTGTTCGTGTTTCTTGGCCCAAGCAAGTCTCTTCTTCTTATTAGTGTCCTTTAGTAGTGGTTTCTTTGCAGCAATTCGACCATGAAGGCCTGATTCACAGAGTCTCCTATGAACAGTTGATGTTGAGATGTGTCTGTTACTTGAACTCTGTGAAGCATTTATTTGGGCTGCAATTTCTGAGGCTGGTAACTCTAATGAACTTATCCTCTGCAGCAGAGGTAACTCTGGGTCTTCTATTCCTGTGGCGGTCCTCATGAGAGCCAGTTTCATCATAGCGCTTGATGGTTTTTGCGACTGCACTTGAAGAAACTTTCAAAGTTCTTGAAATGTTCCGTATTGACTGACCTTCATGTCTTAAAGTGATGATGGACTGTTGTTTCTCTTTGCTTATTTGAGCTGTTCTTGCCATAATATGGACTTGGTCTTTTACCAAATAGGGCTATCTTCTGTATACCCCTCCTACCTTGTCACAACACAACTGATTGGCTCAAACGCATTAAGAAGGAAATAAATTCCACAAATTAACTTTTAAGAAGGCACACCTGTTAATTTAAATGCATTCCAGGTGACTACCTCATGAAGCTGGTTGAGAGAATGCCAATTGTGTGCAAAGCTGTCATCAAGGCAAAGGGTGGCTACATGATTCCATATGTTATTTCGTAGTTCTATATCATGGAGCTCCGCCCCATAGGGGAGCTCTGCTCCTATTGGTTTACCCACTGCCCTAAGGCAGCATCAGCCTGAGACAAAATTATGCACACACCTGCAGCCAATATGAGTACAGGTGTCCCTATAAGAGGGGATGCCTCCCCTCAATCAGCCTCCCTTTATCTTCAGCGACTGGACTAGACTGAAGAAGCCAAGAAGAGACGAAGAGAAGAAGAGAAGACTCAGGACGAGAACGCCGTCGAATTTCCAGTCATCGACGTCGTCCTAAAATGAGCACACCAGGATATTTCCACCCCCAAAAGCTCTTTTCAGAGCTCAATGCAGATGCTCCTCCATGGCGGCGACTCCCACGACTTATGTTTCGTGTGTCTAGGGTCCCAACATGCCAAAGAGGGCGTCTGCAGTCCCCCTAACTGCGCCTCCTGCGCCCTCCTTTCTACAAAGGAGAGGAAGCAGCGTTGGGCGTTTTTTAGGAAGGATATCCCCCTAGAGGACGTGTTGTCGATACTAGCCTCTGCTTCAGAGGCGTCATCTGACGGTGCAGACTCAGGGGATGATGGGGACTATGAGGAGGAGGCTGACATTCCTATGGAACAGTCAGACCCCGTCCCTCATACATTCAAGCCCCCCTTTCCTTTGGTTAGCGAGAGGGCTTGTAGTTCCTATGGTGATGACGACACGGGCTCTGAGAAATCAGAAGCCCTGTCCTTCACCGCAGCGTCTCTGAGAACGGACTTTCCTGGTCTCATTGAGAGAGCTGCTAGACGGCTGGAAATACCGCTGCCCCCTATTCCCTCCGCACCGGAGGTTGACTTAATGGAGGGCGGCCCTTATTCCAGGCCAAGAAGAGCGGCAGAGCCACTAGCTCCTGCCATGCCTTCATTGGCAAAATACGTCGAGGGCTCATGGGAGGCACCTTTAGCGGCGCGTTCGCCGGCTAAAACGTACCTCCCATTCACTAGAGTGGAGGGAAGGTTCCAGGGCCAAGCTAAGGGAATCCCCAGGTTAGAGAGCGCCATGGCGGCGTATCTCGTACCGGGTTCGAGTCCCTGGCCCTCTTCCAGGAAGGCCACATTGCCATCTCAGAAGGACCGTCTCACAGCACAGCTGTTGAGAAGTCCTTCAATTTGGGAGCCCAAGCTGTAGCAGCAGCTAACAACATTGCCCTCTTGGCAGCTGCTCTGTCCCGTTTAACCACGGGTAAGACAGCGCTGGAGCCAGAGGAGGTGGAGGAGGCGTCTAGAATTTCTGACGCCATCCTACACCTAACACAGGCATCGGCCGTCTGCTCGGGGAGGTCCATGGCCACCTCGGTGGTCGCGGAGCGACACCTCTGGTTGTCCCTGACAACCATGAAGGAAGCAGACAGAACGTCCCTGTTGAACGCCCCCTTCTCTGACGACGGGCTCTTTGGAGTCGCCATCAAAGAGGCGACTGAGAGGTTTTCCAAGTTGGACGAGAAAAAGAAGCAGCTGGCCAGACACCTGCCACTGGCAGTGAGGTTAGGCCCTGCACCGTCTCGTAAACCATCCACTTCGGCCCCCCAGAGTAGACAAGGATCTACAGCGAGGCGGCGTATCCGGCGCCAGTCGGCGGCCGCAGGAGGCAGGAGAGCGGGCCCAGCCTCCCCAGCAGCCACGGTGGCCCCATTGCAGCCGGCGAGGGAGGTGGTGAGAGCGCCGACCTGGGCCCCTAAGGGAGGCCACAAGAGGAGGCGCACATGACGGGACGCGGGGGAGCGAATGGAGGACACGTCATCCTTGAACGTGACCACTGTTCCCCCCCCACCCTTCGGTTGAAGGGATGGGTGATGATGTAAATGCTTTTGTTGATGTGTTGAATAAAGAGTTGGCTCCACCTGACTTTGTCAAAAAAGAGCCCCTTTTCCATAATACGTCCGAGAGCGTTCAAATCTCACCCTCTCTCTCCTACCTCTTTAAGCGCCGTTCAGCCCACCAAGGGTGCGCTGCTGAACAGGCATTCAGAGTAGGTTCACATAACACTTCAGGTATAAGAAGTGCTTCACATTGCAGACGGCAGTCTCTGTCAGACTCTGACATGATGACGCAGTCGCTATTTGGGGATGGCGCACTATCACAGACTAAGGTCTCCGTTAGTGCGATTCAGACCCATGATGCGTTCACAGAGGGCCCGATTACCACGGTCACGAAGGTGCCCAGTGTATCGGCGCCCCCACTTCTTTCTGAACGCGCTAATACTCACCACACTGAGTGTAGTTCAGCCCACCAGAGGTGCAGAGCTGAACACACACAGGAGGTGAAAGGAGGAAAGATACCAAGACGCCGTCTTGGTTTATCTCAAAGAGACCTCACATTACAGACTCCAAGGAGTACTGTAGTGAGTGCCTCTCATAGCAGGCTGCAGTCTCAGTCAGGAGACATGATGACGCAGCCGCTATTTGGGGATGGCGCACTATCGCAGACTAAGGTCTCGGTTAGTGCGATTCAGACCCATGCTGCGTTCACGGAGGGCCGGATTACTAAGGTTACAGGAATAACCAACGTATCGGCGCCCCCACCTGTCACAGAACGCACTAATACTCACCACACTGAGCGTGACTCAACCCACCAGAGGTGCAGAGTTGAACACACACAGAAGGTGAAGGTTAAGAAGGTATCAAGGCGCCGCCTTGTGTTACCTCATAGAGACCTCATATTACAGACTCCTAGGAGTATTGTAGTGAGGGACTCTAATAGCGAATTGCAGTCACCTACGATGACGCAATCGCTTGCTGGGGATGGTGCCCTGTCGCAGGCTGTGGCCTCGGTCAGTGCAATTCAGACCCGCTCTGCGTTCACGGAGGGCAGGAATACGACGGCTACGGGTTTAACTGACGTCTCTGCCCCTCCTTCTGGTTCAGAACGCACTAATGCTTCCTCTCCCTTTCATGGGAGGCCCGCCT